TTATTTTATCAAAGGATCTATTATCTAATGTAGAAATTCTATTTAAATTTAAATTAGTTTAATCATCGTTAATTAATTTAATAAATAATATGGATTTAGTAGCATTTTCAAGTGTAAATGGTTCAATATTCGATAATATTATGTCAGTGTAAACTTATTAAACTTATGCATCAGTGCTAAGTGGTGATACAACTGATTTTTTGGAACAATATTCAAATGAATTTCTTTCTGCACTTATCGATGATAATTTTAAATACAATCTCGATATTATGAATTAAAACAATATTTGTGAGATAGGAATTGGAATTGATTGTGAATCAACTGATGCTATAACATTAAATCCTTGGCTTCTACCACATTATTAATAAGGATTGAAATCTTTATTGACTTAAGTTGATAAGATAATTTCTCAATATCCACAGTTTTTTTATGAAGAAAATGTGAAAAATTCATAAGATGCACTTTTAGAATTTTATTAAAGCTAGGAACATTTAATTTACATAGATTATGGAAGTGAATTAATAATTAAGGCTCAGAAGTAAATTATTGATACTGCCTATAAATAGTTTGATCAATCTTTAAATTTTTACAAATAAACTTTATTAATTTTTACTTTGAGTGTAGGCATGGCTGGATTTTGTATTATAGGTTTTTTGGGAAATCTAATATTAAAGATGTAAAAAGATTCAATAGAAACATGTTAGGCAGCCTTACTATTGTTATCACCTAAACGATACTTAAATAAATCAATGGGTTTATTAACATAAAAAAAGTTATGATTTTTTGTGTATAATTAATATGAATTAAGTTAAAAAAGATAATCCATAACAATCTAATTATGAGTAGTCTCGAATTGGAGTGGCATTTGGAGATGATTTTGAATAAGGTCCAGTTTCTTTTAGGTAATAGTTTGTGTATCAAATTGAGAGCTGAAGCACACTTTAATGAAAAAAAGGCAATGGATTAATATGATACACTTAAGAATTAACTTGGAGATCATATTGATATTGATTGGGCTTTAGTTTGTTTTCTCAGATATTAACCTGGTAAAAAGGAGGCTTTGATTGAATCAATTACAAAAATAAAGAATAGACGTACAAAGTTATATTAAATTATTAGCTCGTTTTGAAGCTTTCGAATGTAAAATCCATTCAGATGAAACATATGTTTATTTCTCTGTGAAACTTAGAGAGGATGAAGAAAGTTAATTAAAAGGAAGTTTAGAGGTGATTTTAGAAAATGGTAATTTATTTTAGTAACTTAAGGATTAAGAGAAATGATTAAGAATTAAGATAACTATCTAAACTTTGAATTTGATGCAAACTATGACTTTCAATAATTAGTAGAAGCTGTATCTAAAGGAGAGAGAGTTGGAGCAGCTTGTTTGAGATAAATTAGGTAAATTATATTTATAAAATAAGGGCTGAATTGAACTTATTTTTGACAAAGAACTTCTATTAGGGAATTGAAAAATTTGTAGATGGAATCGATAAGGAAGCATTAGAATCTCCTCCTTTGGCATTTCTAAAACATTTTAAGAATTTAGATATGGATTTAAGATTTAGATCAACTGATGAATTGCCATAAGTTATCAAGAATTAGATGATCTTTGGAGAGGAATTTTAGACATTAGCAGAGGAAGAATTATAATTACCTATAAATCGTACAAAATAAGTCAATGCTATTATGGAAGTAGTTAACAATCATTTATTTAGGCAGCTGCAGATAATGGATTCATTTATTTCACTATTTAAGATTTATGTGCTGTTAAAATAGAATCACACACACCAAAATTATCATCTTTTTTAACAAAATATGGAAAGTATTTGGCAAAATTAGTAGGATTAGGAGAATTTGTTCCAGAAGTATGATAATAAAGATAATTATTAACAATAATTGTATTATTGTTCTCAATAATAATAACAATGGGTTATGTTATAAATTTAGTCATCTGGCCTATCAATTTCTGATTTAATGCCTGAATTTCTTCTAGTTCTTCCAGATTCATATTTAAATATAGGTCCAGAGATGTCTTCATCACATTATAAACATTTATTTAATTTTCCATTTTTCACAAAATCTTCATTTGTAATAAAAGACACACTATTTTGATTAAGTATTTATTTATTACATACAAGGCCAAAAACATGATTTTTTTGTATTTAAAGTATTGTACAACCAAACTTAAGCACATGTATCAGTGAATCCTAATCCCTTAATACATTTTAAAAGATGATATTAAGATAAACCATACATTAAACCACACTTTCTCACAGGCCTAGTCAAATCAGTTTTAAGATAAACAGCCAAATCTTATAAAGTAGAGCATGCACCACATTTTCCTTGATGAGTCACAATGAATTAATTCTATTCTGCCTCTTCTTTTGAATTAAAGTGGTTTAAATGGTATCTAAAAAATTATGATATGATTTACATTTATTTTTCATAGTCATCATATTTAATAGCACAAACACTTGTTGTATCTTTAAGGTTATCTGAAACTTTTAATAAATAGTTAGGATCAACAATTTCATAAGGATTTTTAGTGTATGGAAATATAGGATCTCTAATTTGTTTAGATTTAAATTCTTTTATAGCTTAATCAATATCACAACTAAGCACTGTAACTATTAGAAGGAAATGCAATTTTTACATTAATTATATATTAATAATATTATCAATTAAAATTACTAATTTTTTATCATTCTTGTTTATCTCCTTATTTAATTAAATTATCCAAGAAATCATCACAATCTTCATCACTATCTCCTGTTTTTGTTTGTATCTTTTATTCAAATTTAGCAACTAATTATTCATCATCATCTTCACTTTCATCAGATACATTATCTTTTTATATAATTTATTATTTATTAATGATTTCTTTTTATTCTTATTATACTTATTATTTTGGTGATGATTACTATTCTAATTATGTATTTTTAACTTATTCTGCAAATAATTATTATGGTTAAATCTCATTTTATATACTCTTATTATTTGATTATTATTATTTTTATTATGGTATCTTTTCATCTGAATCATCATAATCTTTTTTTTCTATTTCATTTCCCAAACTAAATACTTCTTCTTTTGTTTTTTATTATTATTGATGTACTTCTAATCCATCTATAATATGCTTCTCTTTTACTACTAATCCTTTACATTCTTATACAATTTATAATAATAATTAATTTGAAGACTTAGTTTCATTACTAAAAGTTTATGGTCTATCTGCAGTTTAGAATGATTTTTAATTTCCTCTTTCAAAAATAAAATCAACAAAAAAATCTTTTTCAGTTTTTATTTATGGACTTTTATCTAATTCTCTATCCCATACTCTAAGAACATTATCAAATAAAAATGAACAATTAAACATAACTCTAAATAAAGCTACTCTTGTTTTATTATTTTCAAAGTGTTTGCATCTAACTAAAATATCATCTGATAGCTAACAAAAATTGATATGTTATTACTTCAATTCCTTTTAGATCAAATATACAACTTAAATCTCCTTATTAATAATTTTTTAGTTCTCCATCAGTCAATGAATTGAATATAGGCTTATCATTCTTGAATAATTGAATATATGGTCTAAACATAGTACAATTTTGGACTTTAGGTATGCCAGATATTACAATAGATATTAATCTTAAACAAGAACTATTTAATTTAAGACCATTTAACACATTTCCAACATAAGTAATATATTAATGCTAAGATGGAAATAAAGCCTAAAAATCTTTAGTGTTTGTTTTTTCACATACTCTTAATAAGCATTCTCCTGGCTAAGATTTTATAATTTATTATATTTACATAACCAGCACCCATAATAGCTAACAATGATGATATTACCATGATACTTCTACCCCTTGTTTCTTGGCAACACACAATTGCTATATTGTTCCTATCACTACTAAGAAAATAGATTATGTTTTTGCAAATCATCAATAGCTCGATCAATGGTGGACATGGATATCCTGGATGTGAATGATTGGCAACCTACTTACTTTTTCACTCTACTTAATTGCAAAACCATTCTGTTGTAAACTCTCTTTCTCCAACATTCCAAATATAGTAATGATTCTGATGATTAGTGTTTAAATAACTCGATAATTTCTCTATTTTATCATTGGATGGATATTCCATCCAATATAATCTATTGCTTATTGCTACTATGTCTCCTTAAATTGCTTATTTGTTTAATTTATCTATAGTATTTTAAGCAATTTATTTGGTATTAGAGGCCAGGTTTTTGTAAGAGTTTGCTATCCCTTTAAATTTTGGAGCCAAAGAATTATACAATTTATCCATATTAATATATAAATTCACTTTTTTTTTGTAAAATCAAGAATCGTATAGCCATATTTTTTCATATGCTTTATATATTTGCGTATACTCATTCCAACGATAACAAAGAAATAGCCAAATAAAAATGGCCAATATACAGGTATATTCCATAATGGTATGTATGTACACAAATAAGACATGATTACTGAAAATACACTCTTTTACCAAGCTTTAAATTCTGATGTTGTTCTCAACAATGGTCTAAATTCTTTATCATTTAACTCATTCTTATTACTTATCGTCGTTGGTAATTCCACAACTTTTCATATCAATTTTAAAGCTTTACAATCATTTTGGAATTAATCATCTTCATTTTCATCATCTTCAAAATTAACTGGTGGTAAACCAAGAGGAGTGAAATATTCAATTATTAATTACAATTGATAAACACAGTATATATATGTAACAATGTAAAATCCACCAATATTATAAATCCTATTAGCATACAATAAAATCAATAATAGATTGAAAAACCATCTAGACTTCTTATACAAAATGTATCTAATCTATTTAGTATCATCTACCTGTCTATTTTTCTTTGATATTTCACTTTTATTCTATTAATGACTTTAAATATCAAATTTTCTTCAATTTATTCCTCAATAATCATTGATATTAATTGCAAAATTTAAAAAATTTAATATATATTTAATTCATTTATTCTATAATCTAGGAAGTTTTATGTAAGCAGATTTATTGTCAATTTTTTATTCTAATTTTGAGATATTTTAGATTTATCTTTTTGTAGATTCAGTCTTTAATTGAGATTATGATGATCTCTAATCTAATGATGAAATCCTATAAATCATAATTATATATATATATATACTTTTTAACACTCCCATTATTTTATCTAGATAAATCATAACTTTTTAAATAATATTTATCTTCATCATCTTCATCTTCTTCTATTAGATCTTCAGGTTTAAATTCTTCATGTAATAAAAGTCTTGGATCCAATTTATCTAACTTTTCCCAATTAACTACTTAATGGGAATTTGCATCTAAACCAATCTTCTTTAATTTTCTTTCCCTATAATTACTTGTTTTTATATAAGATGGTTCAAAAATTATTGATTTAGATCTTGATTAATCCACTTATGATATCATTTTATCTCTCAATTCTTATTTTTTTACATTCTTCCATTCTTCTACCAAAATTCTTTTAGATTTAAGTTCATCTGTTGAATAATTAACAAATTTTTGCAATTATAAACCTTCTGGTTTTCTAAATCCTTATACATCTTTTGATTCAAATGGGGTATTCAAAGATTTCAATTTTTTTTTATATTAAGTTGAATCTACTTCCATGTATCGAAACAATTTAATTTCTGCTTTTGTCTAATCTTCTTAGTACATAAGTTTAGAGAGTTCTTTTAATAAAAGGACAAAATTCATAAAGGTAATTTCATTCTAATTTTGATTAACTCTCCTAAATAGTAGATTCTAATATATAAAAGTAAATTATATACAAGTTCTTTAAAAGTCAATATTCTTATATTTTCTTATGGATGATTCCTTGTAGAGATTGGAATCATTTTATTAGATTTATTTCCAATTGTATCATTTAAAATTCTATTTGTTTCTGTATATTTTGATTAAGTCTTGATATGATGGATTTTCTCATCTATTAATCCAAATTGTCGACAAAAGATCATAAATTTACCTTCTGTTAATGTTTAAGATTCATGATTGATTCTTGTGAAATCATCAGATGGACCTCTTACATAGAATATTTTAGAATAGAATTTATAAACATCTTTTAAATGAGGTTCTATTTTAGACTTCGAAAAGAAAGACTCTTCTGTCTATTCAAGTTCTTTTATTAAACTAATCCCACCAAAATTACTAACATCATTCGTTATTGGTTCTATAATATTAAATTTCAATTTTTCTAATTAACCCTCAAGAGTTGACATTATACGTTTAAGTATACCTTTATCTTTTTATTAAACACATTAAGCTTCTATTTTTTTATACCTTTCTAATTATTACTCTAAATATTCCTAAATATTTTAGTTCTAGTTTTCAATTAATACTGGGTTTTATGGTTATTATTATTATTCATTTTCTTCTTGATTTACATTCACTACTAAATTATTTATTATTTATTAATCATTTTTCAATGAATTATCATCTTTCTATTACTCACTTTTCACTTCTAATTCTTAATCTTTTTGTATAACTTCATTGTCTTCATTATTTTATTAAGACTCTTAATTTTATTGATTTTGTGAAATTTCTCTTTCCCCTTCAGTCTCTACTGGATTTTCGTTTTAATTTTCCATGAATAGATTCTAAATGAAATTTTTTATTTTTATTTTAATCAATAAATAATATATTGGTCCTAAAGGTTTTTTTATGTAAAAACACTTATGAATTTAGAAAAATTGAGAACTATAATTTGTCTTATTTAACTACTTTTTTATAAATAATTTGATAAAATTCAACGAATCTTTTATCCTTTCTCTTCAATTTAGTTTTCTATTTAATTAGATTTAATTCCTTCTTTTTCTTAGATCATATCAAATTCATTTTATTCAATTTATATGTCACCTCCATTAGCATTTATATATCCATATTTTTAGATTGAAAATTCAGAATTTGGAGAACTAGCTGAAACAGAATCCTTAACTTCATCAATCATGTAATTTTCATTTAAATTTTGAGATTATTAAGGAAGTTTAGAATATTGAGATCTAGCTTTTACAAATTTAATCTCTTCTCTTTCAATAGATTTTAATGAATATTTCTAATTTAAACTAAAGATATTACTTTATGAGATAAATCAACCATTTAATATAAAATGGTATTGTATTAAATAAAGTTGAGCAATTATTGATTCATCTTTTTATTATAATTTTCTCCTTACTATATTTTTGTATAAACTTCTAAAAGTTCTTATCCATTTTATGCCTTAATTTAAGCTTTAAAGAAACGAGAAACTTTAGACAATTGCATCTCAATAGGAACTGAAAGAATTAATAATTTTAGATACTTTTTGAAGAGAAAGCATCTCTAAAATCCATAGGTCCTGATACTTGATTTTTAAATTAATATTTTTCTAATATAGATCCTTTCATTATTGATCTATGATAATCTTTATTAATTTTCTTTAATGCATCTTTTTGATCTGTTATTTTTTTATAAATTACTGGTTCAGAAAAACTATTGAATAATTTCAATTAAGCATCATCAAACAAAAATAGTTTTAATGAATCAATTTCATATAACCTTTTTACAATATTAGATAATTCAAGATCTGACATAATCTTAGATTTAGCAATTTAAGCCATAATAGTTTTTTTATCATAGGTTTTTTTGCAACAATATTTCAATATACATATATCACCCATTATCTTACTTAATTCAATTTGAATATATGTTAAAAATGAATAATCTAACTAATTTGAATATAATTAATCTAAACCTTTTCTCTTATCTGATTTTAAACTAGATTCAAAACTATCATTTTCCTTTATTATTGTATTATCTCTAAAATCAAACTTAAACACCTAATTCATTACTTTCACATAAGTTTCATGAGCTATATATATTTTATAAAGTATCTTTGCGAAACCTAAAATAGCCACAGTTAATCCAGAAGCTTAAGATACAGCATCAAGGAATACACTAAAAGGTTCACTCTTTGAAGCAAAGAAATATTGAGAATCAGAAGAAGTCCTTAAATAAAAAGAACATAATTCTTCTGTTGTATTAAGTGTCATAGGATATTATCTTCTCTCTTATTTTTCAACTTTAGAAGATCTAAAGATTCTAGTTCTTGCTTCTTCATTATTTGTTAAAGAACTAAAAATATTTTTACTATTAATCAAATCAATTAGGATTGGTTATAAAAATATGTCTTCACCATTTGCTATTCCTACATTTAATCTCCAAAAAACTATATAAGCTTTTTCTTCAGAAGGTTGTGTCATATTTAAAGTCTATTTAATTTTAGAATCTTAAATGAAAATATTAACATTAATTCTAAAAAAATCTTAATAAAATGATTACCCTTTGTTTAATAAACTTTCAATTTAATCTATAGATTTACAATTAATAGAATTACTACACTTAAGAACTGAAACTTTTAAATAGTTATATGTTGAATCAAAAAATGAACCAGATAATTTATAGCTTCCATCAAAACATATGAATTTATGTTTCTAATCATCTGAAATAGATTATGAATTGAATTTAAATTAATCAATGATATTTGAAGAACATTTAGAAACATTAAGCTAGTTTATTTCTCTTTTATATTGGGATGTATTTAATGGTCTTACTTATTTAACATATTCAACTCTAAATTATAAATATCTATGATTGATATTAATTATATACGTCTAAAATTCTTAATCATAATTAATGATTTCTCCACTTTAAGCATAAGATAGCTATAATAAAAAACGAGAAGTATTTTAATCTAAATATTAAAAATCACTGGCTGTTTATGTTCCTGCATAAATTGATCCAGATTTTGAAATTGAGGAAATAAAGATGCTTATTGTATAAACAATCATTAGTACTAAAATTGTAATTGAAAAAAAACCCCCTTAATTAAATATTTTGGATACCTAGTTTTGTCAATGATTTTTAACTCTTTGTTACATTAAATTCATAAGGAGTGACAAGCATATCTATATGTCTTAAATATTTTTAAAATTTAGGCATAAAATCTAATAAATTAGAAATAATTTGTAATAATTATATAAATGTACAATACTGTAAAATCTCAAGAAAACGATACTCAAATATTGAATTCTAAAAAGCAAGAAATTTATGAACCTTCTATTTACGATGGTACATAAGAATAAAATATAGAAGTATAAATACATAAATAGAATAGAATTAGTAATAATTATTAAACTAATATAATATAAGTCAATAATATCAATCTATTAGACAAATAAATTCATCAATACCATCAATATCTGGCCCTGCAAATTAAAAATTATAAGAATAAAAGTTAATTAGTGAATAGTATGTAAGTTTTGGTGAATAAAATGAATAATCTTTACAATCACAGAAGGAAGTAGCTGGCAATGCATTATAAAATTATAATGCAAATTGTCACTATAAATCTATTGAAAAAAATTTTTCTGATTTATCTATAATTCAGAATGAATAGGTCATTGCTCCAAATTTGTTATAATGTTAATAGGCATTTTGCTACATACTTGAATAAATGATTAATTTATAACTTTAAACTCCAAACATTTCTATAAAATTTGATAAAGAAATAGAGGGTTATCTTCAATTAAAATATTAACTATAAAAAGATGATTTAAATAAATTGATTATATAAGAAAAAGAACTTTTAGAATTCTTTTAAGGATGGTTTTCATATGATAGCGAAATAGACGAATTATAAACAAAAAGTAATAGTAATGGTAATATATAATATCATTTAAATCTTAATTTTTAAACTTAGTATGATTTTGAGAATGAATGTTTGAAAAATTTCAAAAAATTCATTTTAAATAAGAAATAAAATGAATTAGATAAATTAAAGGAATATTATTAAGAATCAAACACTCTAAATAATTGGAAAAAAATAATGGATGATTTAAAAGTTAATAACATTTAAGTCTTTATTATGCTTTGTTTAATTAAGGATAAAGAACCATAGAATAAATTTGCACATTATTATATTTAATGGTGGTTTGATTGGAATTAGACTTCAGTTTTTATAAAAACCAAAGAGAAATATTAATGAAAATATATTTAGATTATTATATCATATAAGATTATTTTAAAAGAATATAAAAATAAATTTGATTTTTTGTTAATAATTATATGCATAATCCTGTTGAATATTATTATTCCAACGATTACTATTTGTCATAAATAACAAATGGTAACATAAATCGCCTTAATACTTCCTACTCTCCTAAAAAAATTTTGATGAGCATATGTAAGAATGATTGTCAAACACTTATTAAACAAAAAACCTTTAATTTAGAATCAAAAGAAATACATCCTCATATTGTTAGACATAAATGTATTAAATAATCTTTTACTAAATTGGCAGAATCTATTCTTAGTGTAAGTAATTGTTTTGATAGTATTACAAGTACATCCACAAAAACTGATAAGTTTGTTTAAAAATTAAAACATAAAATAATTACTCCATCTACTACTCCACCTAAACCTCATAATCATGAAATACGTAGAATTCCAGGTAGACTTCACAAAGGAGTTTTATTAAGAAATCTTGATAATTCAATTAATTATATTGATAGATCATATATTTTAGATCCAAAATAAGAATTTGGAACCTTTTCAATGAGTCCAAAACCTAAAATTATAGATCGTAATTCAGATTTATTTAGATAAAAAAATAAATAAATATCTAATGCTGCTAATATTTCAAGCCAAAATAAAGATCTATAGAAACAACTTATAATTAGAAAGTCTCTCTTAAATAATGAAATTACTAACAATTCTCTTAAACAAACTACTTCCAATTTAATTGATTAAACTATTGAAGCAATGAAAGTTGATTGTTTTTACACAAAAATTAGTCTTAATAATACTAATCATTTAGTTTTGATATAATTTGAGAATGTTTTGGGATATGATGAATAAAGTTATTTTGGATTACAATCTGATTTCATTAATAGCAAATAATATAATGAATATATAGTTTTAAGAGATCATTATTTTTAGAAGGTTTCATCTTCTCAATCCTTCTATATACTTAAGAATTTCAAAGAATTATTTAATTCTATTTCTCGTGTTTATTAAGTAGGTTTATTTACAGTATAATACCCTTAATTACTAAAAGAATTTCTATAAGAAAGAAAATTAAGAGTTAATTGTGGATTTTAAATAACAAATTATAAAATTGATACTTTTGTATTTGATATTACTTAAGTATTGACTAATCTTTAAATACTTACAGCAGATTTATTAATAATAATATAACCATTTTAAATATTAAGTAAATAATAATCTCATAATAATACTAATTCAAAAATTCCTTATTATGAATACTATGGTTAAAGGTTCTTTCTACCATTCTCAGAGAAAATTCATCCTAATAATTGTAGATTATTAGCCTTACCTTAATTATCAATGGAATCTCTATTAAAATAAGATGAATAAAGTAAAGGATTTGTACAAATTAATTATTTTATTGAATAATTTACATTGGCATTATAGAGTGAAAGTTACTTTGTAAAATTTCTTAATAAAAGTTAAAATAGAATTAAAACTCTTGATTAATCAACATATTTTAGATCATAAAAATAAAACTTATTAAGATAGTTATTTTTTATTGATACTTTAAAGATTTCTGAATAAAAGTAAGATTTAATTAAGATGAAAAAGAAAGAAATAATTTAAAGAATTATATAGAAATTTGATCATTCAAAATAAGCTGAATAATATATAAATGATTTAATGTTAAGGAATAAAGAGATTTTTAAGAAAATGAGAAATTATAAATAAGAAAATGTGAATAAATTGCATAAATTATAATAAGAACTTTCTCAATAGCTAATTAGATATAATTATTGCGAAATGTTTGTTGATACAACATACTACTTAGCGTATTGATATATATATGCTTTTTTATTGTAAATACTCATTTTTTCATTTCTTAAACAATCCATTTCTGATGTCTGGTAAGAATTCTTGTAATGAAAGCTCTAATCTATCATCTAATGTGTTAGAACAAACTATTCTGTTATTAGCACAACTCAAAACAACTCCTCCTAAACTAATATATGTTTATATCTTAAATTTTACATTGGTTTACCACCTTTATCTGTTAGATATTGACTCTAATTAATGCTTAATGTTGTCTTAAAGTCTTTAGTTGTTTCTCTCTTAATGATTTTAGTAAATTCTTCTTAACATTCTACTAAAATTGTTCTAATGAGTTGTACATCCTATTCTAAACACATCAATTCAATTCTAGGTTCAAGCAACTTAATCATTCCTTATATTATCAAGTTCTTTAGTAATTCTTTATAGACACTTTAATCTTGGATCAATTTTGACATCTTCTAACGAATTTCTTCTTTAAGTCTTTAGATTAACTCAAAACGTGCTTGCATTTTAGATAATCTTGATTGATTAATTTTAGATGATCGTTGACTAAACTTACTTAATATCTTTACATTCTCTTTTCAATTGTATATGACTCAATCTTCTTTTTATATTCTTCAATAATTCTCTCTTTTTATTAATTGAGTAACTTGTTCTTTTCTATTCTGAACTATTAAGCAGCCATGTCTTTGATTTATTCAGCCTTTTCATTAGCCTAAACAAATAGATAAACATAAATATTACCTCAGCTTTTATGGCATTGACCATCTTCTTTACTCTCTCTTATGGATTAAAATCTGCCATGTTATTTAATTTATGAATAAAATACCAATCAATTCACCTATTAAAGATGACTCAATTAAGTACCTTTAAATTATTCGAGAGAAAGAGGAATCAATTCAAGCACTTTAAACTATAAATGATTAATTGAGATAAGATATAATTCAACTTTAAAGTCAACTTGCAGAATCTTTTAACAATAAAAATTTCAAATACTAAAAATTAGAAGAATCCAATTAACAATTAAAAGTAATGTTAACAGATACATAGAATCTTGTATTATAATATCAAAGTGATATTGATATATATCATTAAATTGTAGAATAAATAATCAAATCTACTCAACTCTATAGATTTAATCAAAAAACAACAATCCCTCAAATTCTAAATTTCTTAAATCAAGAAGTCTATAATTAAGACATTGTCAATCTTTGGAATGAATTAAAATAAATTCTAAAGTAAGCTATAAATTAGATAAATATTAAAATGTCTTCTCCTTAATTAAAAGAAATATATACAAAATTCTATAAGAATTATGAAAATCAATATCATCCATTATCAACTATGTCAATATTTGAAGAAATCATTTTAATGTTAAATGAAAAAGTATCTCAATAAATTGAAACATAAGTAATGAATTATTCTGATTAATTTACACATTAAATAAATAAGATCAATCTATTTGAAACTTCAATTGTTTTAATCAATTTTGAAGAAGATTAACTTAAAAAGAAATTGAAATCTTAATAAAAATAAATTATTTAACTTAAAGAGGAATTAGAATCATAATTAAAAATTAACAAGATTTTTGAAGAATAAATATAAACTTTAACAATGAAAAGTTCTGAAAGAAAACCTTTTATTGAAATATTAAGTATAAAAGATGTTAGTTCTTCATCAGAAGATGATAATGTTGAAATATTAAAATTAAATAATGAATTAGAATAAAAAGATACACTTATTTAAAAGTTATAATAAACAATCTAAAATCAACAATTAATGTTAGATAGAGTAAATATAGAGAATTAATATTGGGATTTAATTATTAATTGTGATGAGGATAGTTTATTCACAATAATTAATTAAGGATGGACATTAAATTTTAAATAAGATTATGGACTTTCAAATTATCAAGTTTTTTATTCATTTCTTGGTTTTGATAGTTCATATTTATAATTCATTTTAGAGAATTTATTTGTTAATGATTTTTATTTCTAAAAATTATCAGATCAAACTTATTTATAATTAGCAAATAATTAACTTGCATATTTAAAATCAATATTTTGTAATGAATATAATACTCTTATTTAAACAAAAGTATTACATCCATTAGTAAATAATTTTTATGAAACAAGTGAATTGGTGGAAGGATAATAAATGTTAAATGAATTTTGGATAAAATTTTCACTAAATAATGGAATATTATTTCTATGTTTAAAAAATTATAATGAATAAAACTTAACTTTGTTATAGTTAGCTATTAATATTCAAAATTAAATTGAGTAAACATCAGTTTTAATAGTAATATTTGAAGATGAATATACAGAGTCTGATGTTGTAATGAAAATAATTTAATCAAATGAATTTATTGGTGTAGATGATGAAATAGATGATTAATAATAAAATATTAGAATTAGTATGACAAGTGGAGATAATTTTGATTTTAATAATTTAAATAAGAGGATAAGCAAATAAAAAATAGATTATGTATAATAATTAAATCAATTTATGAAACATAATTTAGATGTGTATTTTAAGAAATCAGAATAATCTAAATTAGAATTCAATTAATCATTACTTTCTGAAAATGTATATGAAATGAAATTAGTTTAAAGTTAAGAATCAGATTAAATTAAAATATAAACATATAGTTAAGTATAAGTCATAAAGAATGATGAAATAATGATCCATAAAATATCAGATAGTTAATATGATATATTCTTTTTTGAAAAATTATAAGAAGTCAGATTAAAAAGCTATTAAATTAATAATTAAGGTTTAATTATAAAATTAAAATGTACTTTTGACAATGATGATATGATTACTAAATAATACATATTAAAATCAACATATATCAAAGAAGATTAAGGAGAGATATCACACACTATTTTTGATAATAAACTGATTTTGTAATTATGATTATGTTATAAAATGTTTACTTAATAAAGATCAACAAAATGATCATTATAATAGAAATCCAAGTATTAGAATGAATTAATAAAAATTCAATCTTCTTTATCATCATAACTAGAGAGGATTCTTTAATTATTTTAATATATTTGCTAAATCTTATTAAATCTTTAAGAAAATAATTCTTGAGACATCTATTTTAATATTATTGCAAGAGAATAATCTGTTTTAAGAGCTTGCAAAGTTTTGAAGCAGTATGATATGATACTTGGAAAAATAATAAATAAAACTCATTTTTAATGATTTAGGTGAACGAGTACCAATCAACATAGGTAGTTTTCTATGAGCAATTCATTTTGAGGTTATTTAAGAAAACTTTCACTATCATCAAAAGTTTCTGATTCACTTTTGATAAAATTAACATATATTAAAGACTGAGATTAAGATATGTTTTCTTTCCATTATGTGATTTATTTATTCTTTGAATAAACTATAGACATATTTCTAATAGTATTACATGAAGATCGTTTATCTATTAATCCTAGAATAGTTTATTCTTGATCTGCAGCAGCTATCTACATTTGATTCAAAGTATCATAATGTTTTTGAATTCTAATAGTATTGCCTCTAGTCTTTTTGATCTTTTTAGAAGGTTTTAATTAAAAGAAGCACTCAGATTCATCGTCTTCAATCATTTTATTATTTTAATGATTAATATCTCTCAGTATATCTAAAGGTATTTAAGCTGATATGATTTAAGAATTTAAGTAAATAATGCATATTATCATAGCAAATGAATTCAGGAATCAAAAATGAATAATTATTTTGGATTCATTTTATTATGAATTAACTAAGAATAAGAAGATATCAATATAAAATATGATGAAATATTTATATATTTATGCAAATACTAACATATTCATATGATTGCAATCATTTGAAGAAATATAATTTATCCTAAAATAAATGATTTTTAATACAAATTTAGCAAACAATTCTTTACTCTAACTGGAATGAGTTGTAGAGTTATAGATAAGATGCAAATAATATCCAATTTCTTCCTTCACTCTCTCTTACCATAATGGATACTCTTTCAATTAATCCAAAAGATTAATGTATTTATTAATGGCTTCTTCTAAGTGATGTTCATAAGTTAAATTTGTATGTTCACTTCTAAACCAAGTATTGTGTGTTGCTATTTCTTTGGTTAATTCTAAATAGAGTGATCTATATTCCCATGTTGCTCTATGTAAATCTAAGATGAAAGAATATAAGTTTTCAAATTGAACAAACTTTTGTCTTGCCAATTCATATTATTCTTTTTCACTTTATTCATATTCAATATATAATTACAATGATTCAAGTCTTGGAGTCCAATTTCTAGCTATGTGAGAGTAGAATCTGCATTCATAATAACTCATAGGGTCTCTTTCTAAGAATCCCTCTTCTGGGTCTTAGAAACCAGCCTTACACATTTCAGTCATTATTCTATCTACTTATACTAAAATTTAATTGACATATCATTTACATGAGTAGTTGATGACTCTGCTCTTAATGAAATATGAAGCAAATCTTGTTACGATGGACATCCTTTTATTATAATTAATAATAAATTAATATATTTAAAAACAGAAGAAAACTCTATGTTTTAAAATTATTTCTTCTATTGTTTTATTAATTTAAGGATATATTTATAAATGGGTTCAGTCTGCTCTGCATAAAAGAATCAATCAAAATTAAATAGAGAATTAAAAACTAATAATTAACCCTATTTATAACCTTCATCCCTTGTAGGTCAATCATTACCTTTAGAAAACAAACTAGAAAATGCTCTTGATTAATATGTCTAGGATTTATTATAGCTATTTAAAAGGTTCTGTATGTTTCTTGATCTTGTTGGTAATTTAGATCAACTCCCATAACATACTAGAGAAAAAATTAATAGTTGCATCATTGCTAAACAAAATATATCTATTATTATACAAAATAATATAAAACGAGTTATGAGAGAATAATAAATAATAAAAAGAATAGATGAATCAGATTATTATCTTATATATAATGATAATAAATTTGCAAGTGCTTTCAATTAAATGATGTAAAAGCTATCTAATATCATAATAACTGATCTTAAACCAGATGAAGATTTTTAATCAGCATTTCCTATTTTGGCAGTGTCTTTTGAAGAAGAAGCTTTAAAAATTATTTCAATTGTAGAGAAAATAAAAAACATTTAAATTATTGCAATGAGAAAGGGAAGTTCTTAACATTCGCTTTCTATTAATTAATTATAACAAAAAAGAAAATCTTCCTAACAATGAAATAAAGTTATTTATTTCATAATTCAAACTTTATATTGAATTTATTAATTGCACTCTATTTATTTTCATTAATTTGATTGAATATTAAAGATTTGTTTGTAATCTATTATTATTTTATATGATGCAAATCATTATAGAATATTTTTAGATTAATAAATAATATAATTTAATTTTGAAATCTGTAATGCATTTAAAATTTTTTTATACATTTCTTAATTTTTTTATTTAAGTATCTTTCAATTCTTGTATTGCTTAAGAAATTTTTGAAAATTTTAATGTATTTAATATATATATATTTATTAAATTAACAGTTAATGGATAAGATTGATAATAATAGTGTATCAAGCATTAATGAAAAAGAATTAGAAAATAATTTGAAAGACTTATTAGAGCGAGTTTTATTAAAAATTGAGAATTTTATTGAAACAAGAGAGGAATTAAATTAAGTAGAAGCTGAATTAAAAGATTATGAAAGTTTGTCTCATTTGATTGGTATAATTAAGGCAGTTTTTACAAACCTTATGATGAAAGTAGAAAAGAAAATATAGTACTTAATTAATCAAAATATTAACTTAGCAAATTAGAAAAACAAATTGATCCCAACCATTCTGTAACCAAAAGTTTAAGGTCTGATGAAGAATATGAAAAATTAGAGTAAATTTTAATTAAATATGAAGGTGAAATAAGAAATCATATAAAAGTAATTTATTAACATTATTTAGATTGAATAATAACTAAAATTATATGCTGAGTCTCTTTAAAATAAATTAGATGAAAGTGAATCAAGTAGAGCTGAACTTCTTGAAACTACTAAAAAGTTGATTAGTGTATTGATACATCAAAATAATAGAATTTAAAAAGAGAAAATTAAACATATCATGAAAGTTAATGCAAATTCAACATAGAAATTGCTACCTTAAAATAAATTATTAATAATTTAGAAAAAGAAAATAGAAGAAAATCTTAAGATTTAAGTTAAAGAGATAACTTAAAAGCATATTCAAAGAAAAATTAATAACCAATTATTCAATAATTATAATTTTTAAGTAGATTATTTCTATTATTTTTTTTAGATTAAAGAAATTAAAAATCTTATTCTGAACATAAATTAAATACTTAAATTAATAAAACTTCCTATACATTAGAAAACAATGAAATACCAATCAAATCCTAACCAACACTTAAATAAAATTATTATAATATAATAAATTATGGACACTAAGCCAATAAAATAGATGTTTTAAAAGTTATATAGCAAAAAGATTTAAGCAAAATTTATGGTTAAAAATTGAAAAGCAAAAATAATTCACTTTCTACTATTCAAGATCTAATCTAAAGTGTATCAGTATAAGACAGAAAAAAAGGTATTATTAGTTAATCAATTTCAAAAAATAGCTCTTAAAATAATAGTTAAATCTAAAAATATAAAGGTATAATTATTAAATTAATAAATATATAGATACATGTGATTAAAGTAGAAGTAAGAGTTCAAGAAGAGCAAATATAGGTACAAAATAAACTCAAATTGAATCTCAGATAAAATTAACTAGTTGATTATAAATCCATTTAATTTATTTACATTATTCATTCAAAAACTTCAAATCCTATATCAAATTAAATTTATATTCTTATTATCTATAAGTATGTTATCATTAATTCTAAATTGATTATACTAAATAATATTTTGAAAGCTTAAAATAATTAAAAATGATTAGATATATATATTTAAATATTAAACATTCTAATCATATAATTTTAAGTATATATATTTTTGTATATTTATATATTAATATTAATGGCTTAATAATTAGTATAAAGGTATGATGCAGATGAAAACTTGTCCAAATTTCTTAATAAGGAATTAGGAAAATCAATCAAGTTTTAAAAAAAACATGTAATTCATAAATTTTATAGAGTAGGAAAAAGAACTCAACAATTTATTAGCTTACTAATAATTAATATAAGATGAGAAATTAAAGAATGAAAATAAATTACACTAAATGTTTTATAAGGAGAAATTGATTGATCATTAAAAAAAATAAAAGGATGACTTTGTAATAATTCATCTTATTTTTAGCTGAAAGAATAAAAAGTCAACAAAGATCATTAATTTCTATATAAATAAAAAGAAAATGATTATATCAATTCTTTGGATGCAAGTTGGTGCTTTTATTAAGATTATTCTCCATCAAAAGATATGAAACCATTAAAAGTAGATGCTGAAAGAGAGAAGGTTCTTCGATTCTTATTCAAATAACTCTAAACAACTACTGATAATGTGGAAAGAGCACTTATTAAAAAGAAGATTAATAAATTTAGGGATTCTGAAGTATAATATATCATAATTTTAATAGATTTCTAAAAAGAAATTAGATTACATTGATCATAAAATAGAATATGCTAAATAGGTTAGAAGTGAATCTCTCGATAGATCTATTGATAAGATTAGAATGCATGATATGCATATTATTGATGTTTAAGAAAAAAATAATCTTATAAATTAAGAGAAACAATCATATTATAGTGACAAAATAAATTAAATTGAATAGAAGATATAAATGATAGAGAAACAACAATAACGTAATAAATTAAATAGATTGAATATTGAATAATAAAAAGAAGAATATCGATAAGCAGTAAGATCTAATTCTCAAACTCTTATACATCAAAAGGAATTAATAAATTAAAATCATTTTAGTGAGAAAATTTATAAATTAAACTTCCTTGTTGATTAGAAATAGAAATTATTGAAATAAAGATAAGAATTATTAGATGCATTAAATTAAAAAAGAGTCATTGCTCGACAATCTTTGGATGATGTTAAATATCCTCAGATAAACTCGAATAATTATAAAGCAGTCAATTATTGAATTTACATATCTCAAGTAAATCAAAATTAGATATTATTATTAATATTTTTTATAATTTAATTTTTTTAATTACATATTATGGAATTAAATTCCTCTCATTTTCTTTATATAAACATTTAAATAAGATATGTTGATCTTATAATTTGAATCATTGTTATTAAAAATGTTGATATTTTATAGTTTTAAATTAATATTGAGAATTGCTTAAACTATTTTATATTGTATTAAGTAATCAGTATATTAAACAGAAAATTAAATTAAATTAAACTCATTAGATAATAAATATTTACATTATAAATTGAAATTTAATAAAGCATATTAATATATTTATAATTTATTAAAAATAAATTGAAAATAAAGGAAAATTACAAAATGTAAAGTACTCCATCTAAAATTTATTATTTTGATTATCAAAATTAATATAAATAGTAATACAATACAATTATCAAAGCTTTGATCAAAGACCACTTGTGTTATCTAAAGCTTTGACTTTTTTTCCATCTTTCCAGATTCCTTCCTTAATGATTCCATCTGGAAATATGTATTTACCTTTGCCATGTTATTTTCCATCATACCATTATCCTTCATATTTCTTTCCATCAGCCCATGTATATGTACCATAACCATCTTTACGATCTTATTTATATTCACCTTCATATTTTCTACCATCTTTCCAAGTATAAATTCCTTTTCCATGCATACAATTATTTAGCCATTATCCAGTATATCCTCTTCCATCAGCCCAAAAATAGGTGCCAAATCCAGTAATTTTATTATCAAACCAATCCCCTTCATAAAATGATCCATCTGGCCATTCATATTTTCCTTTACCCTATTTCTTACCTTCAAAATATATTCCAGTATATTTGGAACCATCAAACCAAGTTTCAACACCATGACCATGTTATAAATCATTCTTCCATTCTCCTTCATACTTAGATCCATTTGCATGTGTATAAACACCATATCCATTCGCTTTATCATTTTCCCAATAACCATCAAATGTATCTCCATCAATATGATAAAACTTTCCTTTACCATTTGCATGACTTAATTTCCATTCTCCAATATATTTGGCACCATCAGCCCAAGTTTGAGTTCCCATTCCTTCTCTCTATGTACCTCTCCATTAACCTTCATATACTGCTCCGCTTTTAAATTTATAAGCAGGACGTGTTTCTAATTCAAAAGAGGAAGAATTTTTTGGTAGAGTAATTGATTCAACTTATTCTCCTAGATAATTTTTTTTAGTATCTCTTTTGACAGAGTTTTTTAATGTTTTCTTTTTTCTAACCAAATAACCTCTCCAATTTTTTTGAATTTAGATTGCTGCTTTATTTTGCCTTTAAACTTTATTTTAGTGCTCTTCTGTTTCAGTATCTTTTTTAACTTCTTTTTATTAAATTTTAGCATATGTTTGTTTTATACTTTATTTAGAACCTGATCTTTTACTTTTCAAACTATTTGGATCAGATTTTGCGATCTAAAATTAAAAGGAGTCATACAATAATTTCAGTTGCTATTTATTCTTTTTATTATTATTGGCATTAACACTGAGAAGCACATTAATTTCCCATTGAAAAATATAAATTGATAATTTTTAATAAATAAATAATGTGGTTATATCATTCATTTATCATGATAAGTAAGTTTACTTTATCTTAGTAACATATTCTCTATCACATTGATCAATTTAATTTGAACTATATTCATAAACACAAATAATTCTACATGGTTTTAATATCATAGAGTCCACTATTTAATTGTAAATCATACATCATAGACTTTTCTTGTATTAAAAAATTTATTTAAGAGTTTTAACTAATTTGCTTTCTATCCTTTTAATGTCTTCAAAATATTATTGTTTCAAAATTTCTATATCTGTTTCATCTAATTTTAATTGTAATTTAATCATCCCATTCTCTAATTGCACTTAATTAACCTTATTTGTTCTTATTATAATTGATATTGTATTATGCAATTTTGTTAATTGAATGTTAATCCGATATAATTTTATGATAAGATTGTTAGGTTTTCTTTTGAATAGTATAATCCCAAGAAATAACTATAAGGTTTTTTGATCTTATAATGAATTTCAACAATTGTCTTGATATTTGAGAATCAATTAGATGCTAAATAAATTCATTAATTTGACAAATTACAACCTCTTACAACAATATATCATTTTCATTTTCAAACTTAAATGTAGAGTTTTGAAATTAAAATATGAGAAACTAATTTATTTTATATGAATAAATCTAATCAATTCTATAAATTAATAGAAGTATGAGAATTTGTTATTTTTAATATATTTTCATTATCTACATGATACATAATAACTATATTACTTACTAACATATATGTATAATTTATAAAAATTGAGATTTCGTCACTATTTTAATATAATTAATGAGCAAAAGTTTAGGAACTCCGATAAAATTAGTAGTCATAGGAGATGGTACAGTAGGCAAAACTTGTGCACTTTTGACGTACTTTTAGATTAATAATTAAGTTACACTACTGGTAAATTCCCTGAAGACTACATCCCTACAATCTTTGAAAATTATAGTGCATCTATCACTATTGATGGCAAAAAGGTTAATTTGGGTTTATGGGATACTGCAGGTTAGGAGGATTTTAAATAAATTCGACCATTGAGTTATCCAAATACAGATGTATTTCTATTGTTTTTTGCTGTCAATGAATAATCTTCATATATTAATGCGTAATAAAAAGTAAATTAAGTTTAATATGCATATCAAGTGGTATCCTGAATTGAGATCAGCCTTAAATAATGTGCCAATAATTATTGTAGGCAGTAAAATTGACTTGAGATAAAATGATAATAAATGTGTGCAAAGAGAATCGGTATACATTTTTTAGTACAATTAAAGGCCAAAAGAATGGCAGATTAATTAGGATGTCTTTATTTGGAATGTTCGGCAAAGGATAAAATAGGACTGAATGAATTATTTGAAGAGGCTGTTAGAACTGCATTAAGATCAAAGAAACCAAATAGAGCTTAAGAAGAGAGTAAATAAAATAAGGACAAGAGCTGCCAATTAATTTGAATTATTAATTTTATTATCAATAAAATTAAATATTATTAGTAAATCTATTATGACAGAGGAACATTGTGATTATGTATTCAAATTTATAATAATTGGCAATGGAAATTGTGGCAAAACAAGTCTTCTATATCATTATATTCATGGAACATGTAATTTATCAGATCAAATAAGAAATATCTAATGTAAAATAGACATTGGGTGTTGAATTTTCATCTAAAATAGTACAAGTGAATCAAAAAAAGATTAAGATGTAATTGTGGGATACAGCAGGTCAAGAGAGATATAGAGCATTAACAAAAGGTTATTATAGAGGAGCATTAGGAGCCCTAATAGTCTTTGACATTACTAAGTATATATTAACAGTAATTTAGTTCAGCATCTTTTGAAGCCTTGTAAGAATGGATTAAATATGCAAGAGATTACTCAAAACCTTCTATTTAGATTATTATTATTGGAAATAAGGCTGATTTGGATAAGGAAAGGTATATTTGTAATTTTTAAATTGAGAACCATTTCTCAATAAGCTGCCAAATAGTTTTGTTAAGAAAATGAAGTTCAATATATTGAAACTAGTGCAACAACTGGTTATTAAGTTAATGAAGCTTTTATATAAATTGCATCTAGAATTTTGGATTTACTCTAATAAGGATCAATTGATGCAAATTTGATTAAACCTAAATTTTTAACCTCTATTAAGAGTAATGAATAGCAAAATGCATAATGTAATTGTTGACCTCTTTTTTTTGTTATCAATATCTAAAATTCGTCTAACCAAATATAAATATCAATAAAAATACGTAATATTTTTAAATATTTTTCAAATTTTACTATTTAAAAAAGAATAAGATTGACTGTCTCTTCTTATATATAATTATATATATATATATATAATATATCATAACTGATATCCTACTCAGAGGTTTTCAACGTTACCACCTTCATCTTCAAGTTCTGAGGTCCACAATGTTAAGTTGTCTCTGATGAGTTACATAATGGTTGTGGCATCCTTGTATTGGTCTTCTTAGATTTATTCAATATCGGCGATGGCATCATCGAAAGCCTAAAGATGATTAATTTAAACTATTACTGATTTAGCTAATTAGCAAGCCTTGGCGGCATCATTTAAAACTTCATAATAGAAAACGGAGAAATTCAAAGCAAGTCCTAATCTAATTGGGTTTGTTGTCTTTAATTCAGAGTTAGCAACTTAAGAAGCAGCTTAATAAGCAGCAAGTGCTCCATCAGCAGCCTTCTTGTGTTAATCACCTGTGGCATATTCAGAAATATATCTGTGATAATCTCCTTTCATCTTGTGGAAGAACACCTTGGCTTCTGGGGTAGAGGCTGTTTTGATTAAATGGCTATCGATCAAATTAAGAATGTCATTGCAATATTGATTAAGCTCTTCTTCAATCTTCTTCTTGTAGCTTCTGATCAAAACAAGATTCTTTTAGGAAGCTGGTTAAGATTAAGCCTATAAATATAATTAATTTATATACCTTTCCTTCTTCTTTGTTTTCGATGCTTGATAATACTCTCCAAGCTGTTCTTCTTCCACCAATGCTGTTTTTATAAGCAACAGAGAGAAGGTTTCTTTCTTCAATTGACAATTCTTATCCATTCTCAACAACTTATTTGATATAATTGACCATATCTTCAAATCTCTCGGTTTATTCTGTCAATTTTGTCATGTAGATGAGTTCCTCTCTAGTGCTCATTTTGGATATTTAAAATTTAAATTTTTTAATTATTTCCAGAAATTAAGAAGTCCCTTAAATATCATGATTCGCACTATATCCAAATTTATTTAATTATATAAAATATACAATATTATTCCAATCTATATGTCTAACAATATAATGTTTATACCTATATTATTTAAATATATATATTTTAAATATAGAATCATCATCTTTCTAATATATCTTTATTTTATGTTTGAATGTTAATTGACATTTATAAAAATAAATGATTAATCATTATTTATAGTAATAGAATGAATTATTAAATATTTTAGATCTTTTCTTATATTTTATTTATTCGTAAAGTGAGAAATATATAACTGTTTATTATGATAAATAATTTATAAAAATGGAATAATTTAATGGAAAACCTTAGGTATATTATATATCAAAATAAAGGATAATATTTTAATCACATAACCATTAACTAAACAAAAGTATCCAGCACTATTTCATGATGAGAGATTTGGAAAAGATTTTGAATCAAATTACTCAAAGCTATAAGAAATTATGGATGTAAAAATTAACTTTTAAGACTTTAGAATTTATAAGGGAAGGTTGAATAAATAGTAAAGAGTTAAGAAGATGACTTTATGAAAGCATATAAAGATTAAATGAATGAATTGCAAGTTGATTTAAAAGCAATGAAAAGAAAAATTGATGAAGAGTCATTAAAATAAAAAGCTGATGAGAAAAAAAGAATTTTAGAAGAAGAAAGAGATTACTTTAGATAAGAAGCACTTAGATTAGATAATTTAAATAAAGAATAATTAAGAACAATAGAAGAATTAAAGTTCAAGTTAAAAATTACAATTGAAGAAAAAAATTATTATGAAGGTTTTGTTATAGGTATTAGTTTAATTTATTATATTAAAGATTCTAAAAAAGAAAATAAAGCATTAAAATTTGAACTCTTATAATTATATAAATAGAAAATGGAAGATTAAAAAGCAATAAATAGAATACAATAACAATAATAAACATAATAAATTACTAAATTAAATTCAAAAAAACAATCTGATAATAGACCATAAACTTAAGAAGGAATAAGATCAGAAGCCAATTTATTAATTAAAGATGATTTTAATTCTGAATTTCTTAGAAGAGAATAATCTTCTAAAGGAGGATTTAGATCATAATTATCTACTAAAAACAATGATTAAGCATCAACATAATATGATTTCTTTAGAAGAGAAATTTCTACTTAATAATAAAGTAGATTTCATCCAGAAAATTAAATGGTATTCTTACTAAAATTACTTTTAGATAGAAGAAAGAAATAATTAAATTGCAGAACTTAAATAATTATTATAGAAAGAAAAGTTCTTATGTTAGCAATTAAAATGTGAATTATAAAGACAGAATTCTTAAAGAGGAGAACTTGAAGTTGTATTATTAGATTGTGTGAATTAACTTAAAAAAGATATTGCATCTAGATAAACAGTTTAAAAATAACCATTTTTGGGTAATACTAATAAAACTCCTAAAGTTGCTGAGTAGATTGCCTTTGAAGATATTGATTATCGATAATTTACTCATTAAGATAAAAAGTAATAATTTTTATTTAATTATAGATCACTTCTCAAAAAATTTTTAAGCTCTGAATAATTTTTAGATCAAATATATTAACTTACTTTCAATAGTCAAATGGCTAGTACATCTTAATTAAAACTTAATGAGAAATGGAAGTAAGATGCAAATGATGCTACTAAGAAATTCAATAATTTTAAAATATATAAATTTAGAAACATTACAAGTTAACGTATTTTATATTATTATAATCAAGCCATTGTAAAATAAGTGATATCAAAATAAGAGTAGAATATATTATCAGATTTATAGGAAAAAGTCGATTAAGGATAAGAACTAGTTGATCAAATTGTACAAAATTGATTCTTTTTTATCTTTGATTTTGATATTTTCAAATATAAAAGACTCATTTAGAATTATTATTTTTTAAAAATCAAATAATTATTTAAATCTCACTGAAACATTATAAATTTGAAGTATTTTTAATCTGCAGCATACCTACTCTACTTAAAATGAGAAGATTATAAAATGCATTAGGTTTATTGCATTCATATTTTTCTGAAACTTAAAAAAACTATTTAAAATAATAGTATACATCATTTGAACTTAATCTATTATTTTTTCCATAAGCATTTTGAATATCTTATATTATAATTTAATGAAGTTTATTGTCTTTTTCTTATTCATAATTTTTTTAAGGAGTTTAAGAAGATTACTCAAAATTGTTAAATTCTGATATACTCTATTTACTCATGGAATACTATTCTAAATTTTATGATTTAAACTTTTTATGTTCTATATCTGTTGTCAGGTTATCAAAAATTAACAAATTATTTTCTTCTTAAATTTTTCTACTTAAATTTAATTTTACTTCTAGCTAGAATCTTAACAAAAGGAAATTTTATTAATTAAACCAATTAATTCATCTTCATGTTTCCAAAATTCTGGTTCAAGTTATAAAAAGTTAACTTCTAAACTTAAATCATGAATTTTTTCTTTATGTCTCATAAAAGTCTAGATATTATTTTTAAATATTTCATCAGTATCTTCTTTTATTTTTAAATCTAATTCAGGAATTTTTTTTAATTAAGCTATTTTTGATTTTTTTTATCTTTTTTATATTTATTAATCTTCATTATTTGTATTCTTTTTATTTAATCTCTTTGTTTCTCTACTTATTTCTTATTTTTATTTAATTTCTTAATACTCTATATCTAAATTATCAGCTTAATTTACTTCTTCTACAAAATTATCATCATATTCATTAATCTCTTATGGTTAATCATTAAAATGATAAACTAGTTATTATTTAGATTATTCTATATAATTATTTGATTATTTTTTGTTTTTTAATTCTTAATTTTTTTAATACAAAATATCAGAGAGTGAACATTTATATATTTAAGATAAATCCTTAACAACATTATCAATTTCATATTCTGTTTATTACTAATTATTTCGTTTAAGTAATATATGCATATTTATTGGAGTCTTTTATGATTCTATTAATTATAATTTATCTGCTGCTATAAGGTTTCTTGGATTTTCTTTAATACTAAATTAAGGCTAATCATCATAATAGCTAATTTTACTATCTAAACTCTTTTCTTTAATTTTACTTTATTTTTTCTTTTTTTTTTATTCTTTTTTTTATTATTAATCATCACATTGATCAATTAAAGAGTTTTAGAGTATCTCTATGTTTTTTTTCAAAAATTAATGTTGTTTTAGATAAATAATAGCTAACTCTGATAGATATTAACCACACTCTCTAAAGTTTGATGCAATTTAGAATTATATTTAACATTACTTAACAAGTTTCATTAAATTCATTTGTGAAGCTTATTATTTAGATATTTTTGTATTTTTATGAATTAATTAAAAAGGTTTACTCAAATCATTTTCTTGAAGTTCTTCTTCAATCATATTAAAATTAAATAGTATTATTATTAGTAAAATTAAAGAACCCAATTCTTTAATAATATTAATAATAATAAGAAATGAGTGAATCTTCATGTTCCTGGGATGCATGTTGTGATAGAGGTCTTCTGAATCTAGGGAGTTGTATTTGTGATTATGGATTCTTTGGTGATCATTGTGATTAACAAATATCTGATATTTTTACTTCCTAATAATATGTTTTCATTGGCTTATATTGTTTAGTCTTTTTATACACATTACTAAATGCTAGTTTTTAACTCTATAATACAATATTTGATAAAAATCTAACTCTTCAATAGAAGTAAAAGTAAATTTAAAATAGATCTTAGATATCCTTTAAACTATTAATCGCATGTCCAAAGAACTTAATATTAACATTGTCATTTTTAGTTAGCTTAATAAAATTGATTTGGTTAATTATGGATCCACTTTAAATTTATGTAATTTTTATTTATTATATAAAAGAAAGGAAAAACAATTGTAATTGAACATATTGTAAATGATATCACTTATACAATTTTATTCTATATATATGGATATTTATAAATTACATGGTATACAATGTATGCTGAGATCAGTTTTTATGTATCAGATTAAGTAATTAAATGCTTAAATATTTAGAATAAAAAAGAAAATATTCATAAAAATAATTAATGGATATGCTAAAATTATAAAAATATTGTGAAATTTAGATTATTTTTCATATTCCTTGTTTAAATTGCAGTCAGTATATTTACAGGTATATATCTAAATCAATTTTGTAGGATTAAGATTAGAAATAGATTTTCCTGATTTTGCTATCCTTTGTTATTCTTATCTCCTTATAAACTTCATTATATTTATTTTTGAATTTGCATTATATGGAATCAAACTATAAAATTGTATTCGTTATTAGCTTACTTAATTATATTATGAAAAAAAATAGAAAATAATGAATTTAATAACTTTAAAGGAAGAATTATAAAAGCAATTAGAGCAAAAACAAGTTGATGGATAATTTTAGTAAATTGACTAAATTAAAAAAATTGATTAATTTTCATCTGAAAAATCTTCAAGAAGACAAAGTGATGATTTGTCTTAGGTTATTGTACCTAGTCAAAAGGATAGATAAAAGAAAAAAGTTACATTTTGCAAAAATAATACAAGTTTGATGTTTTATCAATTAGAGAGTCATCATAATATTAAAATAACTAAAGATATCAATGAAGTCATTCCAGAGTAACCAGAAAATTTTGAAAGAGAATTTTACGGATTAGAGAATAATAATAAAAGTTTTTGTTTGGAAGAGTCTATAAAATAAATAGATTGGATTGGTGATAAAAAAGATTAAGAGATAATAGAAAAAGTTAGATAAAAAAAATTATTAATAGTAAGAGAAGCAAAAGAAAAAATAAAAGGAGAGCATGAATAAATAATTATATCATAAAAATCTAATATTAAAAAGTAAATTGATTTAAGCAATTTAAGTGATTAAAGTTAAGATTAAACATAATACACATAGATAGTATAATAGATTGATGTTTTTGAATAATAGAAATATTTAGAGGAACAATAATTATCATAAAAATCTAATAGTTTAGAAGCTGATAAAAATATTCTATATTAAATAATGCTTTTAATATTTTTAGGAATTACATATGAGGTTATGTTTGGAATTATGTGTATAATTGCTTTAGTTAGTGAAGCCATTTATTCAACTCCAACTGGAACTATTGTTTATTTATATGTATCTAGTACACTTTAGTTCTTATCATTATTTAATGTATTAAAATTATTTAAGGATTTTCGTTCATAATAAACAAAGAGTTTTATTTGGATTTAAAAAATAGGAAGTAAAAAGAACGATTTAGATTTAAACTATTCATTTATTATACCAAAAGAATACAAACAAGATGATGATATGTTAAGAAAATTAGAAAGTAGAATCAATTTAATTACTTTATATTGATAATATTCTTATTATTTTAATATATACAATACAACAATCTAGAAATTCAAATAATCAATTTCACTTAAAATTATTTTCTTTAAAGTAGTCTGCCCTAACTAATTTGATTAATTTCTAAATCATATTAAAATAAAATACTTCTCTTAGTTCCTATTCTGTTATATCATTTCTTTCGTATTAATCAAAATATTATGTGAGAAAATCATCTTATGCTATTATGAATTCCTTTAATTGAATTTTTTCTTTTTCTGTTATGAATTTATTTTTGAATAACTCAGTTGTAAAATATAATTATTTTGCTGGCTATCTTTATAATTATTCCATTAATATATATTAATATTTTATAATAATTTTAATTCTTCACTCTTTAGGCTAATTAAGATTCTCTTCCTCTATTAACTTTTTTTATTGATCTTCTTCTGGTTGTTAAACTTATTAGATTTCAAATTCTTCTTATTAATTATTATTTTTTTCATTTATTTCTTCTTGATTTTCTGTTTAAACTTCTTTTTCATTTTCTCCCTATTACTAAAGACTATCTGTTTAAATTTAAACAGATTATTCCTATTACTCTTTTTATATATTGGCCTCCTATTATAAACTTTAATTTCTATATTATTCGATAGTCTAAACTAAAATATCCATTTTAGTATGTATATCAATGAAAATCTTTGTTACTGTTTTATTTCTTCTAATAACAATATCTGGTTCAGGATTTTCAGTTGGTGTTAAATTGGTCAAGGCACGTAAAAATTATTATGCCTAAAGAATATTGTATTAATGATACTTCATTTATATCTGAGTTTAGATTCTCAAAAGATTAATCGTCTTCACCATCATCCTAATATGTTCGTAACAATAATTTTTTATAAGCACCTTCCAAAAAGTTTTGGTTATAACTTTATCTTTTACCTAGTAATTCTTATTCTCTAAACTGTTTATTATAATAAATACATCTTCCATTTATCCAACTAAAAGCTATCAATTATGAATGTTTAATGTATCAAACCATGATAATATAATTATTAAAGTAATATTGTAAGATACAATGGCAATTTATCTTCTTTTGATGCTAAAAATTCAACACTAAATTCAGGAGCAGATAATAAGTTTTCATTAATTTTTCTCATTTGATTAAAACTCAAAGGTAAGAAGTTTGCTTAAATATATTGAATTACTTAGTTCTTCATATCTTTTGCTAATTCTTTAATATCAAATGTTCCATCAATTTAATGAGGATATTCAATTTCTTACTATTTATTGAATAATGCCAATAATGCAATCAAAGGTCTATAGATATTAATATCCATTTATTCTTGTTATAGTTCATCTTCTACTTTCTCCCATTAGATTGCATGAATAATTGCCTCAATTAAATTTTAAACTTTAAAATATAGGGTCCCTTTTAAAGTTTATAAGCTCAAAACTGTATAAATATTTTTAGCTAAATCTCGAGCTAATAATTATTCAAACATTTCCCTTTTGAATACTATTGGCCATGCTTTTTTTACTCTAAATTTATTTATAATTATATATACTAATCTTTAAACCATCCACATACTTCTCTAATTTTAAATAATTCTAAAGCACTCAAAAATGGAAAGATGTGTCTAGTAAGTATAATGGAAGGAATCATTTTTAAATTTGAAGTTTCATTCAAATATCTCATATAATCTGAATCATCACTTTTAATTTCTACTGTATAACTTTTACTTAATTTAAATACTAAGCTATTTGTTTAATCATTATAATTTTATAATTGATTTAGATTTAAAGTATTTAATGTCATAATACCGAATATGTCTTAACATGAAATCTATTATAATATATTTTATCAATACAGGTTTATTTTCTTCCTCTTCTTCTTCATTTTATTTTAATTATCTTAAAATTTATTGCTATTGTATTTTCAATTCTTATTGTTTCTATGCTAATTCTCTACTCTTCTCAAGAAGAATGTCTCTTTATTCTGTCAGTTTTTCAATCTATTCTCTACTTCTTTAGATTGAATGCTTTAATTGTTCAACATTTTATTCTAATTATTCTTAAGTCAACTATTATTGTTCATCTTATTTTTCAACTTATTAAATTTATTAATCTATTTCTTCTTCTTAAGATTAAAGAGCTGTTTTATTTTATTCTATTTATTATTAGAATTCTTCAAATTATTATTTTTGCTTTTAAATTAAATCTCCAAGCAATTATTCATCTTAATCAACTAACTAATCATTTTATTCTACTTAATCTGTTTGTATTTCTACTTCATTTTTATCATTTTAAGTATTAATTTATTCATTTTATTCTAATATATTCTTCTATTATTTTACTTATTCTAATTATTATTATTCTTATTCTAATTATTATTATTATTCTTACTATTCTTATTATTATTCTTATTCTAATTATTATTCTTATTATTATTATTATTCTTACTATTATTATTATTATTATTCTAATTATTCTTATTCTTCTTTTTATTCTTATTATTATATATTTTATTCTGTATTATCTTCTTCTTATTCTTATTAATGAATTTAATGATGATGACACAAACATTATAGTGCTTGTTCACCAATCCCATCTTTTGTTATATAAATGCTTTTATTTTTACTTTTAAGAATTCTCATAATTTTTTCCAATTGATTTAAGTTTACTTTTTAGTTTAACTCATCATATCCTTTCATAACATGATAAATTAACATTTCTAAATCAGATCTTTTCCTTTAATATTATTGTTCTATAAGTTCCTTCATGCTTGCAGGATCTGACAAATCATCAAATTCACTTGGCTATGCAATCTACAATAAATTGCAAAGACTTTCCAAAGGGGCTTTTTATAATAATACTTGATTATCAATATTATTGATAATTTATGCTAAAGTATGAATACTATCTTAAAAATTTTATGTTTAAGAGACTGGTTCATAGGCTGATGAAGAGGTTGATTAATTAAGAGGAGTTGTATCATTTGTATTTCTGGTGCTTACATTGTAATTATACAACTTAACAGGTGAATTTTAACTACACTAATTTTGATTTTAAATTTATTCAGGTTTTAATTCTTATTCTTCATTCTTGTTTTCTGTCTATTAAGTTTATGTATTTTAAGATTCATCAACTTATTATTCCTCTTTATCTGAATTATCATCCTTATGAGTTTCTTGATCCATTTTTGAAAAAAATAATTTATTAAAAATATATATATGATTATTCGATTTCTATTATTTAAATTGCCAAAAATTTATATTAATATTTTAAAAGATTTATATGCTTGTTTCTCTTTAAAGTTTGAAGAAAAACATTTATAATATACATTTTGGTTAATATATACAAAAAATCTTGTATTTTCAAATTAATCTATTAATTATTATATTCACTTAATACTTATTTATTGTTTATTTATAAATAGTTATTTCAAAGATAATAGAATTAAAGAAATTAATATTATATTAAGATTAAAATAATGAATTTAGGAGGTAATTAATTTTTAAATATATTCTTTTTTTTTTTGATTTTTAACAGAAACCATTATAATTGAAATCTTTATTATTCAAAGAAATTTTAATTATTTACGTAATAATTGATTCATTATTGAGTAAAAATAATACTTAATAATAAAAATATTTATTAATACTATATTATCACTATTATTGCAATAGTAATTTATTTTTATTAAATTAAATTAACTATTTTTATAAAATATCATTAAAAGATTAATTAAAATTTATTAAGAGTTAAATTTCTTTATGACTAAACTAATTATATCTTTAAAGGACTCTTTAAAATAAGATGAAAATAGAGGCATTTAAAATAGATTAAATATACTTATTATTAAATATGAAAATGCTTAGATATTGCAACCTTTTGTGTATGGAAATAGATATCTTAAGAGATGTTGAGTTATATTTTAGATAAAATTGATTGTAATAACAATTTCAGGAATACATAGAAGCTGTTAATATTTCGGAAGTATTAGAGATTAGTATGTTTTATTATAATACAGATATATAAAAGTAATTAAATTTTTGAATACTATATATATATATGTTGAATAATCATAAAAGCAATCCTTATAATTTTGAAAAAAAAGCAGACCATTTGTTATTATCTAAAAATATTTATGTTAAATTGTAATGATTATAACCATTTTAATAAAGAATTGAAATATCTTTACTATGCCTTTCTGAAATAATAATAACATTAATTCTTCTAATATGGACTGAATTTATTATCTTTTTTATATTTATTTTTAATTTAATACTTTATAATTATTGAGAAATGTTTTATTCATTAAAATTAATATCCTACTCTTAATGAGTATTATTATTCCATTTATAATTAATAAATTTCAATATATTTTGTAATTTTTAATCTTCTAATTAAATACTTTCTTATAATTCTACTTCATTTGTTTACATAAGTATGAGTCTAATTTTGAAATCTTAATTTAAATTATGAGCTCTGAATAAATATAGTTAGATAATTACATAAGTGTGGCAAATTTATGAGCAAAAAAGAGCATTTCACCTAAGGCAACAATATTAATGGACTTAGTTTGATTTAAGAAATAAGGTTAAACAAATTAATAAATTCTATTTATGTATATGAACTAATCATCTTATTGGTCTTTGTTTTCTATAATTTGAATAACTTCAGTGTATGGAGTTGAAAATACAAAAATAGTGCTTTCCAATTATTTTGCTAATTCAGGTAATTATAAGGATTAATAAAAATAATTGAAGGAATTCCCTAATGGTGGAAATATAATATAAATATTTTTGTAAGAGTATGTATGAATTTCAACTTAAAATAATTATTCAACTCTAAGTAGAGTCCCTAAATCAATTACAGTATAATTAATTTAATCTATTTTAGTATTATTGGTGTTTACACAAATATTATTAATAGAAACACAATCTTTTGTACATATATTTTATTTTAATTTGAAAGGAGATTAACATTGAAGACATCTTGATTCATATTCATGATAACAAGAAATACAATTCTAAGTACATTTTAAACATGTAAATGTTGTGGAATCAAAAGATGTATTAAAGGGACATTATAATTTATTTTAATCTTAGGGATTTTGAAATGGTAAAAGTTATGATTATTAAATTTCTTGAGATTAATTGTCAATCCAATTATAAAATATTAAGATTGAAATTGCTAGAAATATCACCAGAATAAAAATGTGTATAAATTATCCATAAGTATTTTTGTTAACCTTTTATTTGTTTCTAATTTTTGATTTAATAGGATAAAATTCATTATGATTATTGATCTCATCTTCTTCATCACCTTCAATCATTATTATATTAATAATTTAATGAAATTATTAAAAGCTATAGATTTATATGGTAAAGTACCAAAAGGATTGGCAGAGCCTACAAGTTCAGGAGCTGTTGTTTCAATTATAACTTTGATTTTCTTAGGATTAATGATCATGAATGAAATGATTGTATTGAATAATTACTATTATTTATATAGGAGTATATTACTATAGATGTTCAATCTGAAATAATTGTAGATCAATAATTGTCAAAAGATAGAGTTTAAGTGAGTTTTGACATTAAGTTTGTAAGGGCTCCATGTGACTTTTTAGAAATTGATCAATAGGATGCAATGGGATAAAGTTTATCATAATAATTTATGGAATTAAAATATTATAGGTTGGATTCAAGTGAAACAAGAATTGGAGAATATGTAAATATCAAAATTGAAACAATAGATCAGAAATTAAAATAATTGGATTGTGATTGAAGATGCTAGAACAGCTGTTGCTGAAAAATAAGGATGTGAAGTAGTTGGAAGTCTTAAGGTTAATAGAGTTAGAGGAAAGATATCATTTGGACCTCATCGATCTCATTCTTACATTGGTGCAGTTGGCAATCTACATCTTCCATTAGATTATTCTCATAAATTTGTATCATTTACTTTTGGAGATCAAAATGCTCTCAAAAAAGTCAAGAGTATGTTTAAGCAAGGCTAATTAGAGAGTTTGGCTGGTACTTAAAGAATTAAAAAATATGAATTGGCTAGTTAATCAGTATTCATAAATTAAACATTTTTAGATGTAACATGAACACTTTATTAACATCATTCCAACTCATTATACTTTGTTAAATAAACAAACATATTCTGTCTATTAGTATACAGCTAATCATAATGAAGTGAGATCACATAATTATGCAAATGTTCAATTAAGGTATAAATCTTTATTATTCAGATATGACTTTGCTCCTACAACTGTTACTTATTGGTAAACTAAAGAAGACATTTTGCATTTCTTAGTCCAAATATGTGCTGTGATTGGAGGTATATTCACTGTATCAAGCATGATTGAGGCTAGTGTATATAAAGTTATGAGGAATGTATTAAAAGTTGAGTGAAATTTTTTTAAATGAAATTCAATATCATTAATATAAATTTTTAGTCAGAAATAAATACATTATTGTAAATCAAAATTAAAATGTGAATTTTTAAATAAAATAGATAAAGTTATTGCTATTATCATATCTTATTTTCTTAAAATATTCACTCAACTTTAATCTTAAATTATTATTTTTAATATAGAACATTTCTATTTATTTATTAAAAAAATATATTCTTTTATAGTTTAATTACTAATTTAACTATAAAAGAATATAATTATCAAATAACAATTACACTTATGTTAATCAATTAATGACATATTTTAAAGATGCTATTTTAATTTAATAAATATCTAATTAAGATTCTTGTTATTCAAATTCAAATTAGCTATTTTTTAAATCAATCAATAATTTCTTATAGCCAATTTCTGAAAATGTTTGATTGATTCTTTAACCTAAAATTTAAGACTTAATCAGTAATTAGGTTTATTTATTAGTATTTAATTATATATATTTACTAAAAAGTAAAATTCTAGTTAAAATAATAAGATTTCTAAATTACTTTAAAAGTAGAATACTATATGATAGATCAATTAATAATATTAATATATTTAATAATATATATTATTTCAACTTTCAACTTTTGTTTCCAACTTTTCTTTTGTATTCTATTATTTTTCAGTCGTTTATTATACTTAATTTTCTTTTAAGGCTTGGGCTTCTTTCTCAATTTATAATTTATTTGTGTCTAAATAATATTTAATATCCTCAACAATAGATTTAAATTTAAGGAATTAAGGGGTTTGGTATTTATTAATAGTGTCTATTTATGCCATTTATTATTCTAAGAAAGTGAACTTGGTACAATTAAAAATTGGATATAATCTAAGTCGATGTAATTCCTTTTATTCATAAACTTAGACAATCATTTCATAAACAATTTTTGCTTCAGATACTTCTTAAGGTTGGAGATCTAAATTGAAACATTGATAGAAATCTTCCAAATTAACTTATTCTGTATTCAATTTAACAGGATTATATCCTTTCTTAATTAATTCTTCATTTAATAAATTGTGAATGTAAGTATCATTTTCTATATATGTCTTAAATCTGTTATTTAAGGTAAATTATATTTTATCAGCAGTTTTCTTTTCAAATTTAACAGTCAAACAATAGAAAATTTCAGGATAAGATTCTTATCTAGATAATAATAATTAAAATATCCTTTTAATAAATCTTCTAGAATGTACTTAAGTACAGAATTTTTCATTTTATGTTTTTGGTCTTCTTTTTTTAATAATTTTTCTTACAATACGTATCATTTAATTTTTTTTACGGTTCATTTTACCTGTTGCATAAGTTTCTTGTTCTTTCNTAAAAGAATATAATTATCAAATAACAATTACACTTATGTTAATCAATTAATGACATATTTTAAAGATGCTATTTTAATTTAATAAATATCTAATTAAGATTCTTGTTATTCAAATTCAAATTAGCTATTTTTTAAATCAATCAATAATTTCTTATAGCCAATTTCTGAAAATGTTTGATTGATTCTTTAACCTAAAATTTAAGACTTAATCAGTAATTAGGTTTATTTATTAGTATTTAATTATATATATTTACTAAAAAGTAAAATTCTAGTTAAAATAATAAGATTTCTAAATTACTTTAAAAGTAGAATACTATATGATAGATCAATTAATAATATTAATATATTTAATAATATATATTATTTCAACTTTCAACTTTTGTTTCCAACTTTTCTTTTGTATTCTATTATTTTTCAGTCGTTTATTATACTTAATTTTCTTTTAAGGCTTGGGCTTCTTTCTCAATTTATAATTTATTTGTGTCTAAATAATATTTAATATCCTCAACAATAGATTTAAATTTAAGGAATTAAGGGGTTTGGTATTTATTAATAGTGTCTATTTATGCCATTTATTATTCTAAGAAAGTGAACTTGGTACAATTAAAAATTGGATATAATCTAAGTCGATGTAATTCCTTTTATTCATAAACTTAGACAATCATTTCATAAACAATTTTTGCTTCAGATACTTCTTAAGGTTGGAGATCTAAATTGAAACATTGATAGAAATCTTCCAAATTAACTTATTCTGTATTCAATTTAACAGGATTATATCCTTTCTTAATTAATTCTTCATTTAATAAATTGTGAATGTAAGTATCATTTTCTATATATGTCTTAAATCTGTTATTTAAGGTAAATTATATTTTATCAGCAGTTTTCTTTTCAAATTTAACAGTCAAACAATAGAAAATTTCAGGATAAGATTCTTATCTAGATAATAATAATTAAAATATCCTTTTAATAAATCTTCTAGAATGTACTTAAGTACAGAATTTTTCATTTTATGTTTTTGGTCTTCTTTTTTTAATAATTTTTCTTACAATACGTATCATTTAATTTTTTTTACGGTTCATTTTACCTGTTGCATAAGTTTCTTGTTCTTTCTTTTCATCTAGATATTTCTTAATTCTATTTAAATTTAAGAATGTTTATGCAATAGGAAGTTGTTATTCTTCATAATCCTTCTTATTATTTTTCCATGTTTCAAGTGGAACTTTTTTTAATTATTCTTATCCTTTTTATATAAATTCCTGTAAATTTTAATCTTAAAATATTTTTTCAAGTTTTTCTTTAACTTTTTCTCTTTAATTGTATATAATCTTAGTCATTTAACATATATTAGATGGTTATGATTTTTAAAGATAATGTTTGTATTTGTTTTCAAAATTTTAAGTAATGGAATTAAGTTAATTAAGTGAATAAGTTTAATTTAAGATATCATTTAGATGAGTATCTCTAATTATCATATCTAATTCTTTAATATTTAATAGTTATTTAATAAGTGGTTTTGTAGCTTCAATTGAAATAGTATCTTCAGAATTCAAAACTCTTACAAACTATAAATATTATAGAAATGAAATAATTGGCAAATCAAAGTCTATAGCATAACATAGAATAATTTTGGTAGCTATATCTCTTACTTATTTGTATTTAATTTCAGTTTGTATTGAAATATGATGAGTTTGATCTAATGAATCATCATCTGAATTATCCTCTAAACAAAAGGTTTCTAATTTTTTCATTTTTAATTAATGAATAAAATAAGACATCGATGTTGAAAGGGTAGAAATTCATTTTAATATTTGGAAGTGAATAATTGTTGATTATTTATAATAAATATTATATAATTATTATATACGTGTAATAAATATGTTTGTCAAATTTGAGAGACATTCAGATCGTGTAAAAAGTGTATCTTTCCATCCTCATCGTCCTTGGGTGTTAAGTGCACTTCATTCAGGTGTAATAGAACTAATTGATTATCGGATGAAAAAGCGTATAGCAACATATGAAGATCACAAAGGTGCAGTTCGATCAGTTTAATTCCATCCATAATTGAATCTATTTTGTTCTGGAGGAGATGATTATACAGTAAGAGTATGGAATTTTAAATCATGTCAATTTGTATTGAAAGGACATTTAGATTATGTAAGATGTGTTACATTCCATCCAATTAATCCTTGGGTATTATCTGGATCTGATGATTAAACAGCTAGAGTATGGAATTATTAAAGCAGATAAACTATTGCTATATTAACAGGACATACACATTATATAATGTCATGTCATTTCCATCCAACTTAAGATTTCATAGTGACTTGTTCATTAGATTAAACAGCAAGATTATGGAATTATGGAGTACTTAAATAAAGATATGCATAAAAGAAGAATCAAGAGTATGTACTTTCTGGTGCTGAAGTATAAGTAATTGCAATTATGGATGGACATAAAGATTAATTAAATTGGTGTGCTTTTCATAAATCTGAACCATTTATTATAACAAGTGGTGATGATAAAAATATTAAATTATGGAAATACAATGAAAATAAAGCATGGGAATTTGATTCATTTACAGGACACACTAATAATGTTTGTTGTGCTGAATTTCATTCAAAAGGAGATGTCATTATTTCAGATTCTGAAGATCATACTATTAGAATATGGGATTTTACTACTAGAAAATAAATTGCACTTTATGAAAATTAACATTATGATAGATATTGGATAGTAACTTGTCATCCTAATAATTATTATTTTGCTTGTGGTTCTGATACTATGCTTTAAGTATTTACATTACATAAAGATCGTGTACCTATTCTATTAGTTAATGAAAGATATTTATGTATGGCTGAATAAAAAATACTTAAAGTAATTGAATTGAATTCTGAATAATAATAAATTATAAGAGATATTTCTACTCTTATTATTCCAAATCCAACTGTTCTTGAAGATAATATAGAATCAATTGATTACAATACATATGATACTTAAAAAACATAATTAATGGTTAGATGTATAAGATCTCTTAAAGAACCAAATAAATTAAAGAGACATTTACTTATTGCATTTTAACCTTAGAAAGGTGATTCTGGAGTTAAATAATTCCATTCTAAATCAGCTTGTTTTATTGGAAAAAATAAAATTGCTCGTATTAATTAAGAATCAAAAATTGAATTATATAATTATGAAACTGATGCAGTCTCTTTAATTGATGATAAATAGGCTTCAAAAATATTTACTGCACCTGGAGGCAAACTATTAATTTATAGAGAAAATATAAATGAAAATAAAATGTAAAATGTATCAGAAAATAGTTATTTAGAATTATTTGATCCACTAACAAAATAAGGTATACATTAAATTGAATATTCTAATGCTAAATATGTTCAATATCATGATTCCTATTTAATTGTATAAGGAAAATTATCATTAACTATTCTTACAAAATAACTTTAAAAATTAATTGAAATTCAAGAACAAATTAATATTAAATCATTTATTTGGGTTAATAACTTTATAATCTATACAACAAAAAGCCAAATTAAATATTTATTATTAAATGGTGACACTGGAGTATTAAAATCTACTGAAAATATTCTCTATTTAGTGAAAGGAGAAGAATAATAGTAAAATAAATTAAAATTAATTTCAGTTGATAACACTGCATAATATATAACATAAGTATTGGATATTCAAGAACCATTATTTAAAATTGCCATTTTAAATAAGGATCTTAATGCAATTCATAAATTTGTTGAGAATAATTAAAATGAAGCTGTACTCTCTTACTTATATTAAAAAAGATTAGCATCTGTAGCTTTAAAATTAGTCAAAGATAAATGGGGTAATCAAATATTATATTAATAATAGCTAAATTTTCATTATCTTTAGATTCTGGTAATTTGGAGTAAGCATATAAAGCTGCTATAGAAATCAAAGATACTAATTTATTTGAATAATTAAGATCAGAAGCTCTAAGATAAGGTAATAATTTATTGGTTGATGTATGTGACTAATAACTTAATTAATTTGATAGATTGGCCTTTTTATATTTGTGTACTGGTAATATTGAAAAATAAGAAAAATTATAAAACATATAACCTAATTACATATATTAATCCTAAATTTAGAAATAAAAATCTATTAAATAAAATCTACCAAAATTAGCTTAAATTATAGATCATCTTAATGGAAATAGTTAAAAATTAGATAAGAATCAATAAGAAACTATTGAATGGATAAAATCACTTGGTGGAAGTCAAACATTAATACCACCAATTCCAATAATGAAATATAAAAATGATTCATGGCCATTGTATTAAATGAATGAGTAAGATATAATCAATCTTGAAGTAACTGAAGAATCAATAGCACCATAAGATATATTCACTATATAAAAATAAGTAATAGAAGAAACACAAATAGAAGAATAAATTAATAATGATGGTTAATGGGGATTAGAAGATGAACCAGAAGAAGAATTCTTTGAACCTAAAGTAATATAGGAAAAGGATAAAAATATTGATTAAAATGCATTAAGGGGAGTATTCTTGGAATAAAAAGGAGAAGTAGCTATTAAATATTTTGCTGCTGGTGATTATGAAACAGGGATTAAGTTATTAAAACAGCAAATAAATTTTAATAATCAATAATAATTATTGAAATTATTAACAGGAGTAACATCTTTTTAAGTTGTAACTTCTATTCCATATTTGAATACTTCAACTTTACCAGTTAAATTAAATAGATTGAATGAAATTAAGACTCTTATCAAATAAGGTATTTATAGCATTATTTTATTATAGGATATAAATATACAACCGACGCTAAATTTGGAGAAGTTAGTAATTGTTTCTAATAGGTTTTATAGAAATTATTACTAACAGATTTTGAATCAAATCAAGTAGAGGAAATCAAAAAGTACATTAATATTAGTAGAAATTATATGATTGCAATGAGATGTGATTCTCTAAAAAAAGAAAGTAATGCTTTAGAAATGGCTTGTAAGATGGCTACAATAGAATTACAACCTTCCCATAGAATCTTAACATTAAGATAAGCCCTTAGTATAAGTTATAAATAAAAGAATTTTATTACATGCTAATAAATTGCTAAAAAACTTATTGAATTATTGAAAAATGATACTACTCAAAAACCTGAAGTACTATAAAATGCATAAAAAGTAAGAATTATTATTTATTATTAGTATGAGAAAGCATCTTAATAATAAAATACAAATGCAATATAAATAGATTTCAAAGAAAATTGGCTGAATGAATAGCCAATCTATTCTGTAGATACACTTAAAAATCTTTAAAATTATAAATCATGTCCATATGATGGAAGTTCATATGAAAATGATTATTCATCGCTTTGTTTGATTTGTGGATTGTGTTAAGTTGGTAAGGCTCCTGGTTTAAAGAGTCTTCAATAACCTTGAGTAGATTTAACAAGAGATCTGTAAATTATTATGCTTCATTTTTATAAGATAATTCATTTTTTTATTTTAATGTTATTATTTCACAATTAATAATATATATTTATATTTTTTTAATATTTATTAAATCTTTGGAAATTTAATATTTTGTTGTTTTCATATTTGGTTTCTATATCAAAAAGAAAATAAGTAATTAATTAGATATTTTGAAAGATTAATAAAAAATTGAAGTAAAAATAAAACATCATTTTTAATCTCCTTAAATATTCATTATAGACCAAAGCTATAATATTTTCAGTGGAATATAGATCATCAATGATATCTTTAAAATTGAAAATTATTGAATTTAATTATTAAATGATAGAAATACAATATTATAATTAACAATTAGCAACTAATGAAAGCTAAATTATTAAAATTAAATAATGTAAAATACAATACATCATAAACGATTGTTTTTGCTCATAATCTTTAATAAAGTTTTTAATTCAAAAATGTGATCAAATTATACCTTAATACTCTTAATGGATTAGAATTAAAGTTAAAAGCTATAATTCAATCATTAGTATAAAAGGGCAATTTTTAAATTCATATGAATCAAGAAGATTTAAATAAATAAAGATATTTATTATATATTATAATAATGTTTATTAAACAGAAAAAGTCTAATTTTTTATTTTTGAAATAGTAGATTATGAAATATATAATATAAAATATAAAATAATATAATTTATCGTTAATCTAGAGGTTCATTCAAAACCATCAAAATATTAGACTAATAATTAAAAAATAATCATCTAAAATAAAGAAATATTGCTTTTGTAAAATAATTTAAATGAAAAATTGAATTTTTTAATGTATTGCTTTGTTAATAGTCTTAATTTTGATTATTTATCAATCATAAAACTATTTACTGCTTATGATTTTGAGATAATAAAGTTTATGTAACATTATTTAATTTATATTAAATATTCTAAATAAAAAATATATCTTATTGATTCGGTTGTTTATTCTGGATGGGATACACTAATATAATCACTCAATATTTAAAGTCTTTGTTAATTTCCATTGTTAATTTTAACTTAGGGTTTGATATAAGTTATTGTTGAATTATATAAAGTATTGTAAATTCATCATTTCCATTAAATCAAAGTAGGGATATTATACTTTAGATAAAATAATATAAGAAATTCCAAATTCAAGATTTGAGATATATATAATTATTTTAATATATAAAATGATTAGTTCAATTGTGTTTATAAATCATAAGGGAGAAATCCTTATTTATAGAGTCTATAAGGATGATATAACAAGAAGTGAGACTACACAATTTTGTGCTAAAATAGTGGCCACCAAAGAAAATAAAGAATGTCCAATAATCAATATTGATGGTAAAAAATAATATTTAAAATTAAAGGAACATCATTTATCCATATTACTATTAAAGACATTGTAGTGTTAGCCACAACAAAAGTAAATGTAAATGTAGCTATGACCTTATAATTTCTTTATTAATTAGTATGAATACTATATTAAATTTAGGTTAAAGTGTGCAGAGCTTATTTTGGTGGAGAATTTGATGAAAATTGTATTAAAAAGCATTTTGTGCTTATTTATGAAATTCTGGATGAAGTAATGGATTATGGTGTACCTTAAATAGCTGATGCAGATCTTTTGAAAAAAGTATCATACTTAATACTAATGTTTAATAGTATATTTAAGAAGGAGGACTAAAGCCAGAGTTGATGAATGATGTAGAAAAGTTGAAATAATTAACATCTTAAGCAACAGGAGCTACTTCATGGAGGCCACCAAATCTTGTATATAGAAAGAATGAAGTTTATTTAGATGTCATAGAGAGTGTGAATGTGTTGATGTCAGTAAAAGGAACAATCTTGAAGGCAGATGTGGCTGGATCAATATAAGTGAAATGTTTATTATCTGGAATGCCTGAATGCAAATTTGGAATGAATGATAAATTACTAATGTAGAGAGAACCTCGTAAACCTGGTCAAACAACAACAGACAAAGGTATTACAATAGATGATCTTAAATTCCATTAATGTGTTAAATTACCTAAATTTGATAAGGAAAGAGCAATTACATTTATTCCACCTGATGGTTAATTTGAATTGATGACTTATAGGATTACTGAGAATATTAATTTACCATTCAAAATTATGCCTGTATATAATGAATTAGGTAAAAACAAATTAGAAATTCGAGTCAAAGTATTAAGTTTTTTATGAATATTTTTAAGATAAAATCAATATTTGAGAAGAATCTATTTGCTACAAATTTAGCAATAAAAATTCCAGTGCCTAAAAATACAGCAAATGTTAATACTAATTCAGCAATAGGAAAAGCAAAACATGAACCAGATTAATAAGGAGTTATATGGAGAATAAAGAAATATCCTGGAGATTTTGAAGCTTTATTACGTTGCGAAATTGATTTAGGTTCAACAACAAATTAATAGCCTTGGATTAAACCACCTATTTCAATGGAATTTTAGGTTCCTATGTTTACAGCAAGTGGTTTAAGAGTAAGATTTTTAAGAATTTATGAAAAAGCTGGATATAAACCAACAAAATGGATTAGATATATCACAAAAGCTGGTGAATATTTGCATAGATTATGATAATAAAATAATCCAAAATATATTTATCAATTATCATTATATGTCTTATATCTTATGTTACGAGCCTTACTTTAATATTTCAAAGTTTGATAAGATTAATAAATTTTATGAGCTTGTTTTATATTTGGAGTATGTGGTCTTTACTTAATCTGTAACTGTTTCTTAGGTTCTGCTAATCTATCTTATTATTTAGATGAACAAGCACTGCTAATCCTTAAAGGACCTGTCTTTTAATAGTTTCTTAGTTATCTTTGAAATTAAATGTCTACATTGTCCCACCAATAACATGGATTACATTATCCACCATCATTTACTATTACAAAATAATCTCTCCCAGTTCCATCCCCCCAATACTTTGTAGTTTTTATAGGTATCTAAGGAGGTAGATTACCAGAACGTCCTAAGTTACTATTTGATTTTGTAAGGTAATGCATTTTTTCAAAGTCATGATTAGCTTATGGAGCTATTTGAGATTACAAAGTCTGATTCATCTATCCACCATTAAACTTGCTTATGTAAGAATCCCTGTGATCAGTTATTTTAAATACCTTCCTGTACCATCATTATGATAATTATTCACTTTAGGTTATAATCGACAATATACTTAGCGAGCTGCCATTATAATAATTAATTAATCATTTCTACAATTCTCTTAATAAATGAGCTAAATAGATCAATGGATTAAATTCTAAGGCTTCTCTTTGTTACTTCATTTACTGTTTCAAATGCTATAATTCTTGTTTTTCTGGGGCTTCTTCCTCATCATCTTGATCTTCTTGAATTTGATTTAATGCAAGATTTATTTCCTTTTTTATATCTTATGGACTTAAATCATCTATTGAGATTCCTATAGGACCTTATAATTAGTTGTTTATAGGAAAGATAGATTCATCATTTTTAATGAGTTATGAACTCATACCTATAAATTCATCATTCTCTGCAGAGCCCTAAGATGAAGATTCATAAGCAGATCCTAATTCATTTTTCAATCTTTGTTTCTCTACTTTCTTCTATTCAATACGGTCAAATATTTTTATTTTCTTCAATCTTTCTTAATGTTTTCTCACTTCCTCTGTCTTTACTACATGATCTATTAACTAAACTAAAGCAGTATGTAATTTAGGATAGACTTAATTCTCTAAGTATTCTATTTCTTTCATTGTAACAATTGAATTTTATAACTACATTAATTAATCTCATTATTTTTGAAAATCATTATACTAATTATATATATTAAATAAATTAAATTTTACATTATATTAAACTATCTTAAATATTTAAAATAAATTGACAATATATGTTAGTTCTTCTAGAATACAGTATAATAAGTAATTATTAAAATAATTTTATCCAATTTTAGCTTGTCAAAATTTTTAATGAATTAAGAGTACAATTTGTTGATTCTCTTAATTAAGAAACTTTAGATGAAAGTTAAGCAGAGACTAAATATACTGAAAGAATTGCTTAATTAGAAAAAGAATTTGCAGAATCTTCAAGATCAGTATTAATAAAAAATTCTGAATTGGCTGCAAATGAATGTATATTCTATTGAAAAATATTAATTTAGAAAAACTTGGAGAAACAATTGTCTATGTAGGATAAAGAAAAGATGATAAAGAAACTCTTGAAGCTTAATTGTAAGCAGAAAATGATAATTATGCTGCAGAGACAGATTTATTCATAAGAACTATAAGTGAATATAATAAAGAAATTGAAATTAGTAAATAAGCCTATGGTCTACTTACTTAACAAAGTTTCGAATCTTATGTTAAATCAAAAGTTGGAATTTGATTAAAAATACAGATAAATATAAATATATATATATATATATTTTAATTCAAAGAAGATATTTCATCAAATCTTTTGCAGCCATAGCAATAGATTTGTCATCTTTTTGATATTTTTCCAAAACTTATACTAAGATATCTTTCTTTTCTATTTTAAATGGTTTTTATTCATTTAATACAACCATCCAATGTAATAATTTAATGATTCTCTTATTTAATTAAGGACATAGTAATGGGATTAATTAATTAAATAATTACTACCTTATTTATGATAGTTTTCCTGGATAAAAATATGCCAAATGTAACATATATGTTAACAATGTTAATTGACATCCAGGTGTTGATATGTTTATTAATTGTTAAGCATATTAAAGAGTGAAATAAAATTGATCTTAAAAAAATAAGAATTCTTATGGGAAAGGTTAAGGAATCAAAGTATTATCTGGACTAACAACTATTTTATTATTCCCTCGTTATAATTCAGTAATAATTTTGCTTGTTATTGCTACCATAATAGAAGATAGATCTTCAAATGCCCATTCTTACTTCTATTTTGTAAATTAGACAAATATTTATACTGATTTATCTAAACTTTAATATTTAATTTATACCTATAATTTAAAATTGCTTAAGATCTTCAATTGAACTACCCTCAACAATCTTTTGAATGATATTCAATGTATGACCTGTGATATTATTACTATCAGGCTTATACATATCTAATATAGCTTATAAGACTTCATATCTTTTAAAATGAGGAAGAAAGAGTGAATTGTAAGTTAGGAGAATTGATGCTAATTTTAGTGCATAAAATGGTAAAGGAGGTTATTCTTGGAATAATTCTTTTAATAATGGGAGGATTAATGTAATGATAATATTATTCAATTCATTAGAATAAGGTTTTAAGAAATTAGGATAATCATATATTCCTTCTTCCTATAATAAAGCACTTAATAAATCTATAATCAATTTCAAAAACATAAATTTAGTTTCAGTACTTTATTACTTAACCATATAATCAATACAATTTTTAAGGACTTATTAAATAATTACTTATTATTATTTTATTAAAATTTTAGAATTAGTACACATTTTAGACATAATATTTAATAATGTTGTTTGAATTTATGTTTTATTTTTAGATAATGATAATAATTCTGTAAGTATTGGTAAATATTAAGATGAGAATAATGATTGTTATAAAACAGGTGTTTATGAGTATTAGAATAAAACATTTAAATAATTGCCATTAGTTTTCTTTGGAGAGTATTCCATCAATTATGAATCAGTCAATGATTAATTAATTTATGTGATCATAATAGGAGTACAATCACATAATTATTATACTAAATGTTACAAGCATTATTTTAAATAATCATTATTATCTCTAAGTCCTTTATCTAAAATTTAATAAAATCTTAATTATTCTTCTGATAGATTAATAAGTGTAACTATATTAAATTTAATCATCAACATTAATGCAATAGCTGCCTTTCCTCTACTCACAGCATTACCATGATCCAATAAATATACTAAACCTTTTATTAATTAAGCTAATTTTTAATAAGAAATCTTATCATACATTCTTCCATTAATAATTTATTGACAGCATTTGAAGCTAATTAAGATACATTATTGCTTGATGAATCTTATGTGCTTACACTTTGTAAAAGATGAATATTGAATATTGTAATCATAGCTTATTACACTCTTTGTAAATTATCTAAAAATATCTAGATTTATTAAAATGATAATATATACTGATACTAAATTTTTTAATCCAAGATTTTACATAAATACATCAACTTATTAATTATCCAACATTAATAAATTAGCTAAGGTAATTGCACAACTTATTCTTAAACTATCATTTTTAGTTGTTAAAAAGCATTGGAGAGTCATTAAAACTATTTCTGATTTAGCAAATCTTTGTCCTATTGATATTGATTAAGATGAAATGTTTTCAATTGTTTTTATACAATAAAATTTCACTAATTTATTTTAATTAATTTAATACCAATTTCATCTTCATTCTAAGATTTAATAATCTTAATTAATTAATTGAAACTAAGATTACTCATCTTCCAATAAGGATTTTAAGGATCTTCTTCCATTTAAGTTGCTCCATAAAATAAATATTCTCCTAAAGCTGCTGCTGCTTTTCTTCTAACATTATTTTATTCCTTAGAATTTAATATTTCCACCATAGCCTCTGGTATTCCATGTTATGAAACTTCAGGTTCAATAACAGTAGCATGTCGAAGCAATAATCCTAAAACACAACAAATTCTGTATTTTAATTATGTTAATTTACTAACTGTTAGTAATTTTAATAATAATTAAACATATGCAGAATTGATTAAACGATTAGCTGCATTAGATGTCTATATAATTTATTCAAAATAATTTAGAATATTTAATTACTCCTATTATTTTCCTATTTATAACGAATTGTATATTTATTCAAAGTGATATTCTATTTAATCAGTATCAATATTTCGATTAACATCATCTGAATTTATATATTAAAAAGGTAATGATTCCTTAGTAAATGTAGCATCAATTGATTTTTCAATTTCTCTATTTCCAATAATAGGTTTGACTGAATTATCAGAACTATGAGTGAATAATTAATCAATAGGAATCAATTGATCATTTTCATTTCCCTTCTTTTATTGAGGTGTAATCCCTCCTGGTATAGGTGATTAATTAAGAAGACTTTAAGTAGATGGATGCACTGAATCTTTTTTAATAGTAAATGGTTTCTATTGTAAATGAGGTGAATTAATAGAATTCAAATCTGATTATACATTAGTTTAGAATTCTTCAGGTTATTTATCAATTTCTTCATCCTCTTATTATTATTCTGATCCTATCAATATTTCTTAATCTTTATTTGTTAATTTGAAATCCTTCTCATTACTGCTAATCTATTTATGATATTATTATTATTAAGAACTACTAGGTACATCTTCTCTTAACATATTCTTATGAACATTCAAGGATAATCTTACAATATCAACTTATTTATTATTCTATTGAACAGGAGTTACTCTAACTAAATTGTTTTTTTTGCACCATGTTTCAAAATGTGGTTGAGATGGTACATTCAAATATTAAATATTTAAAAATCTACAGATTTTTTCCCAACCCCATCTTTTTAGAGGATCTTTCTCTAATAATCTAATATTAAATGATAAAGAATTACCCTTTTATAAAGTCCCAACATTAGATTTCTAATGGTTTTACTTCTGCATTCAAAATTAATTCAACTAACTCAGTAAAGCTGCTGCATTAGAATGGAGGTTATCCAATACATAATTCATATGCAATACATCCCAAAGCCCATAAATCACTTTAAAAACTATAAACTCCACCTTCATGAAATAATTCTGGAGCCATATAATAAGGTGATCCTCTTTTAGACATTTCTACATCTGGACCTATAGTAGCTGATATCATATCAACCAAACGTTTTGCATTTCCTAAATCACTTAATTTAGCTACTCCATATTCATTAAATAAAACATTAGATGGTCTCAAATCACAATAAACTATAATTAAATTTAAATGACTCACTTATGCCCTTAGAATGCAAATAATTTAATCCTGCTGCCATATCCCTTACAAATCTTAACACTATGTTTTCTTATAACCCTTATTAATCTGCTTCAATTAGTGCCATTAAATCTCCTCCTGGACAATATTCCAAAATCACCCAAAGATGATTACGTGTCTCATACCAATGATAAAATTTCAAAATATTTGGATGTTTAAGACCAGAGAACATTTTAACCTGAATCATTTAAATTAATTCATACTTCATTCAAAAGTTTTGTACGTCTTCCTTTTTCTAATGATTTTACTGCCATATATTCAATTGTCTTCTTCTTTCTTCCCTTATATACAACTGAATACTTTCCTTTTCCTATCTCATCATAAATATGATAGTTATTCATAATTTTTAAATTTTGTTTTATTTTATTTTATGGGCAAGAAGAAATTCATCAACAAATAGAATGCTGCTACACTTAAAATGGTTCATTAACCAGGTGACAATAATCAAGGAGCTACAGACATGATTTGTTTCTAAAAAGTTAATCAACCTGGTGCTCAAAATGATGAATTGTATTCTTATCTAAATATTGTAGATCTGAACTTATTGAAAAAGAACTAAACAAAGGTAAATTTGATCCTAATCTTAAACCTCGAATCCCTTAAATTGATCCTACCTAAGAAGCTTTACATTTGGTTGCAGGAAGAGAAGACCTTTGGATTCATCAATTAGCTAAATAAAAGGCTTTATAAGCACTTAAAGAGAAATAAGAATAGTTCTAAGATGTAGTAATGAAACATTATGATGAAAATGGATTACCTTTAGATGGGTATGATTATTCTTAACATCTTGCTCCAGAAAGACGTAATAATTTTATTAATATCATCTCTTAGCTTAAGGAGAAGTAGAATGTGTCTTTGTTGTTCCTGAAGAAGAGAGATCAAAGGTAGTCTATGATATTGATTTCAAAAGAGAAGAATTAACAAAAGAATAATAAGAAGTTTATGATTTATTAATGAAAGAAGAAGAAGAAGAAGAAGATCAAAATAATTAAGATAATTAAGAAGAATTAGATGATGATTTTGTTGCAAACTTAATACAATAAAATAAATAGTAATCCTTTTAATAAGAAAATGAGGAGAAAGTAGAAAAAATAGAAAAAGTAGAAAAAATAGAAAAAGTAGAAGAATCACCAAAAAAATAAGTTAGATTTTAAGATCAAGTAGAATCAGATCATGATGAAGATTATGAAGATGAAGAAGAAATGGAAATTACTTATGATAAAAAATAAATGAATTAAAAATCATAATAATAAAAATAATAATAAAAATAATAATAATAATAAAAATAGACTAAATAATAATAAAGTGATTCTGATTCAGAATTAGAAATTGATTCAGATATGGAAAGAGAATTTGAAAGAGAAATGAATGCTTATGAAGCACCTGATGATGAAGATGATGACCAATAAAATAAAGATTTTGTTAATGATTAAATGCTTAATAAAGTTATTGATGATCATTTAAATACTATGACCAAAAAATAATAAAAAAAGTCTAAAAACTAATAAAAATCACAAGATTAACCTGAAGAAACTGAATGTATTATATATATTCCATAAAATATTTTAGAATAAAGAGAAAGAAGACTTGAGTATTTAAAAAATACAGATTATAATGAATACTTAAGATAGAAGTTCCCTAATGCAGATTTTTCTTAATTCCATTTAAAAAAGGAAATACCACCACTTACTCCTGAAGAAGATATTGCATTATAGAATTATCTGAATAGAGAATCTAGTGATGAAGAATGTCCTGATATGGAACCAGCAGAAAAATATTAAGAAACTATTGTTACTAAATCTCTTCATAATACTACAATGTCTAAAATGAATCCAGATTAATTGAACATAATTAAATATAAATCAAAAAATTAAGTATCAAATACTAAAGAAGATAGAATGAAATAAAAAGAAGAAGAAAAAAATAAAATTAAAGAATTAAAATTAGAAAAAGAGAAAGTTAAAGAAGCAGTATGTGGTATATATATTTAATTTTATTTTAGAAACTTTGAAATAAGTAGTAATTAAAAAAGAAGAGACTCTTGAAGAAAAGAAACATAGAAAAGAATTAGTGAAATAATTGAAATAAGCTTAAAAAGAGAAAAAAAAGGCATTTAAAGAACAATTATAAACTATGTCAAAAAAATTGTAAAAATAAAAATTGGCTAATATTTAAAGTAATTAAGCTGAAGGAATTTCAATTGTTAAAATAGCATGATTATTTTATTTTTGTTTAATAAAATTTTTATTAATATATATATTGTTAGTTATATTTTAAATATGAATACTGTTATTGAATAAAATAAATTAAAGAACTTAGCCACTTATATTAATGAAGAGGAAAGAAAGTTTTAAAAACATTTAGAAAAAACAGAAAAGACAAATTAAAAAAGAATTGATCTTGAAGAAGAAATACATAAATTACAATTAGAGATTATCAGTATATTATAATAATTCTATTTTGAGAGCAAAACCACATGAAAGAAAATGCAGAGAAACTATAAAAGGATTACCCTTAATTACTTTAAGAAAGATAAAATGAACTTATTAATCTCCAGAAAGATTTAGCATTGGCTACTGCAGCTAAAAAAGTAAATTTATTAGAAAAAAGTTAGGCAGCTTAATAAGAATTTGATATTTAAATTAAACATCTTTAGTAATAAATTGCTGAATTAAGAAGAGAAAAACAAGATTTGAAAAGAGAAAACTTAGGAAAATAAGAAAAATAAACAGCTTTGAGAAATGACTTATAAAAGTTTGGAAAAGCTTTACAGAGTAGAGAAAAGCCTCCTGTTGAATATAAAATATATAGTTCTTCTGGGGGTTTTGGACCTATTTATTAACCATAAGAACCTATTTATTAACCATTAGAACTAAGTATTAACCGACCAATAGATAATATTTATTAACCATAAGAATAATAATACTAGTAACATATATTTTATTGATTTATTTGATTATTTAAGTTTATTTTAATTATATTTGTCTGATAACTTAATGCAATAAGATCCATATAATTGGCCATTTCCTCATCGTTAAGATCTCATGAGTCTATCAACAATTAGTATTTATAATATATAATTAGAAAACTAAAAAAGAGATATCATCTATGAAAATAGATCATAATCAACAATGACAATATAAGGTATTGACGGAGCAGCTCCTAAGTTAAAACCATATCAATATTTAAATAAAGAATAATTTTGTAATCGAGATGATGATATCCCAGGAACTAAATCTAGACCTTTAATCAGATCAAACAATAGATCTGATAATCAATTAATGATTGATGATATCAAAGGAACAAGACCTAAAGTTAATAAATTTTCAACAAATAGAGAACCTGTAAATCCTCTTGAACCTGTCTATAAAATAGCTTCCTATGAATAAGCTGAACAAATTTAACCTAAATTCATTAGAGATAGCTATAATGTATAGGATATTGAAGGAGCACAACCTTCTTCAATCAATCCTAAATTAAAAAAATAGCCTGTAACTATGGAAGATGTAGAAGGTTCGCATCCAAAATAGCGTTTTTTACCTAAGGGTATTAATTTATTAGAAATGAAGATTATGTTGACTCCTTACAAGTTAAAGATATCAATAACGATTTATTACATAAATATGTTCGAAATACCAATCCTATTGAACCTGTTTATAAGCATAGAGATGAAGAAGGGTATGAAATAAAAATAATAAAATTAGAAATTTAGTGTAAATAGGATTTATAGATGGAAGCAAAACTAAATAACTTCATCCAATTACAATTAATAAGTTTGCTTCTTCAATTCTAACAACTAAAGATATTGTTGGTGCTTAAGCTGGATCACATTCATAACACTTTTTGAGAACAAATGAAAGGAAAGACTATAGATAAATAAATAGTGTATCTGATATAGAAGGAGTAAAGCCAGGTTCACTTAAAAAAGGAATAGAAAGTAAGAGATACACAAATCCATTAATGCCTGCATATTAAATGCCAGGAAGTAGTGAAATATAGTAATATTTATTTGGAATAATGATTAGTTCGATGAAGCCTACAAGTGTGTTTTAAAAAAATGCGAGCACATAAATGTTAACTAATGCATAAAAGATGGATCTATTTTTACCTTAAAGTTGATTATTAATTATTATTATTAACTATAATTGTAGATTTTATGAGATTACATCATTTATAAGATTAATTATAAATAGCATATACTTTGTATTTCTATTATAATAATTAATTAAATGAATTCTCTCATTAATAATATGGCTGAATCAGACTAATTTGTGATTTAGGCAGTATTCCCAGATTAGTATAAAACAATAGTTCTAATTGGAAGAGGATCATATGCAAAAGTGTATAAAGCAGAAACTATGAATGGATAATATGTTGCAATAAAAGTAGATTTGTTCTTAATTAATATAGGTTATAGATTTAACAGATATGCAAAAAGAAATAATACCTTACATGTAAAATGAAATAAAATTATTATCAGAAAGTGATAATAGAAATGTGATTAAATTGTTTAAAAGTCATTAAACCAAAGATAGATTAATTTTAATTCTTGAAGTACTATTTCAAAGCTAATAATTAGTATTGTTCTTTAGATGTAGAAATTATGGTGAAATAATATTTTAAAGGTAAATTACCTGACAATTTGGTCATAATTATATTAAGATAACTAGTAAATGGATTATCTTATTTACATATGAATAAAATCATACATAGAGATTTAAAATTAGAAAATTTTGCTATTTAATTAAATTATGAAGATTAGATTGCTTTATAGAAGAATGATCTCACAGTTTTTGAGAGAGCAACATATAAATTAATTGATTTAGGATTAGCTAAGAAATTGGGAGATCTTTAAGCATAAACAAGTACTTGGGCAGGGACAGAATTAAATATGGGTATTAAATAAAATTATAAATAAAGCACCTGAAATATTAAATGAAGAAAAGTATTCATTCTAAGCTGATATGTACAGTCTTGGAGTCTGTATATATTATATGTTAGTAGGTAAATATCCTTATTTAGATCCAACAAATAGAATTCCACTTTAAGATTTAATTAAAAAAGAGAATGCTGATTTTAGTTAAATTGCAAATCAATAATTAAAAAATTTAGTTTAAAAAATGCTTAAATTTGATCCAAAAAAAAGACTTCAATTTTAGGAATTATATGAACATGATTTTTTTAAGTATAGAGAAGGAGATTTATCTAATCCAATTGATTTAGAATTAAATTAGAATTAAGCCATTTATTCTTAATAAATGGATGAGTCTATTATGGATAATTTTTAATAAATATCATAAAAAGAAGAGATAAAATAATAAAATGATTTGGAAAACAAATTTTAATAAGTAATTATTGAAGAGCATCAATAACAAATAAATAATTATATTAAAAATTAAGAATCTGATATTATTATAATTTAAAGTAAAGTTGAAAATTCTTAAGAAATTAATAATATTAATCCTGTAAGCATATATGATAATTCAAAAGCATAAGATAATTAAATTATGCAACTTTATCATATTAGAAATTAATATAATACTATTTTGAAATTAGCTGATTATGTTGAATAAATGATACCTCTAGTTAAAGTAACTAAACTTAGTTTCTATTCTATGGAATCTAATTTTAATATGTATATTGAATACTTAAGAATGGTATCTAAACAATTATTCATTAAATTACAACAAAAATTTACTTTTTATTAACCTACTTTAGGGTCTTATGATAGATATAAAATATTAGAAAGATAAGTAAAAGGGGAAGATTAAAAAAGACTTGAAAATATTCGCATTAGAGAAGGATATAGTACTGGAATAATTTCATGGTTAAAGAAAAGTATATTTAAAAAAATACAATGTGAACCTAGTGACTCATTGTCATTTAATTAGTAATATCAATCAATCAATATTGAATTATATAAAGAATTGTTGAGGATGTTACAAGATTCATTCTACAAATATTAAGATAATTCTGATCCTAAATTGAAAAAAATTAAATGTCTACTTTACTTATCTATGATATATACTGCTAGATCTAGAGTTCTATTTAATGTAGAACAATAAAATATAGATTATAAAGCAGAAGAACTACTATTAGCTAAAGCAAGAGAGGAACCTGATATACTTTCAGAAAAAGTAACCTCTATATTAGGTGAATATAAATTGGAATATAACTGATCAATATTCTTATTTATATTGCAAAATATAATATTTCTTTATTTTATTCCAAACATATATTAATCACTTTATATGTTAAATTTATAATTAAAATTATCGTTAGAAGACAATGAAATTTTAAGAAATTTAAAGGGAAATCTACACAAATGATGAATTGTGTTTGTTTCTGAAGTTTCATTTAAGAATATCAAGTGCTGCTTGTTTAACTTTGTCTATAATTTAGCTATACTTATCAAGTTAATACAATCTATAATTTCACCCATTTTTTGATATGTTACATTTGATGACAGAAATGATATCTATTTTATTTGCAATTTTAGGTCTAGTTTATTCATTTTCATATATTACAAAGTTACAATAAGCAAATTGCTAATATTATGAAAATTAAAATGATAATATATCTAGATTTTTATTTGTTGCCATCTGTTTTACATTGACAATAGTTATAACTTTAGGAGTCATGAATCCAATATTTTATGGAATAGGAATGTAATCTAAAGTTGCTTAAATGGAACATTCATCATATGAAGATTTATACTTATTATACTAATCAATGAAATCCTAAAGTAATTTAATTATAGAAGTAATTGTGTCTGCAGCATAAACAATAAGTCTCATATTTATGGGTTACGTTTTCCTATTATTTAGTAAGAATACTATTACTTATAATTATTTTATTTATGTTTTTGCTTTGATAGCAAATTTTGTAGCAATTATTATTTATTCTAATGAAAATGACATTAAATCTATAAGTATTATTAACCATGTAATAAAGTCTAATGATAAATATTTAATTACTTATATTTCTGGAGTTTCATTATTTATTGCTTTAATCATATTCTCTATATTTTTAATAGATACTTTAGGACAATATTATAGAATATTCAAGAATCCTATTTACAAATTTATTTTAGGGTAATTATTATTTGATAAATTTATTTAGAAATATCCTTATTGGTTTTGTTTTTGCTTTGATTGGTAGTAATGGATAATTAATAAGAAATCTATAATAATATTAAGAAATTTATTTGGCTAAAGATGAATGTAGAAATTAAATGAATTTAATACCATCTGAAATATTGGAAGATTTGGGATGTTCAAAGAAATATTTTGGAGTCCAAGAATCTTTTTAATTAGATTGTCCAAATGAATAATAAACATAAATTTGGGAACATAAAGAAAATGAAAAATTTGGTTGCATCAATTGGAACTGTTGTAGTCTAATTAGTCAGATATTATTAAAAAAATATATATCATACTGCTTATTAACTAATTGGGAGGCAATCCTCTTAATTATGTTATCATTTATGCTATTTTAAATAAGATTAGTACAAGAAAATGGTAATCTATATTATTTTATTTGACAGCTATTTCCTAAACACTAAAATAAATTGCTCTTTTATTTTCATTTTCTCTAATATTCGCAGGAATATTTGCAGCTAATTCTTTACCAGATATTGAAATCTATAGAAAAACATATGTATCTCCTCTAAATTACATACCAGTAAATAATTTGAATACTTTACAAACTCATCAAATGTTTTAAGCAATTGATTGGCTCCCTTAATAATGTTCTTAAAAAGTACCTATAGAGATAATATAAAATATTAAAGATTATTGTTCAAATTAATGTAAATTAATTGATCTCATTCTTTCAATTTAAAATGGATAATTTTTAGTAAATACAATAAATCAAAAAAATATAATTATATCTTAAGAAGATAATGTTGACTAAGAATTTTTATATCTTTAAGGTAATTTTAAAGAAATCATTGAACATATATAAGATAACATTTAAGTGTGTCTATTTTCATCATCTGCAGCTATAAAATGGAATTTTGAATATTCTGAATAAAAAGGATAACATAAACATACTAAATAATAAGATTCTTTATTAATACATGAATAAATTACATAAATACCTTCAAAAGTTTAATAAGAAGCATTTAACTAATTAATTAAATATTACAATATTTAATTAGTGTTCTATTAAAATAACTTTTTACCAATAGGAACACAAATAACAATTTATAATTCATTATTATATAATTGTTAAAGTATTAATATTAATGCTGAGAAAAGTATTTTAATTAATGAAACAAATATTGATAAAAATGAATTAGCATTTTACAATTATCCTTAAGGTTAATATGCTACAATTATATTCAATACTGACAATTATCAAAGTTGTATTTACATCTAAAGCAATTAAAATATTTATATACATCCTATTATTCCAATTTAGTCAGATCTGACTATAACTTTATCTTGGTTTGGAATGTATGATTTGGATTTAATTGTAGAAAATAAAATTTGTAAAGTAGGTAAAAAATATTAAAATGAATGTGGAACTATTAAGACTCACTTTGATTCACTTATTGGCAATTAATAAACTTCTACAAACTTATCAAATGGAGAATAAATTACAATAGATTATTTATCTACTTATGATTATAAGATTTATGTTTAAATTACATTGAATAAGGAGGAATTTATAAGATTAAAAAAAACTTAATAAGATAATATTAATCTTTATTAATAATCAAATGCTTAAGTACAAATCTTTGCTAAAAATAGTAGATATCCTTAAGCTAATATATTTATTAAATAAATAGTTTAAACTACATAAACAATCAAAGAAAATGATAAATTTAAATATAAATGGTTTGTTGGTTGTATAAAAAATGGAGAAGTATTAAATGTTATTAATCAAATCAAAATTAATTATGAGTGTTGATATTTACTTTTAAATATATATCATTATATTCTTAAATCATTTATTTTCTTTGAGAAGTCTTCCTATTGAAGTTTAACTTCCTTTTATATCTATGTTCTCTTTATACAAAGATGATTTTCTAACTTCAAAATAGGTGGATTCCTTAATAAAATATATATATATTTAATACTTTAATATTTTTGAGATCTTAACCTCTTTTCTTATATGCATCAAATTCTGCTTGAAGCATCATTAAGTCTTCTTAAACTCTATGATAATCTTTATTCAAAATAGAGAATTTATGTTTCCAAGTTTCCACTTCATTTTATAAATAACTAATTCTTTCTTCTAAATTAGAAAAATCAATATTATTATTTTATTCAATTTATCTCATTTATGAATCCAATTCTACTAATTACATTTATTTTATTCTAAGTTCTTCTAATAATTTCTCTAACTTAAATCTTAATGAACTTTCAGATTCAATCTTATTTTCTAATTCTCTTTACAAATTTTTAGCCTATAAATTAGTTTATTCATTCAAATATTTCAACTATTACTCCACACCTTATAAATGAGATATCTAATCTTATTAGAAATGATTTTTCTTATTTAATTCTTCTTCTAAAGATAGCTAATATTTAAGATCATTCTTTAAACTATCAATTTATTTAATATTTTCATCTATTTATTATTACAACTATTTTATTTTAATATCTTAATTTTAACTATTTTAAAGAGTACTTTCCTTAAATTTTTAGAAATCTTCATCATATTATTATTTACTATTTTAAAGTTGAGATAATTATTCATTTTAAGAATTACATTATTCTTATAATTAATTGTTTTAAATTTTTAATCTTTCCAATTCAAAGCATTTAAGTAATATTTATTATATTAATAATAATTTTTCTTCTTTTAAATTATCTTCATTGAAAATATGATTCTCATGTTGTTATTCTAATTTATTAATTTATTCTGATGAGATCTATTTATAATTTACTATAAATGATTCAAGATCTTTATTTTAAAGTAATAAATGATCTTTCTCTTTATTCAATTAATTTATTTATTCATTTAACTAGAATTTTTAATTTTCTATTTCCCTAATTTATTCATCAATATATTTTTTTTATTCTTCAACTTAAACTTTATATTATTTAATTTCATTCTCTAATAAATTAGATTTATCTTCAAATTAAGTATTTTGTTATTGTAAATCACAAATCAAATTTTATAATGATTTATTAATTTCTATTTATGATTCTAATTATTTTTCTAATTATAAAAGACTTTCTGATTTTAAATTTAGTTCATCTTTCAATTCAATATTTATGTCTTCATTTTAGATTAATTTTAATTACTAATTTTTAATTTACTCATCAGAATTATTTAATTTTGTTTTTGTTATTTATAATTCTTCAGATATTTGATCTAATTCATTTATTTTTTCTTTTAATTAAGAAATCAAGTCTTTATTATTTTCCTACAAATCATCAATTTCTTTAGTTTTATTTTCTAATTCTTATTTAATTTATTAAAATTGATTTTCTAAAACTTCTCTTTCTTATTTTGTTAATTCATGCTCATTGTTTTTGTTTGATAATAAATTTTAATGATGTTCAGTCTATTGAATTAATTAACTTTGCAAAACTTGATTAGTTTGATCATTAATAATTATTTATTAATTTAATTACAAGTTTTATTCTCTTTATCCATTTAATTCAATTTCTAATTAATTAATTTTATTATTTAAATTATCTCTTTCTTTTTCAATAATATCTAACTTATCCATATATTATTATTCATTTTATTGAGATTAATCTAATTTCTTTTCTAACAATTCCAGATTTTCTCTAAATGTTTGCATTAAAGAATCTTTTTAAGCAAGCATTTGTTATGTTTATGAATCTTTTTGAGTAATTTCAAATTTAAGCTCATGAATTATATTATTAGAGAATAAGAGCTCCTATTCATAATTATTAGATTTCTATTATAATTCTAAGATTTAATGATTTCTTTCTTCAATTACATTTTACCCTATTTATAATTGCTTTTCATAATCTTAAACTCTAAATTTCAATTGTGAAATGCCTTCATTTTTATCTTCAATCACATATTGTAATCTTTCAATTTCAGAACTTAAAAGTGCAATTTTATTTTCAAGTACTTCTTATTATTTTAACTAAGTAGTTAAGAATCTAATTTAATCATCTTAATATTAGAATTATGATTTAAAAGTATTAAGCTCTGAATTTAAATAAGTTACTTCTTGCTTATGATTTTTTTAAGTTTCTTCTAATAGTTTTCTCATACTCTCAATTTCCATGCTTGTATTAACCCATACTTATTATTCGCTATCATATTTCTCTACCTACAAATCTAATTCATTTTAAAGTTCATTTACTCTTTGATTTAATTTATTATTTTCTTATGTCAATTAATCAATTAAGGTTTCCTAAAATTAATAGATAGCTTACATGTCCTTAACATTTTTTTTCTGTACACAACTTTACAGTTCTAGTCTCTATAACTGGTCTATATGTTGTAGTAGTGACAGTTGCTTTAGGTCTTGATTAATAGGTTGTAACCTTTGCTAATCTACCACAAGAATCAGGACGTTTGTCTCTTGGAGGAGAATTCACAACTCTAGTTGTAGCAATGGTCTGAGTTTGAAAAAATTTGGGAGATTATGGTCTCATTTTAAGAGAATTCGTTAAATTTATTAATAATTTTTAATACAGTTAAAATGAATTAAGATTAAATAATTGAATAAGGGCTAATTAATTTAATAAATTATTATAAAATCTAATAATTATATGATTCACTTTTAAGAATATAATAGTAGAGTTCTTAAATAAATTTATAAAATAATTGTCAAAAATTGATACTGGATAATTTATAATTTAGATACTTAGAATAATTTTGATGAAAACAATTAAATAGTTGAAATATAAAATAAATTATCATATAATATTCAAAATAAATAAATCAATAATGGAGTTATTTTAAAAAGTATAATATGAATTTGGGATTTTGATAATATAAAAGAAACTATAAATGCTTCTAATAGGTAAAAACTAATTTGGATAGCTATTTTGACTACATAGAAAATTAATATTGTTCAGTTATCTTATAGATTTTATATTAGGATTAAATTTACTAGAAATTTGTTTCAGATTCTTAAATAATAAGATTATTTTGATTACCTAAATAAAATAATAATTTACTAACATTTGCAAAGAGAATAAGTATATTATGATTTATATTAAGAATATACCTATAGAATAATTAAGAAGTTTCTATGCATTATAACATAATTAATCTTAGGATATTGCATTTTTTTCATTCTATCTAAACCTTTCTGAATCTTACTCTCTATTTATTAAAATAGTTATTTCTTATTCATAAAATTTTTTGTTATTTAATTATATATAAATCATAATAAATATTATATATTTATATATCTAACTTATCTATAATTCATTATCACAAATACTTTGATTATTCTTTCTTAGTATTTAAATTATACACAATAAACTTTTAAAATATTATCAATTAATATTATAAAAATTCTTTATTCAATTTAATTTTATGTAATTTTTGAGTTAAAAATATAGTTGTTTTTGATTTTAAAGATATCATAACATATGAACAAATAAATATATTGAAATTATATAAAAATCAAATATTTTATTTAGCATAAAAGGATTATTTATACTTTAATTTGAGTATGACAAATAAAATTTTTAGATATCCAAAAACCAAAAACTTAATTACTTATATATTTTATACTTAGGTGAGCTAAGAAAAACCCTTTTTTATGGTTCACTTATTGATATTTTTGAATTAATAGTGTTTTTTTTTTTAAATTTTTAATTTTATTAATGAAATATTTAGAAAAGCATCAAAATATGTTTATATAGGTGTGTTATATAGTATTAGGATAGTCTAAATATATAATTAATGTTAGATTATTGATGGTTTATTGAATGGATAACATATTATAAAAAATTGATTAAGAAATAATCGAGATTTGTAAAATATTTAAAAAAATAGATATTTATATTTGATTGCATGAGCAGAAAAGAATAAGACATCAAAAGATTGATTGCTTCATAAGTAAAAATGTTATTTAGATTTCTCTATAGTGCCACATTGGAACAAAACAACTTCATTTTGACTTGAAGAGATATGTATCTCATAGAAGTGATAATGGTTCATACATTCTCAATTTAGAAGAAACCTGGTAACACATTAAATTGGCTGCCAGAGTTATTGCTGCAATTGAATAACCTCAAGATGTTATGGTATGATAAAAATGAGTAATTCAGGTTGTTTCATCAAGACCAATTGGTTAAAGAGCAGTCATTAAGTTTGCTCACTATACATAAGCCAGTTCAACTAGATCAGCAAGATGGACACCAGGTACATTGACAAATCAATCCAACAGTGCTAGTGGTAAATTCTAAGAACCACAATTATTGATTGTCACAGACCCACATTTGGTAAGAATATTTGAATTGATTTATTTTTATAGGATAGATAAGCTATTGTTGAAGCCTCATACGTTAACATTCCAGTCATTGCCTTATGCAACTCTGACACTCCATTATAATATGTTGATATCCCTATCCCAGTTGGAAACAGAGAAACCAAATCCATTTCAATGATTTATTGGTTATTGGCTAGAGAAGTCAAAATCTTAAGAGGAGAATTGAGATAAGGTATATAGATAATTTTACATTTTTTTAGATGAAGAATGGGATGTATTGGTTGATTTGTTCTATCATAAAGAAATTACCAATGATTAATTGGGCATCACAGACACTTAGGTCAAATAAGAAGCTGAAGGTGAAGATCATGAACAATAAGCTGAAGGTGAAAAGGCAGATAAAGACTGGTGATAAAATATATTAATATTATGTAAAGTACATGTATAAGGAATGCTTTTAATTTTATTAATTATATTATTATTTCTTTAATTTATGAGTAATACTTTTAAATCTGCAGGCAATACACTTGCTAAAGGTAATGATTTAGGTTAAACGAACTAAAGTTTTGGTGGATCTCAAAATCCTGCTTCATTAAAGGGAAAATTGATGAGTTTAGAGGTATTTAAATAATAAAATTATAGGAAACTATTAAAGGTATTCAAGATGAGATGAATTTTCATAAAAAAGAAGTTTAAATTCTTAAATCAGAAAAAGATACTTTAGAATCTGTTTTGAGCATGAAGACTTAAGATGTTAAAAAGACTCTTACAAATGAACTTATGAGAATAGAAGAAGAAATGAAAAGGTATTAATAATATTAAATTATTTTTAATTAGACATTTTGCACATCAAAAGGCTGAAAATTCAAGATTATAATAATAAATAACAGGTTTAAAAGGAGAAAAGACTGCTTTATAATAATAATTATTAGGATTATAAAGAAGGATAGCTGAATTAGAATTATAAGTTGGTTAAGAATAAGCATGAATAGTAATATAAGTCTAAAATTAATAATAATTAAATTTTGTTATTATATATTCATAAGCAATTCATATTCCTTATTAATAAGTAAACCCTTCAAATTAAACATTCTATTAAGAATCTGGAGTTTCAATTAAGGGTTATTATAAGAAAGCTGGAGCAAAGTTTGATAAATCTTCTAAATTTTTAATACGAGGAACTATAGGAGGTTATAGTTTTCTTTGTTCAACTAATTCCCAATCTATTCCACTAAAAAAATTGTGTTTTTTTATTTCTTGAATTCCATTTGAACCTAATCGAAATCCAGGCTATTTTATAAAATTAATTATACATCTTTTGTTAAGAGTCCTTTAAGTAAAGATTGGGCTTAAAGAGAAAAGCAAGATTTCATCTCTAAAGGTTTTTCACATCTATTTTTTAACATTTCTCTTTTATTTTTTGAATAAAATGGTGGAGCACCACTCAACATTTCATATATCAAAGCTCCATAACTATAGAAATCAACAACAAAACTATGTCCTTTTTCTAATAAATGATAAAGAGACATATATTACAATATAGAATTTCAGGTGCAACATATTCTGGAGTACCACAAAATGAATAAGTAATTTCATTTCTCTCATATCCTAATTTAGATAATCCAAAATCTGTAAGAACTATATGTCCATCTTTATCTAGAAGAATGTTTTCTGGTTTTAAATCTCTGTAAATAATTTTTTACTGATGTAATATATCAAGAGCAATCAAAAGTTCAGCTGCATAAAATTAAGTCCATTCTTCACTAAATTTTTGTCTTTTTCTAAGATGAAGAAACAACTCTCCACCTATCATAAAATCCATAACCATATATAGTCTTGATGGACTTTAAAAAGCAAAGTGTAATTTTACAGAAAAAGAACTATTTATTAATGACATTATTTTTCTTTCTTAAAGTGCTTATTCCTATTGTTTCTTTTTTTACAATAATTTTTTCCTTAAAATCTTAACTGCATATAATTATTGATCTGCTATTCTTTTCACAAGTAAGACTTTACCAAATGATCCTCTACCTATTACTTTTAAAAGTTCAAAATCAGAAAGAGTAGGTTTAGTTTTAAGATTACCGTTTTCTTCTTCAATTGGTAGATAAGTTGTTTCTCCAATCTTGTCTTCTACATCTTCTTCATCTAAAATTTCACTCGTAACATTGGGTATTTTTGAGTTATATTCTGCTGGTTTATTTTAACACATACCCATATTTAATAAATATATTTTATATATTATGATGAACTTATATATATATATATATAAATTAACTTCTAATTTCTATTAATCAGAATACTTAAATTATGAAGATGATGTAATTGGGTATATAAATTATTACAAATTTTTGGTATTATTAATTAATCTATTGTGAATAGAGTGAAATGCATCTTAAATTATTATATTTCATTCCTCAATTATTATTATTTTTATACAATCTAATGTTTTAGGATCCAGAAGAGAAAGATATGATTGGTGATCTTCTTAATGGTATTTCAAAATACTCAAACTATTTTAGATAGTTTTGAAGCAGAGAAAACAAAAAAATCATATTCTAACAATAGACCCCCTGCATTAGAAATAAAATAATACTAAAAGTCTTCACCTGTTTATCAACCCAAAGTTTATTCACCTTAAGTTTAACATAAAGCAAAGTTGTTAATTTGTTTATTAAAGTTCTTATGATTTAGATTTAAGACTTACTAAAATACCTGTTTAACAAAGTGCTCCTAATTCAGCTTTAAAAGCAAAATCATATGAATGCATGACTTAATTTATTCCAGAAGAAGAAACAAGTCTAGATGGAGATTTAGTAATCAAAAATTCATAATAAATAAGATATCTAAATGTAAAGATTAAAATGGTGCCAGAAGCATTTAAAAACAATTCTAAGAAGGACCTGTTGCAATCAAAGATTTAATATTCAGTAGGCTAGAAAAAGGGTTAGTATCTTTGTCAAAAGATGTATTTGGTAATTATGTAATTTAAAATCTTCTTGAAAATGGTATGACTTTTAGTTAAATATAGGAACTCCCATACAGTAATAAAAAATGCTTGTAATTTTATAACCTCATACTTAATAACTTGCATTTCATCAATATGGATGTAGAGTTTTATAAAAGTTATTATAAAATGCACATAAAACATAAGAATTTCAAGTGTTATTTGATTCAATAAAAGGGAAAGTCAGAGAATTAGTTATAGATTAACATGGAAATCATGTAGTTCAAAAACTTATATAACTTATGGAAGGTGATGCTAGTCTTTGGGTTTTAGATGGAGTAGAAGGACAAATAAGTAAATTGGTTACAAATTCATTTGGATGTAGGATTATTTAAAAAGCTATATCAATATCAAATAATCATCTTGAACGATAAATGAATGTTTTACAAGAAATAATGAAGATATCTTAAGAATTATGCATTTCATAATATGGAAATTATATAATTCAGTAATTGTTAAAAGATGGTCCAGAAGTTATATAAATTGAAATATAGCAAATTATTATGGATAAAATAGAAGAATATAGTTTAAATAAATTTGGGAGGTATTTTTAATATTAATAATTAAGTAATGTTGTTGATTGTGCAATTAAATGTTCAGATAACAGATTTAAATTAAAAATTATGGAATTATTATTGAGTTAAAAGAATCATCCAGTTTTATTTGTTAGACTCTCAAAAAATGCATATGGCAATTATGTTGTCTAAAATTTTTTAAAATTTGCAGATAGTGAAATATAAAAAGAGTTTTATTTAAAAATTACAAACAATTAATAACTATTGCATGAAATTTAATAATCACAATTTGGTATATTACTATATTGATTGTAGGTTAATACGTGTATTAAATGTTAACTTAGAAATTAGAACTTGAAACTTTTAAATTATGATTCCTGTGTATGATTTGTTAATATATATATTGTAATTAAAAAATACTTACATTTACTTATTACTTATTTTATATACAAAAATATGTATAAATTTCTTTGATTATTTTAATGATTATTGAATATTTGTTAATAAATTTTAAAGAGTATTTCAATATTTTCCAAAAAAGAAATGAAATATCTTAAAAAAAACAACTTCATAAATATACAATTTAAATAACACATTCTTCTAGTTTACATATACACTATGTTAAAATTTATTTTAATAAAAGAACTCAATAGATTTATCTATTTTTAATTTAAACTTAATTGATTTTTAAGATAAGTTCTTTTAAGTAAGATGATTAAATTTCTACTTTTATATTCAAAAGAATTTAGATTCCAAATAAAAATGCACAATGATTTTATAACTATTTGTGGAATGAATGTGATATTTAATATAAATTTACTCAATATATGTTGATAAAAGTGATTTTTTATTAGTTATTATTAATTATATGACTGACATCTTAAAGAATCCCAAGGTGAGATAAATTATTCAAGATGTTGTAGGAGGATGTGCAAATTAAACTGCAACTGTACTTGAAATGACATTTGTGTAAATATACACTGCAGATGAAGGAAAGCATAAATTTCATGGATCTAATATTGCAGGAATTCTGTGCTTTTTAATAGACAGAAGAGAGGGAAAAGTAAAATAATATTTTATAGAAGTGTTTCTACTTAAGAGTTTATGATCCTGCAACTCTTTAAGTTCTATTTTCAATGGAACTTTGTTATGGAATCAAGGATTTTTGGTAACCTGTCCATGGAATTGCTAATTTCTATAGCATTCCGATTTCTAAAGGTTTTATTGGTTTCTTGTTTCCTAATGTTGATGAAGCAACAAAGATAACTTAAAAGATTTGCTCAAATGGTCCAACGAAACAATAATTATAAGAAATTAATGCTTAGATTGAAAAAGAGGAAAAGGAGAGAAAGAAACTTGAAAAATTAGAGAAAGAAAAGGGAACAGTTAAAGGTGTATTTAAAGACTTTTTTGGAATGAATAAACAAGTTGAGAAGGTATGAAATTATTTGATATCAATTAGTAAGTATAAGTTAGTGGTCCATCAGGATTCAAAAGAAATTAATTAACATTTAATCTTGACACTGGAGAAATTAACTTAGATGAATTGCCTCCTGAATTAATAAATGCCTTCTTAAAAGCAGGAATTACTAAAAAGGATTTATAAGATAAAAATCAAGCCAAGGAAATCTTTAAAGCTGTTGCTAATTTTAATGAAAATCCTACTGCTCCTCCTCCCCCTCCTCCACCTCCTCCATCAAAATAGCAATAATAATAACAAGTATATTTATAACTTAATTGAGTTCGTTCCACCCCCTCCTCCACCTCCTGCTAAAGGTGGTGCACCACCTCCTCCTCCTCCCCCTCCTCCTCCACCTCCTCCTCCTCCCAAAGGAGTTCCACCTCCCCCTAGAGGTCCTCCACCTCCCCCACCTCCTAAGCCAAGTGGATAACCCTAAATGACTTAGCCTAATTAATAATAATAATAGCAAGCTCCGAAATAACAACCTAAAAGTTAATCGAATAAAAATGATTTATTGGCTGAGATTTAATAAGGTGTGAAGTTAAAACATGTTGAAAAGAATGAGTGTAAAGTGGAAATAAAAGAAATGGACAAAAAATAATAAGATGATTTATCAAGTTATTTAGCATAAATGATGGCTCAAAGAAGAGAATAATTAACTAAGAATAGAAAGGATAGCAGTGATAGTCATAATTCTGGTTGGTCTGATGATTGAGAAGATCATAATAATGATATAATGAAAATTAAATAAAATATAACCAATAAAATTATTCAAAGCTGAAATTTATATAAATAATTATAGAATTTGATGTTAACATATTTAGAAATAATAATCTTTCAGTATTTAATGAATCTCAAGAATTTATTTGATGTCACTATAAGCCAAATTTTTATTTTTATTATCATTCCTCACTTTCAGTTTGGTTAATCAGTTAGAAAGTAGCTTATGATTAACATATTATGATGTTTAAATTATATAAATAATCATTGTTTATAAAAATAAAGTTAAAATATGAAATAAATAAAAAGTAAATATTTGAGATATTTATAAATAGTAATATAAATACATTATAATTTTTCATCTTATCATTTAAGGTAGTAAAACAGTATTGATTGGTTAAGCTTATTCTTTTCTTGGGAAAGCATTCCAAAATCTCAAAGTCTCATCTCCAGCTCCAGTCACTATAGTTTCTCCATCTGGTGACATTGCCAAAAATAGGACTCTAGAAGTATGACCCATTAAAGTGGTAACCTAGAATTTGAATATCAAATACTTTTTATAAGGCAGGATATTTCCAACAAACTATTTAATTCATACTATATCCATGAGTTGATACAAATTCATTTACATTTTTACTAAACATTAAATTACACACTTATGAACCAGTATCAATCCAATCTAATTATTGAGTAGTTAGAGTATTGAAAAATCTAATAGTTCTATCTGCAGTTCCTCCACCTGATGATAATAAACCATGTCTATGTGGAGACCAAGCAATAGCTTTTACAGCTGCCTAATGTTAATTAAATTTAGCTAATGGTATTTATGAGCCCATTCTCCAAACAAATAATTTATTATCATTTCCTCCTGAAGCCAATTAATATTCATCAGGTGACCATTTTAATCCACAAACTTCTTATTTATGACCTTCAAATTTTCCAGTTTGTCTTTTTTATCTTGGATCATGTAAAATTATAGATCTATCTTTAGAACCTGAACATAAAGTCTATTTTATTATAATTAATTTACATTTCCACTCCAAGCCAAAGATCCAACTCTTGCAGAATGTCCTTCCAATATTTAAATTCTTTTCATCTTCTCTTAATCATATATATGCACTTCTCCTGAACCAGTTCCTATAGCCAATTAATTTCCTTAAGGATTCCATATTAATGAACAAACCATATCATTATTACCAAAATCACAAAACTTAGTTACTCTATTGTTATATGCTGACCACAAATAAACACATGAGGATAGAGCAACAGATAATACATTTTAAGAACTCCAATCTATTAGATTTAAATAGAAATCATCTTATAATTAAGGAGCATCCAATACTTTAAATGGTACTTTACTTATCTTTCTTTAACTGAATTAATAATCTTAACTATTTTAGTATTGTTCTCTATAATCCATTAAGTTTTAATAAGTTTCCAAAATAGCTGGATTTATGTCTGACAATATTTTTCGTTTTGAAGGAGTATTGTCAGCAAAATGCAATAAATTCTTTGATTCCCATTAAAGCTATTCACTTTATAATGGTTATCCGAACACATGCATCTTATAGATATCTTTCAGTGTAACATTTCCCTAGTCTTTGTAATCACTACCTTTTTATGGTTCTTAATTCTCTTCTTCAATCTCTCTATATTGAAATTCTTCATTCAAACTCTATTTCTATCCACTTCTCAAAGGAATATACCTACAGGTTTTTCCTTATTACATTTATTTCTTTGGGGTACTATCTTATTCTTATTCAATTTAGTCTATAGATTTAATAATTAGAATACCTCCCTATTAAGTACTTTGAATATCCACCTTATGAAGTAATCTAACAAGATCACTCATGTCACAAGTTTTAGATTTTGATAGATGTGAATTTTCTTTATTTTATTTTGATGGTGAAATTTGTAATTTATCTTCAAAACATGATACTTCTATATCAATATTACGCTATTAAAGCATTTTTACAGTATTCGTTGACATTTTTTATAAAGGGTATTTGCAAACAGATATTAATTTAATTTACGTTAAACTTTATTTTTAATCACACTTAAAAAGGCAAAATAAATATTATTTATAAGTTCTTGTTTAATCAATCATCATATCTGGTATTAATTATTTATCACTAAGTAATTGTGTTTAAAATTTCCATATATTTTCTAATATTAAATAATCGTTGAATTTTAGGTGTCATTTTTATTATAAGATCTATCTTAACAGACAATTAAAAATATGTTTTTTTTATTATCATTCATACATATCAATTATTGATAATTCACATTTCTCAAAAGTCTTAGGTAGATAATTAAGGAGTTGGAATTTGACAAATTAGTAATTATGATTAATAATATTCTCGTTTAATTTTGATGAAAATAGCACACATAATTTTACTTCCTTTATTTCTCAACAGAAATAAATCATTTAATAAAGGAGAGTGTAAAGATATTAGTAAATTATTTTTCAAAAGAAAATTATTAAATCTAAAATATTATTAAATTTTTAACGAATTTTCAAGATATTTGTTCTATGGAAAATTTGCTTATCATAATTTTTGAAAATATATTTTATTTATCTAAAATAAATAAAGATAAGTTACTATTTTACATTAATATCTTTTTATTGATTCATTTAATAATAGCACCATTGTATTGATAAATGAAAGGAAATTTATATTTGATTTCATTATTATTACAATGATGCTATTATTGATAAGAACCTATATAAATAATATTCACCAATCATATTTAGAAATTATACCTATAATCTTTAAGTTTAATCAAATGATTATCTTTTATGATAATAATTCTTCTAATTAGAAAACAATGATATTTATTTATAAAAATAAGGAATAATGTTTCTATTCTAATTAAAGAAAGATTATTACCTAATAAAATTTGAGAAATTATAAATAATAATAAAATAAAGTATAAATCTTTTTAATTAATAATTGGTATTTGCATCTCTATTCAATTATGAACAGTTTCATTAACAAAATTAATAAAAGATAATTAAAAGCTTAATAAAACATATTTAAAATAAACTAATTCAAACAAATAAGTTAATTTTAACAATTTTAGCTTATTGTTTTTTAAATAAACAAAATATTTGAAATTTTTCTATAATTTATGAATAAGAAAAGAATTTACATTTAAAAATTATTAAAGTATAGAAATGCAATTCAAATAAAAGATTTAGTTTAATTGCCTGTTAATTAGAATTTATTTAAATGTATTTTGGGGTAAATAACATAAATATTATAGTATTAATATATTATTTTTCTAATAAAAGTGATTATTAATTTATTATGCATCAGAGGATGAAAAGTGATATTAGATTCGATTAACTTAAACTTGATTACTTATAAGGAAATAGTTCAAAAATACTAAAATCAGAATAAGATTCAACCTAACCTTCATAAACATTAATATTTTAAGGAAACTTTCTTGAAAATAAAACAGACAGACAACTATCTCCTATAATAAATAGTTTTAGACCAAGACATAGATTAAAGTAATGCCAGTCTCTTGCTCTTGAGAATGACCCAGATCTTGAAGAGTTTTCTATTTGGGGTGATTTGGAAGAATTGCCAGTCGGAAATGATTAAAACAATCAATTAGTTTCTTTTTTGGAATTATACAAGTATCGATATGAAAAAACAACAAAGAAACCAGTTTCTTGTTATGATGTTATTCTGATGACAAAAAAGTAAAATTAATGTTTATAAAGATCAGATTGATAAATAGACATTCAATAGCTAGATTAAAATATTATGGAATAAACAAAATAAAATGGATAGATTTTAGAGACTGGAGTAGATCAAGCAATCTTAATTCTTTGTGATATTTTAATTTGTTTTAGATTTTGCTCTTAAATTTGATAATTAATATAAATTTCATGGGTAATATGTGCGAATATCATGCAAGAAATGTATAAAAAATAGTTATTGAAAAAGATTAATAATGAATAAAATATATAACCAAAGTTATTAGCATAGCATAGATTCTAAGATATAGGAATTTACTTAGATGCAGGAGACATAAAAAATGAAGAAGTTGATGTAATTGTAGCTTAAACAGATTTAAATTTAAAGGTATTAAAATAATATGTTATACCAGCTACCTTATTACTTGATAAATAATGTTTCACCTTAAACAAAATAGTAGTTGCTAAAATACATTTAATAGATTAGAGATAAATAAGCAGTATCTCATGGAGATGTTGTACATTCTCATGCTGCAGAAGTATCATAATTGTATTATTTTTATTAGTTAGAATTTGATTTTGTATTTTATTGCATATTACCAAATGAAGATGATGAACCAATGAAATTGGCTAGAAATCACAATCCTAAAAATTTAAACTTGAAATTACCAAAAAATGCTCATTAAAAATATTAGAAATAATTTATTTATGATTGCATGATGACTTGTCTTAAAGTAGCAGAAGAAATGGAAATTACATCAATATGTTTTCCTGTTATGAAATCAACTAAATTTACAATATCTACAATTGCAACAATGCAAATGATTGCTGTTAAGAATTTTTTAGAAGAAAATGTTACAAAAATAAAATTCTTAAGTTAAGTTAGATTTTGTATACAAGATGATAAAGATTAAGAATTATTCAAATGGGCTTTTGATAAGGTTTTTATGGACACAGATGATAGCAGTGAAGCAAGTGATGAAGATTCACTTAATAACAATAGTGGTGGTAATAGTGGAAGTGGAAGTGCAGGTAATTCTTTGAGTAAGAATGTAATTATAAAATAATAATTTAAGACATTATATGAATTATAACCAACAGTTAAAAAACCTTAATAAAAGAATTTTGAAGAAGATGAATTTGTTAAGAGTTTTGGTGCTAATTATTATGATAAATTTGAGAGTCCTTAGAGTGTAAGTAGAAAATTATCTATTTGAAAATATATTAATACTTTTATTTATAAATAATTGTTATATATGAAATTGTAATTTGATCAGAAGAGTGATATCATAATTTAAGATGAATTCAAAAATATTGATGTCTCTAATTGGTATGAATTTATCAGTATAAAAATATCTTATTAATATAGATATTATATTATTAAGTGTAGGTGCAAATTATTTATTGATTAATATTTTTCAGAAAATACAAAATTTATTTTTATGGAAAATGGATGATAGAAAAAATAATCCATCTAAAATGTTAACTGTTAATTGCTTATTAGTAATCACAATAATATGTAAATTAAATAAATATCTAAGTTAAGATCTTTTCATGTTATTATTCAATAGCAGGTTATTTATTTAGTTAAATTTGGAATTGGAATTGCGAGTCATAAATATCATAATTAACTATCTCACCATCATTTTACATTATTATTTAAATTTTTTAAGTCTAAACTTTAAACCTTACATTTTGTTTTTGCAGTAATTTGTGGCTTAAATTATGGAGAATGAAGTTGAGAATTGAACATAACAAATCCCTTTTAGATTTAACAAATATTGTATAAATTTTTCTATCTGTATTAATCGTATTAATTCCGATTCTTACTATAGTTTCATTAATTTTAGAATCATATATTAATAACATTAGAGAATATTGTTTGGGTGCTTTAACTATGTTAAGTACAGTTTCTTTTGCTGTCATTTGTATTATTTTATATACAAAACTCAGAGATTAATATAATGTTGGTGATCGTTATAGAGCAGTAAAAATTATTGAATATTTTAGAATTTAAAATTTTTATCAATAGCAGTAATAAGTTGCACTCTATTTCGACCAACATTTAATTTTTTATTCTCTCAGGAATTCTTTTGGAAATTGAAACCAGGACTAGAATGCAATAAAGATGGTTTAATTACAATAAGTTTACCTGATTATGGGTTTAGATGGTATTTAATAAAAAGATTTGTTAATAGGGCACTTTTCTAATTAATTTATACTTGTATCACAGATTTCATTCCTGTTTATATATTATCATTGTTATTCTCTCCAAATAAAACAAAGAGGAAAACTTTAGTAACTACTAGCAATAGTTCTGATTCTGGTTAAGAATGATTTAATTTTGTTATTAATTAAATATAATATTATCATAAATCTATAACAATATTTTAGAAAATTATCTAAAATTTTTATTATTCATATATATATATATATATATATAATAATCAACAATCTTATATTAAAGGTTAATGAATATTTGAATGTTCTACAGATTCATGAAATGATTATTCTGCATTTATGATTCTATTCAAATTTGATTCACATCCTGAATATGTAGCCTCTAGTTGCTGAATATCCATAAGTTGGGCTTATAATTAAATTAATATGTTACCTTATAATGAAATAGCATTTTTGAAATCTTCAGAATTTTAGCAGAATAATAATTTATAACTCAATTCTTCTATATAAACAATTAAAATTAATTAATATGCACATTTATTAGTAGATATCTTTTTAATTATTAAATTCCAAATATTACATAATGGCATTGATTATACTAAATTTGTATAAAAAGATGAAAGAATATCAAAAAAAACATTTTCAACTGCAATGTCATAATTCTTACAATGTTACACAATTTCTTTATGCAAAACTTCCATATATTACATAACAATTTCTTATGGACAAAAGAGAGTGTCTTCCTTAACTAAAGGAAAATGAACACTTCTCATTAATTCAACAAATCCAGTAAAAAGCCAAAATGCTTATGCTTCAGAATCAAATTTATTCCCAAAAACAGGTTTACTTAGATCGTATAAGAAATGAGGATGGCTGATACATATGAATTTATTAGCTACTTAAAATAGTATTGTCAAAAAGGAGACATTTAATTAAATGGTTCTGACATTACAATAAATTAAAAATGAAATTAAAACTCCTTTACACTATTTATGTTGATTTTCTTAAACAAGAGGTAATTTATTTATGAATTCATCAACATCTTTTAGTAAAGGTAAACGTAAATTTGGAATAGATTTTATTTAATAATAAATCTAAACATTATCTGTTACATCAGTAAATTCTAAATAATTTCTTTTGAGTATATCAGTCACAGGTTTAACTACCTTTTCTAAACTATCCAATTAAGAAAACCAATTTGCTGGTTAACACTTAGGTTATAAACATATATTCTCTATGTACAAACTCTAATATAAATTTTAGATATCATTCTAATATCTTTCTATTTCTAATCCATATTTTACTGTTTCAATAATAGGCAGCTAAACTTATTTAAATGAATTGTACAGGAGTTCTTTATTCCATCATTTTTATGCTAACCTTTCTTAATACGGCATTCAATTATATATATTTTAATCTATCAAGAAATATAGGATCTATATTTGAATGTTCTAGTAAATCCATTTCTACAAAAATCTTAGATTGCTCATATTCAAGTGCAATCCAAAATGAACGACCTTCATATAAATATTTAATAAGATCTTAGAATTAAATCCTTAATATTTTTGATGAAGTATTAGTTCCTTTAATATTTTATTTAATTACTGATTGTATCAATTACTTAAAAATCGATATAATCTTTAAATCCCAAATTCTCAACTGTCATAAAAGTCTTCCCTTATAATCCAAGTAAACCATCTTTAAAACACCAAGCAGTATAATCCTTTCTTCTTTATTGATTCATTTATGCAAGTAAGCGACAAATGAAATAAGGACTTTATTAAATATTATATTGTAATCCATCTAATATTTTAATACTTTCTATATCCTTAGTTTCTTCTGTTCTCTATTATGAATTTGACAAAATATACTTCAGATATGAATCTTAATTCTAATAATGGTCTTATTAATTAAATATTGTTTTGAATGTACATCCTAATTATTTTTATTGAAAATTTCTTAGGATTGGTGTCATAAATAAATTAAGATCTTTATTACCAACCTGTTAGGAACTTTTATATTATAAATTTCTTTGGTTTTATATGATTTTCAACTAAATTTTATAACATTTAAATTCTTAATTTTTCTTTTTATATTCTCTCAAGTTCTAATTGCTCTTTATTTTATTGTAATTCTTGTTATTATTTTAGAGACATTTATTATAATTAATCTTAATAATCTTATTCATCTTTTAATATTTTCTGACTTTTCTATAACCAAGTATTTATATGAAAACTCATCAATCTTTTTTCTTATTAGATAAAATAATCGCCATCCACATATGCTCTTTATTTTTTTAATTTATTCAATTCTATTGCTTATTGATTTAATTATTAAGCAAATTTTAATGCCCATATAAAAGTGAATTTATCTTCATATTCATGAAAACAATATTCAAAACATTTGGCTACTTATTTTGGTTTTTATTATAATAATCTTTCAATTATCAAATATCTCTACCATTTAAATGCTTAATTTTCTTCCTTAACATAAATAAAGACAATTGAATGATCTTTCTCAAATTCAATTGATAATCTAGCTTTATCTCCTTACTTATCATGCCATGTATTTTGATGATTTACCTTATTTTCTACAGATATTGCTTTAAAAAGTGGAAATTATTTGACTGGTTTATGATCTTTCATTTAAAATAGAATATGCTTATCAAATCTAACTTATCTTTCTAAACTGCTTCCAATTACTCTACTTATCTTATACATTTTCAATTCTTGTTTACGTTATTCAGTATTCAAACAAAGATCTTAAGACATATTTTCATAACTTGACTCTTATATTATTTTTTAGTTTTCTGAAAATTGCTATTTTAAAGATGCTACAAGAAGACTTTGATATTCATGTTTAGAATTTAATAGCCATCCTGCTTTAATGTTATGAATATTACACATTTACGACTAATTATTCATATCAATTAAATATATTTATATTAGATTATATTAAATTTGTTGATTGGCTTATTATTCAATAGGATTTAAGATTAATTATTGTAAAATAGTAATACTCTATCAACTCTTATTATTATTAATTTCTAGTTTAAAACCTAATTTTTTCAATTTTTTCATTGAACTCAAAAGACTTACTTTTTATTGTTTTTTTCCATTTTTTTAATTTATTAAATTATTAAATACATTAATACATTAGGAATAAAATATCTATAAATAAAATTTATGAATATACGTTGAGCTAGTTATGAAAACTTGTAAAAAGCTTATTGTTTATTCAAATAGTTACCAATTTATTTATTAAAATTACTTATCAATAACCGTATATTTATAATGTTATACAAAAAAATCAACTTTAGATTATTGTTTAACATATATTTGAATTTGATTTAGACAATTTATAAAACACTTTACTTTTACAAATAAATTAAATACAAACTTGAATTATGGTTGCTAGTTGTTTTATGAATTTATTTAAATTAAATTATTCTAAATAATACTCTCTAACAGGTTTGCCTATTTTTACTTGTTAAAGTTCTTTTAAATCGATAATTAAAGAAATTAAATTTCAAAAAAAAGGCATTTAGAGAAAATTCAAATAAAATTGAGACTTTAAAAATTGAAAAAAAAGATATTTTATTTTATTCTAATAAATCCTTAATTATTATTAATATCTATTACCCAAATGATTTTTTTAGAAAATCTCTAAGAGTTTACTTATTTTAAAAACAATAATATTAATAAAATATTCAGAATTCCTTATATTTAATATGTTATTGATTTGATATGTATTTTTACATATGATATATTTATAAAATAAGTAAAAATTGGAGGAAAACAATTATTACATGTAAAAAATAGATGTTAAATATAATTTTATTTATTTCTAGATTATTTAAATGATTTAGCTCTGATTATAATTTATTCTTTAAAATATTATTTTTATTAATTCCATCTAATTACATGCAACATAGAACTGAAGACTATGATTTACTTTATAAGTTAGTTTTAATAGGTATTAATTCAATTCTATTTAAAGGGGACTCTGGTGTTGGAAAAACCAACATTCTCAATTAATTTACAAGAGGCGAATTCTTACAAGATTCCAAAACCACAATAGGAGTAAAATATTTAATTTATCATTTAATTTAGGTTGAGTTTGCTTCAAAGAATGTCATGATAGATGATAAAACCATAAAAGCATAAATTTGGGATACAGCTGGCCAAGAGAGATACAGAGCTATTACATCAGCTTATTATAGAGGAGCAGTTGGAGCAATGATTATTTATGATATTACTAAATCATTAACATTTGAAAATGTAGATAAATGGATGAAAGTAATTATTTTAGCAAAATATAAGGAATTGAAAGAAAATGCAGACCCTTCCTTATAAATTATGATCGTCGGAAATAAAACTGATTAAAAACATATCCGATAAGTAGCTACTGATTGTGCTATTGCTTATGCTTAACGAAATGGAGTGGCATTTATTGAAACAAGTGCTAAAGATGGAACAAATGTAGAAGAGGCCTTTAAAAATATTTTACAATGTATTAATAAAATCTAATTTCAAAGAGATATATAAATCAGCTAAGGTTGTTAAACCAACTCCATAACCTACTAAGTTCATTGTTGCAGATACAGATGTGGTTAAACCAGAAAAGTCTTCAGGTTGCTGTTGATATTGAAAAATTATTTGTTATTTGTTATTTACAATCAAATATCATTAAATTTTATATTCGAAAGTCACAAACTATATGATTTCTTTTTAAACTTACTTGTCAGAATCATTCAGTATTTATAAATATATTGCCATATAATATTTCAACTCTGGGATATACAACTGATATTAGTATATGTTTGAAGTCATCAAAGAGACATTGAATCATTATATAACTTCCAGCATATTTAACTAATAAAATAAATAAAGTAAACTTTATTAATAAAATTTGATAGAGATGTTCTGAAAATTTATCATTTTTCTAAATTACAAATACTATAATAAATTTCTTTCATAATTCTTAAATGCAAAGAGTAAAGATATTTATTCCATAGTTTAAATAATGATGTAGAATTCTTTTTAATTATTTACCAGAATAGATCAGTTATTTATGATTATTTAAATTGCAAATATTAATAAAATGATATGACATTAATTATTCAATGAGAAATGGAATGAAGATAGAACAAGGGATAAATGATGAAAAATAACAGATAGCATATGATTCTGATTGTCAAATAATATTTGAAGTATTTGCCTAATTAGCTAGTTATAAAGACACAACTAAAAAAGTGATAAGGAAAAATTGGCACAAGCATTTGAAAAAGAGAGAAAAGATCTTGTTGAATTTGAAATAGCAGAAAAGTAATTCTTTTTTTTCAAATTAAAACAAAAATTACAAGTTTGAGAATGAATAATTAGTTGATAAAACTGAATATAAGTTGATTGACTAAAATGAATTTGATGAAAAATTTTAACTTTTGATTCAAAAAATTAATATAGTCAATAGAGAATTGGATAAAAAATTTATTGATGTATTGAAAGAAATTTTAATACAATATTCATAATTAGTGGTGAATAAGGAAGAAAACTCTAAATCTATTACTGAAAAAATTATTCAAAATATAAAAAATCCTGAGAATTAAGATATATTTTAATATTTATTAATATGGTAAAGGTTAAGAAAAATTACTAAAGAAACTCGAATGGAGAAAAGTTAGAAGGAAAACGAAACGAATACAAAAACAAAAAGTCTTAAAAAGTAAAGAGAAAACTTAAAAACTTTATTGATTATCATGAGAAAGAATTAATTGAAAAAAATAGTATGGATCCAATAGAATATATAATTACCAAACTAATTTCAGCATTTAACCAAATTATAAAAAAATAATTGATATTTTCATTAAATGGAACTTATATCATTTATCTAGTTTTATTTTCATACTAGATTATTAAATAAATTTATAAATATCTTTAAATATCCTTTTAGATTTAATAAATATAAGTAAATCTTATTATTTGAGACAATATCTATTTATGTATTCATAACAATTCAACAAGCCTATAATCATTATAATTGAAATTGTCTTTTTATAACATTGAAATCTTTCCCTTTATATAGATTCTTATATGAAATTTTTTTTAATTTTAGCTGTTTTCACTAGATGCCAAAATCGTAGTGATAATCATTCATTATAAATAGCAAAAGAATTATATAAAATTAGTTTCAATAGAGATCTAATTATAGCTTGTAATTTATAATATTTAGTATTCAAATTAAAAGTGAAATAAATAAATGGTTGTTGTAAAACTCATTAAGAAATTGTACTAATTAAATTTAAAGTAAAGTTCTATAACATTTAAATGTAGAGCTTAAAAACACAATAGATTAAAATATTTTAAAGTATTTTTAACTAAGAATCTTTGGGATATTAGAAAAAGACTTTATAGAATTTCAATTAAAGTCTTATAGATAATTTTTTCATTAGAAATTAAATTAAATTAGAAAATAATAAAATATTTTTATAAATTAAATAAAAATGAAGAATTGAGATTAATTTTTAATTTTAGTTTCAATCTAAAGTTAAAAATGTTTAAACAAAAAATGGTTTAAAATATTAGGCAGATTCTTTCTTAATTGTTTCTAGGATTTAATATATTTATAATGTATTTTATATTTTTGCTCATAAAAATTCAATTGACTGAATAAAGAGTTTCCATATAAATTCTTCTAATTATTAAGGATGAGAAAAAGCTTTTATTTGTAATATTGGCTAATTTATATAATTCCTTATTTTTCTATTTGATAAAGAGTATCAAAAATGAAAAAAATAATAGCATTTATTTGTAATTTACAAGTTTTTAAATTAATAAGAAATTTCTTTTCATTTATTTTTAACATATTCTTTGTTGTATAAATAGTTTACTTATAATTAAATATTTATTGGCTATAAAAATAATTCTGCTCTTATTCATCAAAATGTATAAGATATCTCTGGTAAAAATAAATCATAGGAAGATTGATTAGTTAAATTAAATCAAATTGATTTATGCATTAAGATACTTTAAATTAATTTCTTTATATTATTATGTAGGCATTTATACATTAAAAAAAAAAAAAGAGTGGATTAAAAAACTAACAATTTCTTAGCTAATCCTATGAATCCATAAGGTGAATTGATTTTCCAAAAGAATAAGTTATTTTAATCTAGAATAATTTAAAGATTAGTAGATTATAACATATAATCTAGATTAAAAAAAGATGAATTTAAATTAAGAATCAATTGAAAAATTTAATAGAATATCAACCTAAAAAATAATTAACCTTTTATGTTATCCAATATTTATTTATGTTATGATAATCAAATCAATTTCTGCTGGCGATGAATTGAGCAGTGGTGGATAACTTCTCACTGATGTGCTCTTAGAGTCTGTCAACAATTTCTTATTAGGCAGTTCTATTATTTTAGAATAGTTTGAATACCTTTCAGCAGTTTAGGTTTCATAGATTTCTGATTAGACTGCATACCAAGCTTATTATCCAGCAAGTCTTTCTTCACTATTTTCTAATTCAAGAGTGTGGAATTCGATCCATGATTAAGCATCTTCAATTGTGTCCTTTTATTCTTAGATTTAGACTTCTAATTAAGCTTTTCTTTCAACCAATCTTGTGTGTTCATTGGATAAATGAACTGAGAATTCAGCCCAATGAGCAGCTTATCTATCCTCGACGTCCTTAATTATTAAACTTAAATAAATACTGTCTTGGCAGCCTTTTCTTAGACTAATTATTATCTGATTTCGCTCAAAAGTTAAGCAATTTTGGTCAAAGCTTTTTAGTTAACTCCGTGGGTGGCTAATTCAGTAAGAGCAGTGATAACTGGCTAAGAGAGTAAATATAAATGGATACTTGTAACAAGGCAGTGTGGGATGTGTTATCTGAGAGCTTCTTGTGGAGGACATCATATTTGGACTTGAGTTAGGCAAATGATGCTCCGAGACTGAGGTGTTAGATGAGTTTGGCAGCTTCATCGATAGCGTCAATAACATCATCAATAGCAGCAACCTTAGCAACGAAGGTTTCGTGTTATTGATTTCTGGTGGCCTCCTCTCTAGCATAGGTAGCTTCGTTGTTAGCAATATCTTAAATTGTGACTCTAATATCTTCTTCAGAAACGGCAAGAGCTTCAATAGTGTCATCTCTCAATTAAGTATTTGAGGCAATTTAGTTTTAGTGATACAAGATTTCTTTTTCCAAATCTTCAACAATCTAGTATATTTTAATATTCTTACTCTATTATTGGTTGTGGTATCAAGTTCAAATGCGTGGTCATGGTCATTTTAGTCTTAAACGAGGCCAGCACCAACACCATTCAATAACATATTAACTTCATTGGCAGGTGTTGAGGCTTAGAGGTGAGCCTTAATGGCACTCAAGACAACGTGTCCGAATGGGTCAGCGTTGATTTAAGCTAATGTGGTATGGGTATCTATGAACTTTGCAGCAGTCACAGCAAGAACCAAAGCTAAGAGAGCTATTTTTTACATTTTTAATATTAATTTAAAAACGGATCGAGCTCCTCATTTATACTCATTTTCCAATATAATTTTATATTATTAATAATCCTTCTGACTCAATTCTCTATGTCTTACTCTTCTTCAGACCCCTAATCATGTCCTCATTTCAAATATGCAATTAAATCTACCAATTAGACAAACTTTAAATTTATAACATTAATTTTATTTTTTTTTCAAGAATTATCCATTATCTAACCACTAAGAATCAACTAAAAAGTGAATAATAAATTTTTATAAATATTCAAACCTATTTGATCCTTTGATTAAAATAATTTCCTCTTTCTTCATATGGAGGATAAAATCTACCTGAATCGTAATCTTGTCTCCCCTCCCTAAATATTTACTAGTCCATTCTCCCATATAAAGGAGGATATACTTCATCCTAATAAGGTAATCCTTGATTAAAAGGGATTCTCTCATTGAAGTCTCTTTACATTCCAATAGGAGAAAATCTTCGATATTCTGGTGCATAATAATCAGGAGCTGGCAAATCTCTAGGATCACGATACGTTCTATATTCAAATGGAGGTTCAAACCTCTATCTATCATAATCCTAATAGGGATATCCTCTATATTCTAATGGTAAATCGTTTCTCCCATTTAAAATCTAAAGAGGTTCTTGAAAATTTACTGGATATCCTTATCTATAATCGGTTATTGGAATAGCTCTATTTTAAAAATCTCTTCTTAATTCTCTCCCATGATTTCTTTAACTTAAAACTGGTTCTGGAATTCCTCTTCTATAATCATTTAGTATTCCTGGAGGAGCCATCCTTCTATATCCTTAAAGAGGCAGCCCGATCTATTCTGAAGGGACATCTCTAAAATCTTAAGGAAAAAAACCAAAACTAGGTTATTAAAAATCTTAAGAATATCCTCTCAAGCTTTACTCATATCCTCTATTTGGTCCCCTTAAATTTGAAGGAGATATTCTACTTACCTAAAGTTGCACTTCGCTTAATGGAAAATTTTAAGGAGCGCCTACAAGCTCGTAAATATTTTCATCAGTATATATTGTCTTAAAAGGGGCACTCTAAAATGTCTCTTGAGATGTTATTCTTTAAGGGTTGATATTAGTTCCAACTTATTGGTTTTAAATTTCCTTTTATATATTATCCCATTATTTCTCTTGAGTAAACTATTAAGGTTAATAGAAACTTCCTTAATTAAGTAGCTTTTCTTTATTTTATGTTCTCATCTATTGAGTAGGCTAATCTTAAGCTTTTCCGTAATAATCTTAAATTCTACGATCATCTACTGGTGGTCGTTAGAGATATTCTAGGTTTTAAGCAATAGGTTTAATATATCCTATGGGAAACTTTTCTATCTCTTTAGGTCTGGAAGGAGCATAGTACATTGAATAATATAAAAAATTATAATCAGTTAATTGTTAATGATATTTATTAAACTATAATAATAATAATGTTTTTATAAAATTCCTTAATACATCTAATTACTCTGATCAATCAGAAAAATAAATCTATACTAAAGTAATTATTTAATTATAATTATTCTTGCATGTAAAGATAAGATTTAATGTTAAAATTGGTGATATTCATTAAATAGTTAAATTTCTTCTAGTCTTAGTTTTATGTAAAACCATAAACTTATATTCTCCAAAAATTCATTTTTTGCTAAAAATCTATATAAAGTATCTTTATCAAACTCTATTAAGAGCTTTATTTTTATAAAGGTTTATAAATAATTATGAAATAATAACCTAATTATTAAAGCTTTACAAGTATTTTCGATCTTGAACAATCAGTGACATTTTGGGAACCATTATAACAACCACTTCATGCAGAGAGATTACTTTATAAGGGTAAATTCTTTGAATTCACTGGAAATGTATGGGTTGAAGAACATTATGATCTTTATCCTGAAGTGTTATGTAAAGGCTAATTTTACATGCAATTACCAGGAGTATAAATAAGAAGATTGAAACCTACTGAGACTTATGGTCCCCATAAATATGGATTAGGGTTCTTAAAAGGGCCATACAGGTTGTTGTTATATACCGAATCAGTTGAATAGCTAAATTAATGGTACTAAGTCCATAGAGTTTAGGCATGACTATTTGAAAAGACTTTGTCTATTGCCCAATTTTAACAAACGCCATAAATTAATTGGTAAGATTAAAAATTCGCTTAACTTTTATGATTGCTATAAATGTATAAATGGATAGCAATATTAGGTCAAAATTCTAGAAAAACCTTAAATAACTCAAACAAAATAAGTAATAAGAGAAATATAAATTTTACGTCGTTTAAATCATCCTTAAATCTAAAAATTATTAGAAGTTTATGAAGACAGCAATACTGTTTACATTTTATTTGAAAAATTCTTAGGTCATTCATTAAAAACCAAATTGCCAGATTATTGGAAGTAATAAAGATGAATTTTATATAGTTTAACTGAAAAGTAATAAGCTGAAGTCTGTTTCAAATTGTTAAATGCATTAGCACATATACATTAAAAAAATATTATTCACAAAGATATAAGACCAGAGAATATTATATAACTAAATTCTTAATTAACTAATCTTATAATAGCTAATTTTGCAAGTGCAGATTCTAAAGAAAAATGTAAAAAAAGGAAAGTTTTCAATCCTGGTTTTATGGCTCCTGAATTATTTTAGAATAGAAATTTTGATGATAAAATAGATATTTTTTCATTAGGTGTTATATTCTATGGCATCTTTTATTGCAAATATCCATTTGAAGGTAAAGATTTTAGAGAAACTGCAACTTTGAATGAAAAATGTGAAATTAATTTTGAATATTCTAAGAAATTATCTTCCTCAGCTATTGAATTATTATAAGGAATGTTAAAGAAAGATCCAACTTAAAGATTTAATGCCTAAACTGCCTTAAAACATCATTGGTTTATTAATGCAAGAAGTAAAGAGTAAATGAAAGGAAATATGCTTGGAGCACCTTCACTTTCAACAATACAAGAAAAATCAGAAATCGATATCTCAATGTAAGATCGTTAATTTAATAAATAATAATCTAAATTAAGAGCTAAATCTGTAGATACTTTATTCATTACAGATGCTAATGAAATAGAATAAATTCCACTGCATCAAAAAGTATAAAAAATGACAATAATTTAATTTAATCCATCCAAATCTAATCATTGATTTAAATATTATCATTTTATTATTAATTAGAAATTAAATATTATTTTATATAAAAGTTATAAATCATAAATAAAATAGATTTTTAAAGTATTTAATAAATAAATCTAATTTAAAGATATGTTTTTAAAATATTCTTTACTTCTATTAATTTCTCTTTATATAATTATTTTAGTAATTATTTAAAATTGAATCAAAAATCTATTAAATTTGTTTTACTTAAATTTCAACAATCTATTATAATAAAATTTATTTTGTTTTTTTTGATCCTCAGATTAACTTAATAAATAGCTATTGAAAGTAATATTTATTTTTTTAATTTAAATGTGAATAATTTGATTGCTTGATTTGAAATAATGAATACATTATAATAAATTCAATTTCCAAATTCAATTAATTTTTTATATGAAAAGTTATGGAATCTATATAATGATAAAATGTTGATTTATATTTAACTCAAAAATGATTAGAATTGAATGTTTAAACATTAATTAATAATATTAATGAATTAAAATTATTCAATAGTTATGGAATTAACAAAACAATAAGAACTAACTTTAGCTATTGAAATAGCTGCTATTTGTGTTCCTTCTGTATTTTTATTAATTTTCACTCTTTATTGTTATTTCAAGTTTTAGCACTTAAATAATGCATAGTTTAAACTAGTAACGAGAATTTTATTTTCAGATCTAATATATGAATCTATAATGAGTATAATTAGTTTGAGTTACATAATTACATAAAATGGGAGTAGTTAAGAAACATACTTTAGAGATACCTATCCAACCTTTTGTTATATAGAAGCTTATTTATCAAATTTTTCAATTTTAACTAGTACTGCTTGGACATCAATTATTTGCCATACATTATACATGCAAGTGTATAAGAATATATCTAAGATGTATTATTATCAGTATATATTTGTTGGATATGTAATTCCAACAATAATTAGTTTTATGTAAATTTATGTAGTTTATTATATATAGACCATTTTATGTTGATGGATATGGTGTAACATATCCAATGGAATCAACAAATTGTTTTTATAATATGAGATTGGATAGGAGATCTTATGATTTGTACATAACTTTATGTTATTATTTGCCAATTTGGGTAGCATTTTTATATAATTTAACAATAATAACATTAGTTGTAAGAAGAATATTAAAGCATATAACAGATTTTACAAATAAAACATAAGTTTTTGCATTGTTTCTCTATCCGACAATATTATTCATTTGTTGGGTGATTGTAATGTTACTTTAGTTATCCTGTAGCCTGGCTTAGTTCAATAATTTAATCCATAATCAATTATATGGTAATACTTATCCTAGTTTTTCTGTAACATACTTGGTCTATTGGATGCTCTATGTTATTGCTTTACTGAGATATTTACAAAAATTAAAATTAATGGATGCAAATTAGAATATTAGGAAGATTTATCCGAAAGTAATTTTGCGACCCAAACTAGCCAACAATTAACTTAAGTAGTTGATTCATAAAAATTGTGAATACTATTTAATAAATAATATTAAATTATTAAGCGTCATTTCTTTTTTTAGTGCGTTTGCAATTTAATATTATAAAAAATGAAGAACAAAAATATAGTAATATAATATAATTGAAATGTCATCATCCTAAGATTTAGTAAAGTGTTCATTTAACCCAGACGATATGGGATAACTATTATATAAAGAGAATTATCATAAGTAAATATTGGTTATTAAAAATAGATGGATAAAAATATAAGAGTTGATTGCAAAGGATCCAATATTGTAAAATAATGTAGCAGATTATGGATAAAGTAGAGATAAATTATATGAAATTTATTGCAAGAAAGCTTATAAACTTCATAAATTATTAAATTATAGTGATGAGATGATTCCTGGTATGGTAAACAGTCAATTCCCAGAAACTGTGGTGACTGTATTACATTAAACTATGTTTATACCCACTATCAAATATTTAGGAAATGAAAAATAAATAGAGAAATGGATTCCTCCTTCATTAAATTATGAAATTGTAGGATGTTATGCTCAAACTGAATTAGGTCATGGATCAGATGTATAAAGTTTGGAAACTACTGCTGTTTATGATAAAAATACAGAAGAATTTATTCTCAACTCACCAACTATTTCATCTACCAAATGGTGGATAGGAGATTTGGGATTGACAGCAACTCATGCTGTAACACATGCTTAATTGTATATTAATGGAAAACATTATGGAGTATAAACCTTTATTGTTTAAGTCAGAGACACACATACTCATTTACCACTTAAAGGAATTGAAGTTGGAGATGTAGGACCAAAATATGGTTATAATACAAAAGATAATGGTTATCTTAGAATGAATAATGTAAGAATACCTAGAGAATAAATGCTTATGAGATATTCCAAAGTTAGCAAAGCTGGTGAATTTATTAAAGCATAAAATGAAAAGATTGGTTATGCAACTATGATGTAAGTAAGAACTTCAATCATATTTAATACATATGTCTCATTAGCATAAGGATTAGCTATTGGAGTCAAATATTCTCATTTTAGAAAGTAATTTAAAGATAAAAATGGTATTGAAAGACCTATTATTGATTATTAAACTTAATAAGATAAATTAATTCCATTAGTAGCAGATTGTTATGCTTAAGGTTTTGGATGTTTGAGAATTAAAGAGATATTAACAGAAAATCTAAGAAGGATAAATGAAAAAAATGATTTTTCTTTAATGGGAGACTTACATGCACTATTATGTTGTTGTAAAGCTATTTATACTTGGAATACTCATTTTGGCTTAGATAAAATTAGATAATCTTTAGGTGGACATGGATTTTTGTAATCTTCAGGTGTTGTTAGTATTCAAACAGAATTCTCACCAAGTTGCACTTATGAAGGTGAAAATACAGTATTATTACTATAAACTGGTAGATATTTATTAAAAGCATGTAATAAAGCATAAAAAAATTAACCAATAAATGAAAATGTTGAATATCTCTATAATATTTAATAAACTTTATAATAAAAAGCTACTTTCACAAGATTTGAATAATTATTATGTCCTGAAATCATTAGAAAATTGATGAGATTACATGCAGCCTTTTATGTAAACAAAATGATGCATAAAATGATGGAAAAAGGTATGTATATAAAATTATAACTATTAGCTGGTGAATATGGACCTAAAGAAGCATGGAATAAATATGTAGGTGTTTCAATAACAGAAGCTTCTGTTGCTCATACATATTATTGGACATTTAAGACATTTTTAGATACATTAATAAAGTAAAAGTTTCAATTAATTTATAGAGTATAGGATGAGAATATTAGATCTGTTTTATCTAATTTATGTTGTTTGTATGGTTTATAAAGAATTATTGATTGGCCAATTGGATATTTTGAAGGTGGATTTTTGAATGGGGAATAATTAGAAATTATTTTGAATGCAAAAGAATACATATTCACTCTTATAAAACCAGATTTACTTGGATTAGTTGAAGTAATATTAATAATCTATAGATAGTCATTTAAATTCCATGACAATGCTTTAAGATCAGATTTAGTAGATGCTAAACCTTATGAAAAATTATTATAAAGTGCCAAATTAAGTTCTGTAAATAATGAAGAGTACTAAACAAAATTAAGATCATTAACAAAATAACTTAGAGAAATTCCAAAGCTCTGATTTATAAATAATAATTTAATAAATAAATATAATGTAGTAAGTGACAACAGAATATGTTAGAAGTTTAAATGGAATTACACAAGAGTATTTGAGTATGTAAATGATAGTTTCTTATGTCCAGTGAATGCAAACATTTACAATATCCAATTTCTTAAATTTAGAATTAGAGATATGGATTCAGGTTAAACTCTATTTGAGGTTGAACGTGATTAAGATGAAGAGCCTATAGGTAAAATCATGATTTGACATAAAAATAAGAAAATCTCCCACCAGAATATTAAGATGAAGCTAGAAGGATTAAATACCATTTTGGACCTTAGTTTTTTGAATTGAAAACAGTGGGAGCACAATTGACTTTCTCAGTTGGTAATCAACCAGTTAAAAATTTCACAATTATTGAAAGACATTATTTTAGAGATCATTTATTGAGAAGTTATGAATTTTAATTCCCATTTTGCATTCCAAATTCAACAAATACATGGGAACATATTTACACAATACCAGAAATAGATGAAGCAATGGTATATATAAAATAAATAATTCTATTAATTAGAGATAAGAAATGATTAATAATCCATTTTAAACTAAATCTGACAGTTTTTATTTTGTAGGTGACCAGTTAGTTATGCATAACAAGGCTGAGTATGATTACTCTCCTTTTGATTGAAATAAGGGAATATTTGTTATAAATTAATATCTATATTTCACATTATAAAATTTTATTAAATGATGATCACTTTATAGAGTCATTTTAATTTTTTGAGATACTTGATAATGTATAAAGATAATATTAAACTTATTCAAATAATTCTTGAAATTTGATATCCAGGATTCATTCAATAATTTTATATTAGTATGATCATTATTTAATTAAATTAGATACATCATTTTAACAAAATCTTTCAGTTGCTTTTAATATCTGTTCCTAATCCTCCATAAATTTATATTGATTAATGTTTAGTTTATTAAAACACCTTCTAATAAATTATTTTCTTCATGTAAAAAAATCATAATTAATAAATTATTGTTTAAGGATTATATATCCAAATTTTAAATTGACTTATGTTATTGGATTTCTTCCGAAATTTTATTATAATAGATTATTAGTATTAACTTCAAAAATTATTAAAACTTTTGCATCTCTAAAAAAAAGTGAATTATTCCAAATCTTTAAAAACATATATTTATTGAGTTATTAGAATTAGGCTATATATAATCTAACAAGAATTCTAAAATCTTCCATAATCAAATTAATCCTTATTCTCATAATACTTTAAAAAGATTTTCACCAGCAAAGAAAATTTAAGTAAGATAGGCAGCAGACTCTTATAATGAAATATATTTAGCATTTAGATTTATTAACTAAGAAACTAATAATATTACAAATAGTATTCTATTTACAATCCTAAATAAATATGAGATATTCTGAAATAATTAATTATCTCTTTTTTGAAAATTGTTTAATAGTATTGTTTAATCCATTTTTCTAATAAGATAATATACAGAATAATTAAAATTTCTTAATAGAAATAATCTTTAAACTTATCTTTTAATAGAATATAATTTAATAAATGTATAATATTTATAAATGTGGATATTGATACTTCCTGTTCATTTTTCCAATAAACAGGAAGAGGTTATAATTTTTATTTATTAATTGTTATCACTTTTTAAATCGCAATAATATTGAATATATATTCATGAAATAAACCTAAAATTGAACAAAAGCATAACAATTAGAATCAATTGATAATATTTATGTTCATTTCATAAGCTATGTATTATTATGATAATTTAATAAAAAAACACAATTCGGCATTTAATAGAGCAGAATTAAGAAATCAAAAAATATAATCTTGTTATCAAAACCACACAAGATGATAATTTTCAAATATATTTAAATTCTTATTTTGAATAATTCTAATTGGATACATTAATCTCCTATACTTTAGGAAAATTTGCCTTAAGCTGCAAATATATGAAAAGCAAATTATTGAAAGAAAATATTTAATTTCCTTCTGCGTTTAAATTAGATATAAAAAATGATTCTATTACTCGAATGAAAATGGAGCATCCAATAATAGCATCCCCTAATTAAAGATTAATTATGAATCCTTAGTTTATAAATTAGAAATATTTATTTGAGAATTTAAATTATGAAGACAATTGTTTATATCATGATGAATTTTTAGATGAATTATTGCTTACATTATTATTTTGGGAAATTCATTTAAAATTATAATAAAGGTCTTAATCAGATTCATATGATATTTTTATTTATCCTAATCGATGTAATTTTTATATTGTAAAAAATGATCTATACCCTTTTTTTGAGTCTAATCAAACGAAAATGATGAACATTTTACTTAATACTTAAACTATTTAACATATAAACCATGAACTTGAAATTTAGAAAGAATATTAAATTTAATTATTTGATGTTCATCCTCCAGATGAGGTGATTAATAAAGGAATTATAATTTAATTAAAAAATTCTAATTAAGACGAGGAAAAAACCTAATTTACAGAAAATTAAAAGACTTTTGAATATTTTAAATATGATCAAGTCACTATTACTCCAAAACCATATTATTTTATATTTAGTACATTATGTGAGTTTGATTAAAATGATGAATTAATGCATATAATAGATTTTAGTCCTTTAGAATAACCTAAATGTTAAAAATGTAAAATTGGTATACATCCAGATGATTTTGAATCATTTTACACAAAAAAAGGATTACTTGATGTTTGGGAAAAAGGCTAATTATATTTACAATAACTAGCATAGTTTACATCTCCAAATTTTTTATTAGAGTACTAAAATTTTCAAATAATAAGAGATTTAGAAAACTAAAACTTACATGCTTACTTTTATTAAAAAAAAGAAAAATAAAAAAATTAAATCACAAATTAAGAATTAGTAGAATTTTCAGACCCTTTAAAGTAAAATGCTAACATTTAGGTAATTGAAGAATTTTTTATATTATATAAAAAACTTTAAGTTAGTATACCTTATAAAATATAAGATATTAAAGTACCAGATAGTTAGCAACAATATTAAATAAATGAATGTCTTGAAAGTGACTAAGAAGGTGATTGAAAAAAATAGTATAAATACAATACCATAATGCATCTATTAATTGAATATAATTTAAAGTATCAAATTTAACAAATTCTTAAGTAATATATATAGGGAAGAGAACATAATTTTTAGAATGAATTAAGATAAATTCTTATATGAATAATTCCATCAATGTCTATTTAGGGATGTTTATGAAGCTAATGATCTAACTTAATCTTTGAAAAGTTGGATAACGACATCTATGATAGCATTTTCCTCTAAATATAGTAAAATAAATTAATACCTTGTCTTCTGGCTGTTTCAGAAGCATAGAATTCTCTCTTCTCTTCTAGATCAGCTGTAGCACCAGCAACTGCATTCAAGGAATCTTTCCATAATTTAAGAGCTTTAGCTTATTAGGCCAAAACAGCTGGAAGTTACTTAATATATAATATAAGATTTATACTGTTTCCAATTTTTCAACAAGACCAGTTCTTCTTTCATGTTCAGAGTTCAACCAAGCAACTTCAGCATTTGTGTCTGAAACATATTTTGCAAGAGCGAAAGCTGCATGAATTTCTTATTCTTATAATGTGGCAAGAGTTGATTCTAATTCAGCTTGTAAATCTTATAAGATTGAAAGGACTTATTCTCCTGTGGTTCCTTCTCTCTTAACTTCAGCAAGGGATTGGAATTTTTAGAGGGCATCTTATTAGAAAAGGTGACTGTATGCAGACAATTTGTCAGCTATTGTTTAGGCTTTCTCAACAAGTTCGACTCCAGCATTATTTGTAAGGAATCCAGCAACATCTTGTTGTAAGAGTTAAACAACTGCTACGGCATCAGCATGATCAGCAAGTGATTTAACAAAAAGTCCATTGGCCCAACATCTTTAATCTTAGAGTTATGCATTTCTTCTTTCAATTTCAGCAAGTCTGGATTCAGCCCAAGCCAACCATTAATATCCATCCTTAAGAGTTTTATTAAATAATCATACTCTGATTTAGGCTTCAACATCTCCTCTGACTACACCAAGGGATTCCCATTATTATTTATTGAGGGAAGCAACATTTGTCAAATCACCAATAACTTAAGAAAAGATTTCTAAGAAGAGATAATGTTATTTTATTACCTTCATCTGTGTTATTCTTTCTGTCTGCGGCAGCTTAGACTTAAACATTTTCTGTCTTGAGATCTCTTAAGAGATTGTAAACAGATTCAACAGCATCATTTCCTCTGGTACCAGCTTGAAGAAGGACAGCAAATTTATTTGTATCTAAAGCAAACACAGCTGACAATAAGCAAATTGCGATGATTGCTCTCATAATTTAATTTAATTATCTAAAAAACGGGTTTCATAATTTGGTTTATAATCCTTCATTTTATACTTAAAATTCATATTGTTAAATAATACTCTTTGAAATAACATCCTTATTGTATTATGAATTCAAACAAACATTATTATCATTAAACTTTCTATATTAAGATAAATTTCTGATTTTTTTATATTTTTAGATTTTATAAACAGTTTATTTAACTTTAAAATTTTCAATTTCATTAAACAATTCGATTTTTAGGATTGATTTGATCAATAAATGTAAGATATATAATATAATTATCTTCAAATCTTTTGTATTATTATAACGTGATAAGATCTATTAATTTTGAAGATAATGTATATTATATGAATAATTCAAAAGATTATTAAATATAGTAGAAATAAAATTGATTAAGAATTCCCATTTAAATTAAATTGAATATTAAGTTCATTAAATTTGGATGGAATCAATTTACATCTTAAAAAAAATATCATTTGTATAAAAAATTATTATAAAATAATTTAAATTATGACAATAGAATAAAACCAAAAGCATATACTGAAAATTAGATTAAATAATAAATAGAATTTATTATTTTCATGAGACTGTTAAATTTTCAATTAAAATAGAAGACTTGAATTTATTTTAATTCCAATTAATATAATTTAAATAAAGTATTATATGAAATATGAGGACTGAAACTATTTGATTTATCGATCTATTATTTCAATATCTCATGTATAAAATAATCATTCTTCCATAACAGCATAGTTTATTGTCAAGGGTTCTATGTATTAAAGGATCTGTTTACAAATATACTATATGTATGCAAGAATAAATATTTAAGATATCACTCTCTTTTAAATATTAAAGAAAAATAAGTAAGTTATTTATGATACTTATACCATCTTTTATGAATATTTAAACTATTTTTACAGGAAAAAATTATTTAAATGTGGTGATTTAATTATGTGAACATCATTCTGAGACTAATATGACTTATGTATCAACAAAAAAAGAAAAACCTGTAGATTAGAAGAACTTTTAATTATTTAATTTAGTTGACTGGCTAAAAGTTGAAAATATGGAATTAAATATATTAAGAGGGACAAAAGAAAGTTATGATGAATATACAGAAGATACATATTCTACATAGATTATTAAATCAGAAATAAATAAAGAAGGAGATATTTTTGAATTTGAAATATAGATTTAAAAATTCTACATTAGGATTTTATTCATCAGGAACTAAATAAGAATTTACATTAGATAAATAGAAAATACTCTCAACATTATTTTTATCTCATAATAGAGAAAAGTTAGAAATAAAAGGTAATAATGTTTATATTTGACACAATAAATAAATCAGTCCATAGAATTTATATTTACATGATTATTAAATTTATTTATATTAGGATCATTTGTTGAAAATAAATTAAAAAAAATATTTATGGTTTCATTCTTTACGTTTAAGAATGCTCCATTAATTATTATGATATCTTGGAAGATGAAATTACCTTTTAGAGATAATTTGATTAATTGGGTAATACAATTGATTTAAAAGATATTTAAATAAAAAATTAAGGAATGGTATCAAATAATCTGCTGATTTGGTATGAAAATAATCAAATTAATTATGATTCAAAATACAAAATTATTTTACTGTCTAATTACAATTCTGATTTCAAAGTATTTATAAATTCCATTGATGAACAATCTAATATAAATCTTTCAATAGAATCCATTTAATTAAATATTTTTAATGCCTGATCAATTTCTTCTTTTTCTATATTTATACCCTTCAAATCCAATGAGAGATGTTTCAATTACCTTAATTTTTATAAACCAATACAGAATTTTCCAAAATGTAAATTTTATGTTCTAATCATTTTAAATCTATTATTACTTATTTAATATCATTGTAATATATTTTACTTCTGCAAAATTACCCAGTAATTGTAATAATTTATCTAATTCTTATTAATCTATTTATTATTGATATAGATTGATTTTAACTGATAAAAATGGAGATTTTTAAATGATCTATTAAATGTATTTTAATTATTCCTCTGTGATATTATTAATTGTTAAATAAGTAATCTAGGATTTCTCTTACTGATTTAAAACAGTTGATTAAAATTTAATGATTGCTGTTTAATTAGCCAAGAAATACAATTCTCTAACATCTGCTCTTTAATGTGCTTATTATTTAAGACTCAACATAATTATTTCTGCTATTACATCACTTACCTATATTAAATGTATTAAAAATACCCATATAACATTTATACTTAATTTACAAATTTATCAACTTAATAACATATATGAATTCCATCTAATTCTTTAGTTGTACATAGTAAAGCTGCCTTTAAAATACAAACTCCAAAATGCCAACTATCAATCAACCTTCCATTTAATTATTATTATTAAAACTATGAACTTATTTTCTCAGGAGGATAATAAACAATATCAAATTCTTATTCATTTTTCTTAGCATATCCTTCTAATAAGTATTTTTCCTTATATTTAGCATTTGGCTCTTAGATGCTCGCTAATTTAACATTGTCATTATTGATGATTATGGAAGTGGGTAAAATTCTATTTGGAAATATATTTCGTTTATGCAATTGAATAATTGCTTAAAGTATCTTTTATATAATATTTAACAATTCATCTAAATTAAAAGGTATATTTTTATTTTTTCGTTCTCTAATCAATTCATCTAAATTTTGTCCTGCATATTCTTCAATAGAGTATATCTTCACTGCCTCTCCGCTAATATATTGGGGTTATAAATTAGCAAAAATATTTTGTTTTTTACTAATTTTTGGCTATTTCACTTAACCAAGCATATTGTCTACAAAATTAGCTTTAGGTCGTATATAGAATATAGAATTTACTTAAGTGAATAAGTTAAAGTCAAGAATATTTAAATGAGCCTTTATATAAGATTAAAACAGTATATCACTTTAACGTTGCATAACATAAAACTTATGCAAAATTATTTTTTTTCCATTTGCACTACATAAAGATGTTTTTCCAAATTATGCCTTCTTTAGCACCTTTTCATATTTCAAATATTTCAGTAAATTAGTTTTTGAATTAACTTCTTTTAATAATTCTTATTATCTTATTGTATCAACTCCTTCTCTTAAAAAATCAAGTAATAATTTATGATTAGGAGGAGGAGATTAACAAAGTTATTAAAAATACTCTCCTATCTTTTATTTACGTTGTTTGATAACTTTGTTTTCTTCAAATAATGTCTTTAAATATTCCTTTTTTGGAAATTGAGGAAGCTAAGTTGTAATAATAAATACTTAATAATTTATATTGTATTCTTGCATAGCATTATGAAGATCAAGTAAGAAACTATATCTAACTCTAATGTCTCTCTAATCAAGTGTAAATAGATCGATAATACGAATTCTATATAAAACATTTTCTGTTGAATTATCATAACCCATTATCTTGATTTCATACTGCATTCCTTATGTATTTTAACAATTTAATTATATTTTGTTAATATTTAATAAGTCAACTTTTTATTTAAATCTCTAAGTATCATCAAGTAATTGAATATTTTTATCTAAATTTTCATTTCTATATTTTTAAACCTTTATTAAATAAACTAAGAATCTATCAAATTTTGCTTAATAAATATAGAGATTAAAATATTAATCTTAATAAAAAGATGGATATTGAGAATATATTTAGACATTTAAATTCTGATATATCAATTCAGAATTATGTGAAAATTTATTTATTTGAAATTATTTAATAGTTGTTTATAATATGAATTTTATTATTAATGAGTGATATTATAGTCAAAAGAAGAGAATAATTTAGAACCGAAATTCGTAAATAAAATCTAGAAAAAGAATTTAGTAAGAAGAGATTTGATAAATGCAATCTTATCCAAGATCTAAATGAATGTAACAATTTAATCGATTTTGAACTTAAATACAAAGATCAAATTGAAAATCAGATTTAACTTATTCTTCATAATCCAGACAATTAAAACCTTTAAAAACTAATTTAATTAGTATAGCAATTAAGTGCAAAATACAGTGTCTACATAATAGATCATAATATTTACAAAACTCTTAAACACAATGATTTAGACCTTAATTTGTGTTTGGACTTAATGTGTAATTTATGTGTTGAACCAACAGTAGTTAAACATATCTTCTCTGATCATATATAAAAAGAGAGATTAACTTAATATTTAAACCTAATTAGTGGTAACTTATTTGAAGAACATAGAAAACTTTATTGGGAATTCATGCTTATTCTTTCAAATTCAACACATACACCTTTCCCATTTCTAAAATAAGTATTTTTGATATGTTGTGAAGAATTGATTTAATGTAGAAATAGCACAACTTAAATGTAAATTAGAATTCTTCCACATTTAATACAAAAATATCCATAAGCTAATTAATTCTATTGGGAAGCTTTAAGTTCTGCTAATACTGAGGATAGAAAACCTTGGAAATGTTTATTGCATTTTCTTAAGTAACCTAATTCAGATGTATTTTGTTGTGATTAGTTATTGCTTGCTATATATTATTTAGTTTAGCATTCAATTTCAAAAATTTATTATGACTAAATTGTTACTTCAGAATTAATGTTTGTTCTTCAAAGTAATTTGTATAGACATGAAAAAACAATGGTTCGATCTACTAAATTAATTTTTATGATTTTTGAAGAAAATGATACTTACTTTAAATTTATAAGTGATGATTTAATCAAATTACTTAAAATTACTTTCATAGATGGACAGATAGAAATATTAAAACTATTAGAAATAGTCCTTCGCAAAAAATAACATTTTTTATAGCTGATGGACTAATATCATATAGTAGATATGTTATTTGATATTCTAAGATAGGATATATCAACAACCATGAATTATGCTACTCTAAATTGTATTGCTTTGTCCTTATTTTAATGTACTGAAATTGATAAATATTAAAAATATATCCAAATGCATTGTTCCACTTTTAAAGACATTTTAGAAAGATTTGTTTATGACACAAATAAATCTGTATAATAAACTACTGAATATCTCTTAAGAGCATACTTTGAGAAATGAATATAAATATATATATGTGTATATATTTATTAATTATGATATTATTTTAAATACTCATTATGATAAAAATTTTTGATATTTAATAATGATAATAATAAATTATATACAAAACTAATTCATTAATCTTATGGCTTAATATTTTAGAAAAGGGAATTCAGATTCTAATTTAATTATTAATTAATTTATTATGTATTATAAGGGAGATTGAATTGAGGATTTGGCTAAAATTATTAAGGTGGCTATGTGTATATTTATTAATGTTATTGCATTTATTATTGTGGAAAAGCCTGTTAATTTTATATTAGTTATTAATATTATTATTGTTATTGCATTTACAATTACATTTATTATTAAAGAAACATTTATTAATAATATTGCTATTATTATTACATAGAATGCTGAATTTATATCATTTATTATTATTGTTATTGTGGTTATTAATTATTAACCTAGACTTTGTTATTTTATTATGTAAATGGTAATTATTTATCATGCTTTTATTATTTATGAGGTTTTTCTTTTTTATTATTATTTTTCTTCACTTCTCCTTCTTCTTTATTTCCTCTTCTTTTAGATACAGCTTCTATTTCATCATCTGAATATTCAACATCATGTTCATTAAGCACTTCTTCATCAAATTAATTAGAAGCATCGCAACCTTTTTTACTTTTGATTAAATTAAAAATTACTTAAGCAATTACCTAATGGCTTCAGGAGTAAGTACAGAAGTATTATCAATATTAATGAAAACATTATCTCCAATTTTTAGTTGATTAGTTTAAATTAGATTATTTACATATCCATCTAACAAAATTGAATAATGAGGTCTCTCAACTTTACCAAAGACATCATCAACCTTTCCTAAGATCTCTTATTAATCATTAACAAATAATTAATCTAAATTGATGACAAATTCCAAAAGATTGGAATAAATGATAATGTTTTCTCTCGTAATTGATTCAATTTTGCCAACTAATTGGATTCGATCTGAATATTTATAATTGAAGTTGATTTCTCTCTGTTCTTTGGTTTCTGGAGGAGCAAATTAAACTTTTGGTAATACCTCATTTTTGCTTACAATTCTTGAACTCTTTTCTTCATCTTCCATGTTATTTAACTTAATTTAGAAATTTTAGTTACTTAGGCTTTGATTTATTGATAAAATTCATCACTGCTAGAATTACTATTTTCATGATCGTCCATTAAATTATAATTATTATACATATCACATTTCAATTTCTAATTAATTTGGTGGGTTGTGTTACTAATACTCTCTATATTATTCCACAAAATAATTGTATCTTTGTCTCCCAAGATCAAAAAAGTTAGTTACAGTCAACATCAATATCATAGCCAAATAGTAATTAAAACACTCATACAATCGTTGAAAGAGATCAAAACTTTCAAAAAAAGGGTATTGTGAGAAAAGTAAGAAAAATAATATAAAACAAGTTGTTGATCCAATATTAATATAAACTATAATGGGATAATTCTAGAAATTTATTAATATATAATATTTACAGTATTGTGTAGAAGTAGCACTTTAAAATTTACAATAAATACAACTGCACTCATTATAGTCATTCCTGCTTCTAAGTAGGTAGAATTCTATCCATGAATATGTGGGGATATAGGTTCAAATGCATAAAATGAAATCACCATCAATAATATTGCTTATAACAAACCCCATAAAAATTATTGCCAAAAAGACACTAAATTAAAGATAGGCTTAGTTAGATACTCCCTGTAAATATCTGGTCTTGATTCTAAGAAATTGGCCTTATCTTAAACTAATTGCATATAATTTGAATTTGGATATTTCTCATCAAATAGAGCATATAGAATAATAGGTAAACTAGTAAAAAATACATTGAAAATTTAGGACAACCATTAATCATATAGATTTTGCCCACTGAATCCGTTTGAAAAACCAAAAAAGAAAAAAGCTCCAATATATAATTAATTCTTGTAAAAGTTAAATAGAATTAAATTGCTATTCTTCCTATATGATTCATGTCCTGAATAAAACAACAACCTTCTTAAATGTTTAAATTCTCCAATAGCATAATCACTAGCCTTTGCTGCCTACTACCCTTCTAAACCTCTAATTCCTATACCAACATGAGCCTAAGTAATCATAGCAACATCATTTGCACCATCACCTATCGCTAAAGTTATTTTGCCAGTCAATCTTCTAACTAAATTTACAATTTCTTGTTTTTGCTTAGGAGAAACTCTACAAGCCATAACAGCATTTGCCTTCAATGCCACTTTAAAGAAAACTTCTTTAAAATTGTGTATGATAATAACAAGAGCTACACCTGATACTATCAATGATAAAGGTTCATCAGGATGATCATTAATATAATTAGTAACTTTAGCTAATTATCTTTCAACTTATCCTTCTACATCTCCATCTATTATAAATCGTTTAACTTAATCTGTCAGTAATTTGCATGAAAAACCAATGTTAATAGCTGTTTCTATTTTATCCCCAGTCAAAACCCATACATTAATTCCAGCAGATTTTAAATCAGCAATTACTTCTCCAACTTTATCTTATAATTTATCTTCAATTGCTGTTGCACACAATAATTATAAATTATTTTCAATCATTTCTTCTAGTTGATTCATCAATGATTCTCTTAACTAATCATCATCTAAAATAGCTTATGCTCTGTTATATTCAGATAAAAACTTTTCATATTCTTTCTATTCCAATTCTTTATATCCTAAAACTAAAGTTCTTAAACCAATTGTAGCATATTCTTGTAACTATTTTTTAATTTCAAATAAGATATTTTTCTAAATAGAATCATTTTCATCAAAATCTTATAACATAGATAAAATCACATTATCAGCTCCTTTACAAAATAAAGTCAATCTTCCATTTTAATCTTTTAAAACAATTGACATTCTCTTTCTAGTACTATTGAATTCAATAATCTATTATATTTAAAACTTTAAGGTTTCCTTACTATGTTTAATGTAAACCTTCATTACATTGTCTTCTTTACCAATATATTTAAATCCCATATCTGCTGCAAAACTCACCAATGCTAATTCATCTGGAGAACTAGCATTATATTAAATTTCTGATTCAATATTTTCAACTAATTCCGTTTATATAGTATGACATAAAGATAAGCATAGGAGAGTTAAGAATACATGATCATTATTTGAGAAATTCTTAGCAGATTTTTTATTCATGAATTCAGATACTAATTCAGAATATAGGGTGTCATCTGTAAAATCTACATTTTATGATACAATTCTCTATTTTTCCTTAAAAGGTTTCTCATCTATTATTTCTTATTAAGGTTATTCCTCTATATCTCCATAAACAATATCATCAATAATAATAGATTTAAATTTCATTATGTTTTATGTCAATGTTCCTGTTTTATCACTAAATATATATTCAATAACTCCTAATTCTTCACTTAAATTTGAGGAATGAACAGCTGCTGTTCGATCAAATGTTAAATAATTCTTATCCCATTATATCATTTAAGCTTAAAAGAATTTAACTGTTTCTAATGTAACCAATAATGAAATTGGAACACTATTACCTAATAATAAAAACCACATTGCAAATCTTAATATAAAATTGTAAAAGGAATTATTCTCTGGAGCATTTTAATCAATATTCAAATAAGATTGTAATTCATTCATATTTCTTTAGTACCATACATTATAATATGTTGATGCAAATAAATTTCATTATAATATAAAGTTAATCAAGAAAGCACTAGTAACTCCAATTCCAAAGCCAAGATGACAATCACTAAAGTAGTGGCAACAGAAATATACTCTACCTAACATTACATTAAGAGTCATGAGTATTGCAATTAAAATAACAACTATGTCTCCTAATATATTAAATATCTAAAATACCATTTCCATAAGCATTTAGAAAGTAAAAGAGAAAGGTTGCAGCTTAAGCACAATCTCCACTAGGTAAGGAATAATTAGTTTCTTTATTCCTAAAATACATAGGTTTAAGTGATAATTGTGGACGAGGCTTAGGTCTTTATCTTTTGAAATGTTTTTTAAAGAAAGTTGTTAAAACTAGTGACAGAACTATTGAAATCACATATCTTATTGAATAAGCATAACCGTATTAATGAGTAATGAAGAAAATAGGTCCTGCAATAGTAGTTGGTGAAAAAATCAATGCTGGTAAAAATAGCATCACTGTTAACATTAAACTTTCATGGCCATGAATAATTGCTGATAAGTACACATCCCAGTATAGTAATTTCTCAAAAACTCTTTAAAGTGACATTTCCTTAGTATTCTGATTTTAATTAAATTAATTGAAGAGTATGTTTAAACATTTCCATTAATCATTATATCTCAATAATTAAATATAAATGAATTAATAGATATCATAAGAATATTTCATTCATAAGTTTGCATCTATCTCATTGAGCGAAAGTATCAAATCTGTTCACCTATGATTAGCTGATGATGACAATTCCAAACAAAGTAGTCCAGCTTTAGATTCTCGATTATTAGAATTTGTAGGGACTCTTCCAGCACACATTAAATAAAAATTAGAAAATTTCAAACCTAACTCAGACTTTTAGGTTTCAAAATAAAATGATGACAGTGTATACTTTGGCACATTGGAGTTTGGACTCAAAGTTGGAATTGGTATTTAAGTTTGGCCATAGGCTGGAAATTTATTAATTGGGTAACATACAATTTATATATTATAATAGGACATGGTAAAATGATATGCTTCAAGGAGTTTGTACTATGCATTATAGGAATGGAGATATGTATAAAATATGTAAATAATAAAGTTTTGAAGCTCAGTTCTAAAATGGCCGCACAAATGGTTTTGGTATGTTTAAATCGGAAAAAAAAATAGTTAAAGGTAAAATAAATTCTTATTTTTAGGAATTTGGATCAATAATCAGTTGGAAGGAGAAGCCTAAGAAATTAAGAGTGATGGAACAAGGTTTTATGGATAATTTCATAACGGCAAGAAAAATGGCAGAGGGATTCAAGTGTTCCCTGATGGATGCAAGTTTTATATTTCTTATATCTATTTGTAGATATGAAGGATCATTTGAAAATAACTAATTTTCAGGTGATGGAATATTTTATTGGAGTGATGGAAGTTATTATCAAGGATAATTTCAGAAGGGTCTGATCATGGGATTTGGTAATTACGTTAATAATAATGGACTTCAATTAATAGGACAGGTATTGCTGTATGATTCTATGTTGAATAGTTTTCTGAAATTAAAAAAACATAAGCGAAGGAGGTTGGTCTCAATAAAAATCTACAGAGCATTATGTACTTAAACCAGTACAATTAAAGTCTTTTAATCGAAAAGATACACTTTCTCTGACTTTATATATATATTTTTTTAATTATATTAATATTATTATTATCATTAGATGGTTTACTAGTATGATATTTTATTAATAATTATATAAAAAAATAAAATTCGTTTTTGGAATTTTTAACACTTAATTATCTGGTGTTGGCTTCATTATTAATTAAAATATATGTATAAATTAGCAGTCTGCACATTGCTTATCCTTAGCGTAACAGCAATTGATGTCACAAACTCAGTTTGGACAAGCCATGACCAAAAAGCTTTTGCTTAAATTAAACAATCTGGTTGGGGTAATTTCATTTTGAACTTTGGTGAACTCCATTTAACTACAGGAGGTATCCTTGCAGAATTAAACACTGAAATTGCTAAACTTGTAATTACTTTTTTGATTAATTCGTTTAGATTGACGAATTAGATGAGGAATTAGCAGAAGTCCATCATCAATATGCAAGAAGAACAGACGTTCACAACAGAGAAGTCAATAGACTTTCATAAGAAATCCAAGATAAAGAAAGAGGTATATTATTAAATTTATAGATTTCTTTTAGAGGTCTTCAATGCCCACGATTTCTATGATAACGTTTTGATCCCATAAAGAGATAGATTTGCTGCTCAACTTGAATAATTATAAGAAAACATTGCTTAAAACAGAAAGACACTTAATGAGGCAACAGTTCAAAGAGCTAATGATCATGCTGAATTTGAAGCTAAAGTTGCTGAACATAACGAAGCCATCAGTGCTATTGATGAATCATTATAATTACTCAGTTAATTAGAATCACCATCCCTTGTCTAAATCTAAAAGGTCTAAAAGAATTTGACCAAAATTTAATAATCACTCAAAAGACATAGCACATTCTAAACCTTCATCAAGACTCTTTTGGAAATTGCTGTTGAAGCTAACTTTGCTGATCAAGGTGCTCTTAGAGAAGTATTGATATTTTGTTAACTCTTTCATAGATTTTGACTGCCTTCAACAATTTGAGAGTTTAATTAGTTGACTCCCTCAACCAACTCACTGCTGATGAAGCTGAAGCCTAAAAAGACTTTGAAGCAAGAGTCATTCAATTAAACTAAGAACATGCTGAATTCTAAAGAGCTGTTGTAGTTAAGACAGCTGAAATTGAAGCCAATGCAAGTAAATTTTTAATAATAATAAATAATAGACAAGATTGAATAAACTCTTGATTTAATTGATGTCTTACATGCAGATTTGGATACATTGAATGGATAATTATAAGCAGAAAATGATGACTTTGCTTTCGCAACTGACGTTTACAATGCTACCGTTGCTGAATACAACAAGGAATTAAATGCCGCCCACTAAGCCTTAGATTTATTGAACCAACCAAGATTTACCGATTACGTTAAATCTTAACTCAAGGGAGCATTTTGATATTATTCATTCAATAAAAGTAAATGAATTCATTATTAAATTACATTAAAATATTCTTTCTACTTCCAATAATTAAATAAACATTTTTTTGTGATGTCAGAAATAGATCCGATTACAATTAAACTTGTCGTTGTCGGTGATGGAAATGTAGGCAAGACTTGTATACTTCTCAGGTATTTCTATTAAAAATCCATAGCTACACAACAGATAAATTTCCTTAAGATTATGTTCCTACAGTTTTTGAAAATTATACCACATAAACAGCTGTTGATGGCAAGATGATTAATTTAAGTTTATGGGATACTGCAGGATAAGAAACATATAATAGACTAAGAACATTATCCTATAATTCAGCTGATGTCTTTTTAGTTGTCTTCTCTGTTATTGAAGAATCTAGTTTTGAAAATGCAATAATTAAATGGTATCCAGAATTAGAGGCTCCTGAATTAAAATGTGTACCAAAAATATTTGTTGGAAACAAAATAGATATGAGAAATTAAGCAAATCCAAGTCATGTTTAATAAGAAGCTGTAATCATTAATTTAATCAACTCATTAGGCAAAATCAAAAGTTGAAAAATTACAATGTCAATATTTAGAATGTTCTGCATTAACATAAATTGGTTTGAAAGAAATTTTTGACTAAGCAATTAAAAAAGCCATTAAAGTCAAAATCTTAAAGTCATAAAATTAAACCTTGCAAAATGTTACAAGTACTATTTAAAAAGACTAAAAACCTTCAAATGAAGAAAAATGCTGTTGCTCAACCTTTTGATAACATATACAATAACATGCTTTAATTATATATTTATGCAAACAATGAAAACAACTTTAAATTCTATATATATTATATGTTATTTTAATTCATTTCAAGAATTAGGAACTCGGATTTTATTTTTTGATAATTTTAAAAGCCACATGATGAGCTTAATAAACTTCTGGAATCCTTATCACTCTATTAAGCCATGCATTTGTAATTGGATATTTTTAGAAATCAAATTTAATCAAGTCTAATTACATCATTTCGCAACAAGCACTTATATCAGCCAAAGTTGCTTAATCGCCACAAATGTAGTTTCTACCTTTTAGCCAATCTACAAATGTTTTATATAATTACTGTTCTCAAAATATTAAAACACTTTTGCCACATCTTGTTTTTCCTTTTCCAGTACTTCAGGAATTACCTTCTCTCCCTTTATTGGTGATATAAGCACTGAGTGGTACAAGTGTAAACATCTTCTTGTATTTGTGTGATGATAGTCTAGATATTGATCTATTCTAGTTTATTATCTGATGTCTGTAAGTGGGTATCTTATTAATATTAAGAAACTTACAAATTAGTTGATATATTTCTCTATTTGATTATGTATCTCATTATATTGTGACTTTCAGCAACAGTAAAATCTCCATCTTATAATAAAGGCACTAAAGATTTTTTTAATTTGAATACATTATTATAATGGATGAATTGATGTGAATTCAGGTGACTTATGTTCATCAAATTAAATCTTTAAAGCCTTGACTTCATGAGGGACTTTGAGGATATCTAAAACAGCCTTTACAGCTCTAGATGGCTGTGAAATCCAATCTATATATAATTTAATCATGAAAATTGTTATTATTATAATAAGTTTAAAGATCTTTCATTTAGTTATGTATTATTATAATAATAAATAATTTAATTTTATAAAAATTGATCAACTTTAATCTTTTGGACATCTATTATTAATATCAAATCCTATAAAATCAAAAAATTCACTTGAAAAGTATTCATGATTTCCTAATAATTCTCTAAAAAATTCATCTACAAAGGTTATTTTTTCATTTGTTGTTAGATTTAAAATTTATTTTGTAACTTTCAAATTTGGAGGTAATGCTCGACCACTTTATAATTCAAGTTGCTCACTAAATTATCTAATACAAGAAAGTGTTTTCAAGATCCTATAAACATGTTCTGTGCTTCTAACATTATTTATATATATGTTTACTTTTCTTTGTATTTGATGTTGATAACAAATTCTATTGAATTAGATCCATACATCCCATACTCATATTAGACACAATTAGAAGAGAATTGAAGTTCAGAATAATCTAAAGCAACCAAATTTTCTTCAGAATTTACTCTGATAGCTTATAATTCATATTCTTAAGTTTTTTAATAACTTTTAGGTCTTATCTAAGATTTAGTCTTTGAGATCAATTATTAATATATTAAAAATGGTTGTTGCATTTCTTCGTCTACACCTAAGAAGTCAAGTAAATTTTTTGTGATATAGGTTGGATTGGCTAATTATTCTTATAACCATCGTTCTAAATATTCTCTCCTTCTTAAAACATAAGAAAATTCATCTTCACCCAATTATAGATCTATTCTGTGTATTTTAAACGAACTTGCATTGTATTTATTAAAGTGGTCAATTTGTACTCTCTCAATATTTAAAAATTCAGGGTAACGCTTTTCTGATTAAAAAGTATGTCCTTCGATTATAGTAATAATCATATATGAATAAAGAATTTCATTGTCATTAACAAAACGTTTAATTACTTTTTTACTTACACTCACACTCCTTTCTGGCATTTTTTCTCTTAAGAATTGTTCTTATTCATTTTGATTTTTGCTTTATATGAGATCAGAAAATGCTGATGATAATTATTTTGATATAGTAGTATTTTCTTTCTTTGCTTTAGTCCTGTTTAACATAGATTCTCTATTTGAATTATTTTCTGATTAAAATATTTTGAATTCTTCTAATTATTTCATCAATTATTTTGCAAATTTTGGTGTATCATCTGGTATTCTTGTTCGATCATTCGGTCTATACAAGGCATATATCAATAAAATCAATGATGGGAACAATTACAAAATTATTAATCCACTACTCAAAAGAGTTTGATATTCTTAAGTTGTTCTGACCACCAAAAATGCAGTCTATAAAGGCCAAAATATCTATTTGATAGTTGATAAACTATTACTCTATGAGTCCAAGTTGCCTATTATTCTTAAACCTTAAACTCTAATTTTAGCAAAATAACAGAAATAATATGAGCAACAATTGGTATCAACCAAATGAAGTATAATTTTGGTGATATTGTCATAATTAGACCAAAAAATCCCAATATCATTGATACAGTACATACCAAACAAAGCCAAAATGATATGATAATTTTGATATTCAAAGATGGAGGATTGGTTTTGGGACTAATTTAAATTAATTTAATAATTACATGTCCTCATCACTTAATTGAGATCGTATGGATTATCTTTGTAGTGTAACTGCTTGTAGTTTTTAAAGCTAATAAATCCTATAAAGAGCAGCAAATATAAAATATAAATAGGGAAGGCTGAATAAAATAAACTCTTTTGCCAAAATTGAATAAGTGTAAATTGGATTTGAAGCAGGAGGATCATTTGATTGTTCTGTTTTATTATCTTAATTTGTAGGTTGATCTTTATTTTAATCAATTGATGGATCGATCATTGGAATGGTTTCAGTTATAGGGGGGTTTTCAGCAATAGTTTATTCTATTGGCTCATTTTGAGTTGAAGTCTCATCCTGTTATTCATTCAATTCTTGTGATTAACCCTAAGTTACGACATCATTTTATTAATCCATTTAATTAATAGTATATCTATAACATTATAAAAACTATAATTAAATTATTCCATTTACTAATAATTTAGAAATACTGTGAAACAAATTATTAAATTAGACTTTATTAATTAATCCTAAATATTAATAAAGAAAAAAGAATTTGCTTCTATTACGAAGAGATAATAAAAATATTTTAATTGGAATAAAAATATTATCATGAAGAAGATCTTTCTAATAAGTACACTTTGACGTTTTTGAGTTTAGTTGCCAATATTTCTTCAATTTATCTAATAAAATATAAAAAAATAAAATTCGTTTTTGGAATTTTTAACACTTAATTATCTGGTGTTGGCTTCATTATTAATTAAAATATATGTATAAATTAGCAGTCTGCACATTGCTTATCCTTAGCGTAACAGCAATTGATGTCACAAACTCAGTTTGGACAAGCCATGACCAAAAAGCTTTTGCTTAAATTAAACAATCTGGTTGGGGTAATTTCATTTTGAACTTTGGTGAACTCCATTTAACTACAGGAGGTATCCTTGCAGAATTAAACACTGAAATTGCTAAACTTGTAATTACTTTTTTGATTAATTCGTTTAGATTGACGAATTAGATGAGGAATTAGCAGAAGTCCATCATCAATATGCAAGAAGAACAGACGTTCACAACAGAGAAGTCAATAGACTTTCATAAGAAATCCAAGATAAAGAAAGAGGTATATTATTAAATTTATAGATTTCTTTTAGAGGTCTTCAATGCCCACGATTTCTATGATAACGTTTTGATCCCATAAAGAGATAGATTTGCTGCTCAACTTGAATAATTATAAGAAAACATTGCTTAAAACAGAAAGACACTTAATGAGGCAACAGTTCAAAGAGCTAATGATCATGCTGAATTTGAAGCTAAAGTTGCTGAACATAACGAAGCCATCAGTGCTATTGATGAATCATTATAATTACTCAGTTAATTAGAATCACCATCCCTTGTCTAAATCTAAAAGGTCTAAAAGAATTTGACCAAAATTTAATAATCACTCAAAAGACATAGCACATTCTAAACCTTCATCAAGACTCTTTTAGAAATTGCTGTTGAAGCTAACTTTGCTGATCAAGGTGCTCTTAGAGAAGTATTGATACTTTGTTAACTCTTTCATAGATTTTGACTGCCTTCAACAATTTGAGAGTTTAATTAGTTGACTCCCTCAACCAACTCACTGCTGATGAAGCTGAAGCCTAAAAAGATTTTGAAGCAAGAGTCATTCAATTAAACTAAGAACATGCTGAATTCTAAAGAGCTGTTGTAGTTAAGACAGCTGAAATTGAAGCCAATGCAAGTAAATTTTTAATAATAATAATTAATAGACAAGATTGAATAAACCCTTGATTTAATTGATGTCTTACATGCAGATTTGGATACATTGAATGGATAATTATAAGCAGAAAATGATGACTTTGCTTTCGCAACTGACGTTTACAATGCTACCGTTGCTGAATACAACAAGGAATTAAATGCCGCCCACTAAGCCTTAGATTTATTGAACCAACCAAGATTTACCGATTACGTTAAATCTTAACTCAAGGGAGCATTTTGATATTATTCATTCAATAAAAGTAAATGAATTCATTATTAAATTACATTAAAATATTCTTTCTACTTCCAATAATTAAATAAACATTTTTTTGTGATGTCAGAAATAGATCCGATTACAATTAAACTTGTCGTTGTCGGTGATGGAAATGTAGGCAAGACTTGTATACTTCTCAGGTATTTCTATTAAAAATCCATAGCTACACAACAGATAAATTTCCTTAAGATTATGTTCCTACAGTTTTTGAAAATTATACCACATAAACAGCTGTTGATGGCAAGATGATTAATTTAAGTTTATGGGATACTGCAGGATAAGAAACATATAATAGACTAAGAACATTATCCTATAATTCAGCTGATGTCTTTTTAGTTGTCTTCTCTGTTATTGAAGAATCTAGTTTTGAAAATGCAATAATTAAATGGTATCCAGAATTAGAGGCTCCTGAATTAAAATGTGTACCAAAAATATTTGTTGGAAACAAAATAGATATGAGAAATTAAGCAAATCCAAGTCATGTTTAATAAGAAGCTGTAATCATTAATTTAATCAACTCATTAGGCAAAATCAAAAGTTGAAAAATTACAATGTCAATATTTAGAATGTTCTGCATTAACATAAATTGGTTTGAAAGAAATTTTTGACTAAGCAATTAAAAAAGCCATTAAAGTCAAAATCTTAAAGTCATAAAATTAAACCTTGCAAAATGTTACAAGTACTATTTAAAAAGACTAAAAACCTTCAAATGAAGAAAAATGCTGTTGCTCAACCTTTTGATAACATATACAATAACATGCTTTAATTATATATTTATGCAAACAATGAAAACAACTTTAAATTCTATATATATTATATGTTATTTTAATTCATTTCAAGAATTAGGAACTCGGATTTTATTTTTTGATAATTTTAAAAGCCACATGATGAGCTTAATAAACTTCTGGAATCCTTATCACTCTATTAAGCCATGCATTTGTAATTGGATATTTTTAGAAATCAAATTTAATCAAGTCTAATTACATCATTTCGCAACAAGCACTTATATCAGCCAAAGTTGCTTAATCGCCACAAATGTAGTTTCTACCTTTTAGCCAATCTACAAATGTTTTATATAATTACTGTTCTCAAAATATTAAAACACTTTTGCCACATCTTGTTTTTCCTTTTCCAGTACTTCAGGAATTACCTTCTCTCCCTTTATTGGTGATATAAGCACTGAGTGGTACAAGTGTAAACATCTTCTTGTATTTGTGTGATGATAGTCTAGATATTGATCTATTCTAGTTTATTATCTGATGTCTGTAAGTGGGTATCTTATTAATATTAAGAAACTTACAAATTAGTTGATATATTTCTCTATTTGATTATGTATCTCATTATATTGTGACTTTCAGCAACAGTAAAATCTCCATCTTATAATAAAGGCACTATAGATTTTTTAATTTGAATACATTATTATAATGGATGAATTGCTGTGAATTCAGGTGACTTATGTTCATCAAATTAAATCTTTAAAGCCTTGACTTCATGAGGGACTTTGAGGATATCTAAAACAGCCTTTACAGCTCTAGATGGCTGTGAAATCCAATCTATATATAATTTAATCATGAAAATTGTTATTATTATAATAAGTTTAAAGATCTTTCATTTAGTTATGTATTATTATAATAATAAATAATTTAATTTTATAAAAATTGATCAACTTTAATCTTTTGGACATCTATTATTAATATCAAATCCTATAAAATCAAAAAATTCACTTGAAAAGTATTCATGATTTCCTAATAATTCTCTAAAAAATTCATCTACAAAGGTTATTTTTTCATTTGTTGTTAGATTTAAAATTT